TATGTGTGCTACCCGTGCAGCAGTAGCTCCTCGTTTCATATATCAGTTATCACCGCAACAAACAAAAAAGTTATCCTATCTTTTATTTTTGCTTTTAAATCACACCAAAAAAATGTTTGACAAAATTGTTTTTTATTTGATTGTAATCATCAGTTTTCAATAGATTTCAATAAATTTTTTTAATAAATTCAATTGTGTTTTTTGTATGTTTCTATTAATTTATTTATTTACTATATATTGTTAGTTAAATTATAATAGTTTGTTTTTAAATAATAATATAATCTGAATTGATCTACTGTTCCCTCTATGAAAATAAGTTATATTACGGTAAGCTATTTACAGCTACAGGTTTTTACCTACTTTTTCTGAATAATAATACTAATAATAATATAAAACCAATTAAATAAAAGTCAAATTTTTAAATACAATACTCTTATCTTCTCAATGAATGTATTGTAAAGTGTTGTCTCCAATATTATGGGGAAAAACTATTACTTTTACCTTTTGTTATGCGAAAACTACTACTACTAACTATACAGTATTTATCAATACCTTTATCAGACAGCCAACTAGCGTTTAACATGTTATGGGAACGACATGTAATACTTTTACTGGTCAGTCGTGCCAATTGTCATTATATTGAATATACTGTATGTATATTGAAAGTAAAAACCAAATGTGTATTCAATTTATAACAATCACTTAAAATCTTATTTCAATTTTTCCCAAAAACTGTAACTTAAACTATATATGGATTGATAAATACTATCTCTATTTGTCTCTATTATACTATAACTTACAGTTCAGGTGCCCGTATGTTAGCTCTCCCACTCGCATACCTGTCCACTGCATTGTTATCCTATCAATCTATGCATCTATTGACAGACATACTTACCAATTGATGGCTAACTTTTGGAAAAGTAATGGTGGGATGAAAGTGAAGACACAGTGTCCAACACATACACTATCCTAACAAAAGGGTTAGATATGAGTAAAGGCTTACTGTGTGTGTCTGTTTCTGATGACAATTGCCAACTCAACTGACCCACCAATAAATTTACTATTATTACTACTACTACTACTCATATAGTATGTACAGTATGTCTTCAAAGCACACGCACACAGGTAGGACCTCCACGGATATTTGCATATCAGTTTGAAGACATCTGCACAGATATATATTTTCTCAAAGTAGTAGTACGGTTACGGTATACCATATATATATAACTTTTCTCATTCAATTACTTATATATATAATATAAATTATGTACAATAACTATATTGTAATAGTATTTGTATTTAAATATTGTATACAAAGTTTTTCAGGTACTGTTGTACACTAAACAAACCGGTGCGTGAGAGAGAGAGAGAGAGAGAGAGAGAGAGAGAGAGAGAGAGAGAGAGCACTGGTAGAGGTACGGTATAAGTGAAAGTAAAACGTTTTTTTCTATGAATGTATGTGAAGATCAAAAATAACCAAAAAGTCTTTTCAATTGAAAGAAAGAGAGAGAAAAAAGAGTTAAAGAAATAGTATAAGATATATACTGTATATATTTAAAATGGAAAGTAGTATCGATGAGGGGATGGGATGGAAAAGTTTTTTGAAACCTACTGTCCACTACTACTCGGCTACGATTATTACAACAGTAACCCGTACTATGGCTACTAAAAAGGAGTGATTAGAAATGCCATTCAAAACTAAACTATATTTAACTATTACTTGAGTTAACAACAATAACAGTTTGTCCATAAGAAATTGCACCGGTGTCCACCATCACTACAACGCTAACTTATTACTATAGCTATGTAAATTAAGCTTGAATTTCAACATCTATTTAATACATACCCTCACCCACTCACCCGCTAACCCTTTCACTTTTTATTTGAGTTTCACTTAAAAACATACATCTATTATGTGTTAAGGGAAAAATGTTTATCTCAAACATGGTATTAAATTTATTTTTCCCACTCAAATATACCCCTCAACACTAATTTTGCTTGTCAAGTGTGTGTGTGTGTGTGTGTGTGTGTGTGTGTGTGTGTGTGTGTGTGTGTGTGTGTGTTTAGTACATTCAAATAATAAAATAGCTTGTATACTTAAAAATAATTCAAGCTATCCAGGTGATCAAGTTAGGGTAAAACTTGGTAAATACAATATTTGTATAACAATTATTATCAATCAACAACATTTGATGGCTTAAATTAGTGGTATATTAGTGGCAATTGAACGAAAAAAAACTCTCAATACTATCATCAAGTGTTTTGACGCAAAATAATCTAAAGTTAGTGTTACTGTAAATATATACTACAGAAAATTATTAGGTTTTTTTATTGTATTTTATAAAATTATTTTAAATATTTATTTAAGTCATAAAACTATACCTTAGTTCAACACATTGTACAAAATGTATACAAATATCTTTACATTAGATATCTTTAACTTTACTTTTACTAAAAGCACTTAAAATTATCCCTTTTTAGTCAAAAACGATAACTAGAGTATAGTTTTCAATGGATTTGATGTGAATTTTATGGTTTGCCAAACAGTTTTTCACAAATATTATTGATATATAGATTGATATATTGAATATCGTTTTTACCTCATTAGCGGCTCTAAAAGTTTTAGACTCTAAAACTCAAATAAAAACTTTGTGTCCGAAATACTTTCACCTGAAAAACCTGGTTGTCCTCTACTGTACTGTGTTGTTGTGTCCACCCTTTCCCTTCAATATACAGTACAGTAGTAACTCTCCCTCTCTTTCCTCACATACAATAACTTTACACTGCATTTCACTCTTTATAATATTTAGTATTTTTCTCTTAAAGTTTTATAAGAAAACCCTTTGAAAAAACACTTTCTATAAATTCGTTTCATTTGATTAAACATTTACAGTAGCAGTAATAGTAGTAGTAGTCGTAGTAGTAGTGATAGTGATAGTAAAGTCCAGTTCCCAGTTCAGTCCATATACTGTACTGAACTGTACATAAAGTGTATAGTAATTTATACCTCCAAAAAAACCTACCGATTCATTGGAGCATTAAGTTAGAAAACTTTGTGAAACTTATTCCGGCACAATAGTCAATGTGTTTTGTTATGGACAGGCATATTGGGCATTATCATCACCAAATATGAGTTAACCATGCATATATATACTTTAACAATTTAGTAAACTCTAACTTTACTATTACTAAATTATACTCACACATTATAGTAGTGGACAATGTATAGTCAATGTAAAGTATAGTACCAGTATTATCAATGAATAGTCAGTATAGTAATCGATATCGGGTCAGTTTAGATCATAAATTGAATGATTCACACACACACACACACACACACACACACACACACACACACACACACACACACACACACACACACACACACACACAAACACATACATACATACACATTCATACACCCACCTGTTATACACGTTTAGCATCACTATTGCCTCCAAATATAAAAACATTTATTGAAAAAAGTGTTTTTGCTTTAATACAAATATTTGTCTATTATTAATAATATACAATATAAAATTCATATATAAATAGTACCTTACTACTTATATATACTGTATATACAGTATTGTAGTATAAATAGACTATAATAGTAAGTTTGTTTTATTTAAAATATAGTAGAAATACCAAATAAATTAATTTGAATGAATGAATGAAAACTTTAATTAGATTTTATTATATCAAACAGTAGTTCAACAAAAGGCAGACATACAGACAACAATATACAGGTCATGGCAGCAGTGATGGTTTTTTTGGATACCTGTGCTGCTGAATGAATAGTATGGTGATCATTGTCGTCAATAAAAGAAATATTTTATGGGTAGTTATAAAATTCAGTGACCAATCTTAAGGAGAGACTGTATGTGTGAGAGAGAGAGAGAGCACAGGTAGTAATAAACTTGAAAATCCTCWATACTTTAGTAAACTCTATGCTTATTGTGACAATTGTCAAAAATAATCAAGGCTATACATACACTCTCTATTATTATATTTTTATCTTGATAAGGATCAGTACCTAATGTCTATGCATACAGTTCCTCAACATACTCACAGCAGTTTCTCACAACAAAGTCCAGTACCACTTGAATCCTATTTGAGTGCACTTTTGCCATAAGGTTTCTCTCATTTTCAATGTGTAGTAGACATACATTACAATCAAAATTTTTACAAAAATACAATTGCAAAAAAAAGGTTTGAGCCTTACAATAATTTTATTATCATCGAGAATGACCTTATTTTAAGCTACCTTTCCCTAGTAATATGTGTGTATATGAGTATGCATATACACACATACCAATGGCACAGGTAATAATAATAATATGGTACTGTAGTTTTTATTAGTTTCTATCAATTGCCTGACCTCGTGGAACAATAGGGAACAGATGCATCGGCACTGGTATGTGTGGGTGTAGATGTTTTAACAGCACATATACTTAAACATAAGGACCGGGAAAAATCATATGACTTTTTAATAGTTTGCCCTTTCTATGAGTTTTCGAAATATACAATAAATTGTAATTTTGATAGATTTTTTTATACAGTTTTGTTAAAATTTTAATAATTTATTTTCAAATTATGTGTTCAAACTTTTCAAATATTATTTAATTTTTTCAATTTAGTTTTTCAAAATAATGAATATTTTTACTAATATATTACTAATTTTAAATTTTAGTAAAATTAAGTGAATTAAATTATTTAAAAATTTAAAATTAAGCACAAATTTAGCATATGTTGTACAGTATATAAAAATTTATAATTATATACAGTAGTTATTTTTTTAAAAAAGGCTAATTAAAATGTATAAAAATATATTCATATCTGTATATTTGTAAATTAATATTCCTTAATAAATAGCAGTACATATAGCAGTCATTAAAAAACAATAATTTTATAAAAATTTTTATCAAAAAATTTAATTTCAAAATTAATACATTATTATAAATAATAATAATAATAATCTTTTGCTAAATAATTTCCTAGTAATTTGTAAATAATGTAATGAATGTCTTTATAAAGTAATGTTTCCGCTTTGAATTTGTTGATACAATTGTGTTGTCAGCGGTACATAATTGGCCGACTTTTTGTCCAAAAAGTACAGCTCATCTTTTACTACATTTGGATTGAAGCCCTCCTTTTCCAGGCTATGCTTCTGTAGTTTATAACTGCCGGTAATTTCAATCTTGTCGACCACCCGAACAAATAACGGTACAGCATATGACGGTAAGTCATCTTTTAACCTATGATACAGTTGTGCGACGTCTAGTTTGCCGGTTTGCGGACGTGTCATCACTAGCATACAGGCCTTTCCTTCGCACTGTTCAACTGAGACGCCAAACACGACACAGTCGTTCAGTTTGATTACCTTCTGAATGATGGCCTCGATCTCAGTGGTCGATACGTTCTCACCTAATAATCACAAATAAATCTTTTTTTAGTACCGATAATATTGATAATAATTTTGAGAAAATTGAGAACAACTACTGTTCTAATAACTACCTTTCCATCGGAACGTATCGCCAGTTCTGTCTCTGAAATAAAGAAAGCCGAGCTCATCCATCTCCATAAGATCGCCGGATAGAAAAGCTTTGTCTCCGTGAACGAGTACATTGTGGACAACCTTTTTCTTGGTGGCCTCGGGATTATGATAGCCCGGGTAAGCACGCGATGGGTCCGATTCGTGTATTTTGCCGACTATTTCACCGATTTCGCCCGGTTTTACCGGTATACACAAACCATTGGCATCGCGCAGTGCTTCGCCAGTGTGTTCGTCTACTTTGATGACCACTACCGGGTATATGAGCCGACATAACCACTGTATACAACAGGGAACAAAACCACAGGCGCCCTCTTTGTTTGAAATATTGGCTATAATAGTAATAAAAGTTAGTTTTGATTAAAATAAATTGGGATCTAATGATTGCTAGTGTCCATCGATCGGACAGACAATACTGACCAACATTGGCGTTGCCTTCGGTGGCGCCGTAAAACTCTCCAATTTGTTTGATATTGAAACGTGTCTTGACGTCCGTCCAAATTTTTTGGCGCAAACCGTTGCCAAACAGTATCCTTACGTTATGCTGTTTGTCTACCGGCTTCTCCGGTTGGGCCAACAGGTACCGGCATATTTCACCAATGTACATGGCACCCTTTATTAACATATTAAAAATTTATTATTGTAAATATTTATCAATTTTTTTGCTTGTTTTAAACAAATAATTATATTTCTTAAAATTTGCTTTTTACTTATATGACTTTATGTGAAAATTAGTAAATTAATTTATTATTATTATTATTAAAATATGGGCTTTTGGTTAATGTTTTTATTTACTGCTTAAAAATTTGCTGCAATAAAATTTATTGCTAATTTTTTTTATTATAATTATGCTAAAAATAATTGAATATAACTAAATAAAACATAGACAATGCAAAATAAAATATAATTAATTTCGTTTGTTTAACTAAATCTATTATTTATTGCAATAATCTTTATTTAATAGTAAACTTTATATAACTTTTTGTGTATTTAAATTTTTTTTATAAATTTCAATCAACTATAAATAGTTTAATATTCCCATTAAAATACAATTTCACACGTTTAAAATGAATTGTCAAATAACTCATTTAAATTATTAAAAAAATATTATTTGAACATTTTATATTAACTATACTACTATTAATATGGCATATAAAATATTATTATTTGTAAAATAATTTATTTTCATAATCTATAATAAAATAGTTTATAATCTTTTGACTGAATTTCGCATAAAATATTTAACAAAAGCAGTTAACAAAAAAAATAATTATGAGATAAAATTGTTTTTTTGTTATTGTTCTTCAATAAATATCTATCACTAATAAATTATTAACTAACAAATCTAACAATTTTGGCAAATTTGTAAACAACAACAACAATAATAAATTTTATGATTTATATCTTGATCTATACAAACCATAAAAGCTACGGTAATATTAAATTAATTACATAACCTACAGGTGCAAGCAATTATAGTTAGTGCAAGCGTTATAGTTGTTATGGTTTAACTAAGTAAGAGATCTTAATTTTCAATGTCATCTTCAAAATAAACAGACACTTACAGTACACTTATATCGGATACAGTCCTCCCAGAAGTTTGAGGCCGAAAACTTTTCTCTCAGTGTCAACGTTATGCCAAACAGTACGCCCTGTGCTGAGCCCATAGTGCCGGCGTTGTTGTGATATAACGGTAGTGTCAGATAAAGGTTGTCGGAGTGGTCGAAACTGAACAGTGACCTAATGATTGAACCCATCCATATGTATCGGTGATTGCGAATGACGGCCGCTTTCGGCAGACCAGTTGTACCCGAAGTGAATATGTAATATAGTTTGTCGCTAAAGTTGCCTTTTGCCAGTGTTACCGGATCATCACTGGATGCCTGATCCAGAAGATCGTGTAGTGGTTGAGACGGTATCTCACGTCCTTCTTGTGAAACTGGTTCACCAAAACTAAAGAAGCGCATCGATGGTGACTTATCTTGAAGTGATGGTAGTATCTCATGTATGGCTATTCATTTAAAAATATTTATTTTTTTAATTTTAAAGTTATATCATATTAACAAAAAAAAGTAATGAAATTTTTGAATATAATTTTGATATTTTTTGTTTGTTTTTTAGCTATAAAGCTTGAAATGGGAAATTAATTTAATAACAAACAAAATTTTATTATTATTTTAAGAGATGTTAGATTAGATTAAAAACTTAATTAACATTTAAGGTAAGTAAATGTAATGCATATCAATCTCAATATATATACAGTGTATATAAATTTATATATGTGAGTTTAGTTTGTGTTATTTTTTTTGTTTATTTGTTATTTTCCAGTATTTTAATCTAATTTATTATATAAAAGTCAAAACTTTAGTGCAAACAAATTAATAACACTTTATATGTTTACTAAGTTTCAAGCTATAAATTTCAATGTAAAATATTTTCAATAACAGATGAATAATAAATTGTTTTTTTTTGCTTTTACTTTTATAATTTATTTTATAGTGAGTTTTATTGGATCGTTAGATCTATATCTAAATTAATGCAGTCTTTTATATAATATTTTATATACGATTTAATCTGTAAGAGTTGTTTTTTCAAAAAAATATATATAACATTGATATATTAAAGATAGATAATCAAGGTTTGAGTAAAACAAAAACAATAAAAAAAATTATAAAAAAAACAATTTCAATATAATACTAGTCTTTACCTTTGGCCAGTTGTGGCTCATATATCACAGCCTTACAGTTTACAACTGTTATTGAATGGGTCAGTGCCTCCAATCGCTGATTGGTATTAATAAAGGCAGTGATTAGACCAGCTTTGGCCAGACCTAACCACATGACAACAAACTCGGGTCGTGTGTTCATCATGAGTGCTACCTCTTCGCCGGGATGATAGCCCATTTCGGCAAAAACATTGGCCACTCTATTGGACATTTCGTCTACCTTTCCAAATGTCCAAACCTCGTCCTTGAAGTAAAACATCACCCGATTTGGGTGCCGTTGTGCCAACTCTTTGAACACTTTTGGCACCGATTTGTTGTGTTTTTTGCATTCCCGAAGAAACCATTTGGCCCTCAATAGCTTAATACCGGCCCTAATATTGAGTTAATTTATTTATAAATAAAAAGTTAATTTTAATAATATATAAAACTTAATTTAATCATATTTTGAGTAAACAATATTTTACAATTATGAGGAAAGTTATAAGTGATTATAATTTACATAAATTTCTCATTAGTTTTAATTTTAATTTTCTATAAAACTAACTATTTTACAATATTAATATAAAAGTTTCAGTAAGCTATTAATAGGTTATTGTATTATGTTATTTTTTAAATTTACTTTTATTTGACTTGATAATTTTTAATTAATTATTTAAATAAATAAAACAACTCTTTAATGATAAACAATTTTTATCTTTGATTTGGTTAATCAATAAATTATATATTTTTTTTAAACACATGTTTGACCTCAAATTTAATGCAACAGGTTTTAATACAATTTGTTTATTTGATATAATATTTTTAATTAATTTTACTAAAATTAATAATTAATATTTTAATGTTTATGTTAAATTTTATTTTTTTAAAACTTATAAATAAATAAATAAATTTTAATAAATTTTATAGATACTACTTCTTATTATAAATATAAATTAGCTTATAAATTTAATAATATATATAATTATCTATTTAAATTAAAGTTATGGTGTAATTTAATTTAAATTAAATAAATATTTTTATTATTCATATTAAAAAACATTTTTTCTTATGTTTTATTTAATAATTTAATTCAAAAATTATAAACTTAAAAAATATATTGCTCAATTTTAACTGTCTGACATTTAGTTGCAATTTAGTTTATCAATAAGATATGATAAATATAAACTATGATACATTGTAATTGTTTAGTTAAATCAATTTATACTAATGTGAAATATAGGTTATTTTTATTTATGCAAAAAAAACAAAATTTATTCAATATATCTTTTAAACAAATAATAATAATAATAAAATTTATAAAATTCCCTAAATATAAAAATTATACTTAAATTTATCACAGATTTTCAAATAAGATATAATAATTTATATATTTATTATCGGAGTCATCGATTCATTTCATGTGAAAATGTAATTATTTATTAATTCATTCATTTAGCGATACAATAATTAAATTATAATTTTGTTTTATTTTTTCATTTACAAAACAAAACGCAAACTATTATTTAATATATCTAAACAGTGACTTAATTTATATTAATATTTTATGTGTACCAATAATTATGTGGGTTTTTGGGAAAAGTGATTTCATAAAATATTGAAAAAAAAATTGACAACAAATATTTAATGTACTTAAAATAATAATTTATCATTTTTAAAAATAATACAATATAATAAAAATAAATTAATATATTAAATATATTAAATATTTTTATTTTATTAATTAATATTAATAAATAACTAATTAAAAATATAATAATTTAATAATTTAATACAATAAAATAAAATTCTATTAATTAATATTAGAAATTAACAAATTTATTATTAAATTTTAATAATAAACTGCATTAATATTAATATTATAATATAATACTATTTAATTAAATATTTGTTATAAATATTGTTGTTATATTCAAAATATTAATATATTTTAATTAATTTTAGTTAATTAAATTTCTAATAATTATACTATTTTAATATTAATAATTTTTTATATTTAGTTTACTGCATTAAACACCACAAAATAACTAAATATTCTAAATATGCAACAATAAAAACATAGATAAATATATATTGCAAATAATAAATATCAGTTTAATGTATCAAACACTTACCTAATATCCCTGGGAAGGGTATTATAAAAAATTTTCATGACACTCCAGTAGTTATAAACAATATAACCGATGAGACCCAGTAGACTGGCCAATATAAGCCAACAGTTCATATTAAATAATAAAACGGCAACGTTTGCCACTAATAATGAGACCAATACTAATACCATTATTATTATTAGTAGTTTTAACGATTGTATATTTTTAGAAAAATAATTACTATTTAGTTGTTTTTCAGGTCAATTATAGTTATCTAATGTATTTATTATTATGATTTGTTTTTCTCATATACATAAATATATTTAAAAAACACAGTCAACTAAATAATAAACGATAATTAATAATTTTTTTGTTTAAAACAAATCAATTATTAAGTTATATGAAATGAAAAGTTTTGTTTTATATTAAAAACAACTAAATTAATAATAAACAAACTATGAATAGTTTAAATGACTGAATAATGTTATTTTATTGCTTTAATGAAAATATTTCAAACAAAATCATTTAATAGTAAATTTAATTATATATAAATTTTTTAAAATACATAAATTCATCAAAACTACTAAATATATAATTAAATTATATATTTATTAACAATTAATTGAGTCGAGTGGAAAATATATACTTTACTGTATATAAAAACTACAGGTAATTTTTGCGATAATAAATTAATTGATAGTTATTTTTGAACGCTTAGATAATACACAACAGTATAAACCATTTTAAATATCACACTTAATTGGAAGTTCAAAATACACTAATATATACTGTATATACAAATATATAAATTGTATAATATTGTTATCATAAATAAAAATGATTGTGAATTATATAAGATATCAATGAGTTTTAAATTAGCACTTTTCTGGTATCCCTATCACAAGTGGTTGGGGTGTGTGTGTGTGTGTGTGTGTATTAGATCAAAAGCACTGGTAGACTAAATAGCAAATACATACAGTCAACAAATATATTAATACTTTTTTTTTATTATTATTATGATGACGTTAAATGTTTTTTTTCAACTAAAAAAACTTATAATATTTTAAAATGTTTGTATGTTTTTTTCCTAACTTTCCACTCAACAAATATTTTCTAGCTATATATGTGTGCTGTATAATATTCACTTGGGAAGGATCAGTCAGTTTAAAATACCGGTTTTTTCGGTGAGAGCACTGACAGTGTCATAGACTTCAATACAGTAGACAGTGATCTCTAACTAACACTAAAGTGTTTCCCCTCTATTATATTTTTCCGATGAATTTAGTTTAGTTTTGTTATGTTTGGGGACTTTTAAATTGTAGTCATCATAATATTTTTGTTGTCAAATGTTTTGTTTTATTTTTTGATTTTACGACCTAAACTCTAGTGTCTTAAAATAACTATCGTACAAATATTTGTTTATATATAGAAATATTCATATACTGATACACTGTAATAAATTTAGATACTGATAAAAATTGATTACATTACTGACAAATAAAAATATAGTGTAATGTAAATTATTTAGATAATTATGTCTAATTAATATTTAATTAAATAACTAAACATTACTTACAACAACATATTATATATACTGTATATATTAAATATCAAATTATTTATAAAAAAATTATGACGTCTAAACAATTTGATTTAAAATTTGGTTATTTTTATTATTTTTTATAGAATAATATATAACAATATATTATTAATTGTTTGAATAGTTTTAATTTTAATGTTGAGTGTGTAAAATAATTGACAGAGTTTTACAAATAATTAATAAGTAATTAAAAAACAAGTACTTTATAAGTAATTAAATTTAGGTATTAATTACATACAGTATATGAAAAACAAAATTCAACATAACTTTTTTGATGTAAATTTTTTGTTTATATATACATGTAAATAATTTATTTATAAAATTACTTAGCATAGCATATTTTCATATTACTAATAATTATTAAACAACACACACACAAAAATGATTGTGTCAGAAGTGGGATTCGAACCCACGCCTACAGAAGTAGACTGCGACCTGAACGCAGCGCCTTAGACCACTCGGCCATCCTGACGGTTATATAATTATTAAATTTATAAAATTAACAAAATTCAATTTATAATAAATTTTGTTGGATAAATGCTAATATATTTTTTTTATTAAAAATAATAGTAATTCACATAAATGATAAAATTGACATAAACATGTTTAGGTAAAAAAAAATTTTAATGATTAAAATTTTTGCACTATTACACTACTACTACATATGTTGTTTCATAATTGTTTGCGAGTCTCTCTACTGCTATACAACAACGAAAAATCATAACTGTTAAATACTAGTATAATTTATTTTATATTTTTTTTATAAAATATGATACAATATGTGATCATCTATGAGTACAGTTTTTTTATAGATAACTAACAAGTAAGTGCATTATGCACTGTGCTATTTGGTTAGTAGAGTATTATTTTATTGATAGTATAACTACCGTAAGTTTGAAATTATTTGCTAATCTGTAGGTTTATAATGGTATTAAAATTCAATATTTATACTAATTACAAAAAAAAGATAATTTATAAAAAGTTTCATTCTACATGTTATCATTTAATTATATATAAATATTAAAAAATTATTTTATTTTAATTAATTAAAATATAATTTATTACATTGTATTTATTACTTTTTTTAAATGTCATTTAAAATAACTAATTAATAATTAATGTTTCAAATCAATCAAATTTACAATTAAAGTCTAACTTTTCCTGCATTGATGTCATCGAGTATTTGACTATCAAGAGGAACGTATGTTTTATTGATGCCACTGATGTCATAAAAGTATATACGATCACCGGTACCATCGGGATGATAGCCGGCTTTCATAAAATTATTTTTCATCAATTTATATGAACCAGTAATGTCAATATGTGTGGTCAGTCGTACAAACACAGGTATGGCATACGGGGGTAGTTGTCGGCTCAATTGATTGGCCAATCGGTTGGCATCGAAATCATTTTCTTGGATGACTATGACAGCCATACCAGCCTTTCCTTCACAACATGGAATGTCGACACCGAATACAATACAATCGGACAGTTGTGTAACTTTCTGTATGACACTCTCCACGTCGGCTGTCGACACGTTTTCTCCTTTTTTTGTTTATAATAAATATTAAAAATTATTAGTTTTTTAATTTATATGTATTGTATTAATAAATGATGAAAAAAATTCAGATACCTTTCCATCTATAGGTATCACCTGTACGGTCAACAAATGTTAGATATCCGTTGACATCCATACGCATGAGATCACCGGACAGGAAGGCTTTATCGCCTTTTTTGAATACATTTTTGATAATCTTTTTATTGGTCTCACTTTCGTTGGTGTAACCATCAAATTTGCTAATAGGGTTTGAGTCCATAATACGGGCCCCAATTTCGCCCACCTCTCCCGCTTCGGCCGCTACACACAAACCATTTTTTTCGCGAACTACTTGTCCGGTCTCTTCATCGGTTTTCAATAATATAACCGGATATAAAAAGCGTACAAATATTGTATAATAATATGGATAGAAACCACAGGCACCTTCACGACCCTCCCAATTGACTGTTAATATATTTGTTTGGAAAAAATTATATTTTACTAATATTATAAATTTATATAATGGTACATATTTTACAATAAATTAATACTTACTACTATGAAATACACAGTAGTAGTATATTAAGTAATTTATAAAAGTTAAAAAAATCAACTAATTGTTATTTCTAAACTATACATTTCCCATAATTTTGAGTGATAATAACCTTGATAAGTTTTTTTTTAAAAAAATAATTATTACTTTAGTCATAAATCAATCAATTGTCAAATGTGATGAAAATAATGAATTTAGTTATTAAATGATTGATAAATGGAAAAGTATTATTGTTTTTAATAATTTGAATGAATATTTTTTTCACATTGCATTAAAAAATTATTACCTTTAGAGTACAGGTAATTTGATAATACAATATATATATGGCTCTATGAAATTTGTTAATTATAAAGAGATTTTTTGATTTATAATCAATAAACAAGTAATAACTAAGGAAACAATTTTCTAGTATTTAAAAATATCAAAAATAGGACTAAAAACTAATATTTTATGGTTTTCTATGATTTTCAATTAAAACATTCATTATTCAACATTATACTAAAAAAAAGATTAATATAAAATAATTTTAATTATAAAAAACATATATTATATTATAATGAACTGTCAATACTGACTGAGATTAGAGTTTCCTTCAGTGGAGGCATAAAACTCTGCGATCCGTTTAATACCGAAACGTTGTTGAAAGTCGCGCCAAATTTTCGGTCGCAAACCGTTACCAAACATTACCCGTAATCGGTGTTTCTGATCGCAGTCCCGAACCGGCTGAGCCAATAGGTATCGGCAAATTTCTCCGATATAATTGGCAACCTATTAATTATTGTTTAGTTATGTATATAAATCAATTGACACTTACAGTGCACTTGTATTTAATACAATCGTTCCAGTAGTCAGTGGCCGAAAATCTGTCTTTAATAACAACCGTCAAACCAAATATAAGAGATAGACATGTGCTGACACATGAGTTTGCGTGATATAGCGGTAAAGATAAATAGATAATGTCGTCCCGATTGAGACTAATACACGTGTGTTGGACAACACCGAGTGTCAGATAGCGGTAATGTCGGAAAATGGCAGCCTTTGAATAGCCTGTTGTTCCCGATGTATACAAATAAAACAGTACGGAATCAAAGTGTTGTTTCGATACTAAATAGTTTTGAGTGGTTGGAGCCGATGATATCAACTCGTGAATGCATTGACAGTCAAACGGAGCAATCTGTGTGCCGCCGCTGAGCACAGGTATCTCACCAAAGCAATAGTATTTTATATCTGGATTGTAGTCCATTAGTTGTGGTATAATTTCGGCAACGACTGATAGTTAGAAATAGATTTTAGTTATGTCAACAACAAAATAGGTATTTCTCTTACTTTCGTAGTATATGTTTTCAAAGATGAAAGCTTTACAGTTGATTGCTTTGGTTGCGTTCAACAAATAGTCGCTTCGGTGGTTAATATTGATCAGTGCCGGAATGACACCCATTTTTGTCAGTCCCATCCATACGCCAATATACTCGGGCCTATTGCTCATCATAAAGCATACCTCTTGACGACTTCTGAGACCGAGATCGGTAAACACATTGGCCGTCTGATTGCTGAACTCATGTGTCTTGAGAAAAGTCCACATTTCGTTGCGGAACTGTATAGCAATCTTAAAGGGATTTTTTTCGACACTTTTTACAAACAATTCGTCCACCGATTGATCCAAATATTTCCATTTTGTTAGATTATATTTGACTATTATGTAGTAGTAAAATGATCTTTAAAAATAAATTGATAACAAAAAATTTAATTAATTAATAATTATTTTAATTTTATTGTTATAATAATATAGAATAATAGGGTTACATACTTGACATCTCTGGGCAAATTGATGAGTCCCCTGATAGCCATTTTGGTCAGCACTGGTACTGTCAACTGGAAATATGATAGCAACAAAAATATGGCTATACCCGTCAACATTATTAGTAACAAATAAAATCCTATATCATAGGTCACGGCATAATAATCCATTGTTTTTTTAGATTTTAATTTAAACAAAAATTAATGACAATCACAAAGTTATTTCAAACTATATTAAATTATTTCCTTATACTAACAAAGTTAAAAACTTTTATAAACTGTAAATATATATATATATATATATATAAATATATGTTTAGCAAAATATTAAATATAATAAATATTTATAAACGTTGATTGATAAGTAAGTTATATTTACTAATTTATTATTATTATTATTATATTAAATAAAATTATTAAATATAAACATATTTGTTTTTCATTACAAACACACATATACTTTAGTTACTAATTATATAAATTAAAATTTTAAAAGGAAACTAATTGATGAAATTTCTTATATTTAATTTGTATTGTATTTGCATTGTGAACATCATTTACCTGGACTTTATAATTAGCTGCCCTCACATCTATAGATAAATAACACTGAATAATAATAATAATTATTATTATTATTAATTAGTTGTATAACTTGTTTATTGTGTGGAAAATACTAAATTATTACTCTTATTAAAATATTTTTTTGACATTTAAATTATTAAAATTAATATATTATTCATACTAAATATTTTTTATAAAACGTTTATATAATTTTCTATGATGCAATTATTAATACATTAATTGTAATAATATTTTAACATATTTAATTAAATTTAAAAAAATCATTAAATAATAAACAAAATTATATTTAAAATGTTATTTTAAAATTAAACTACAAAGTAATTAAAATATCCTTTAATTATAACAAAAAAATTATAATCTGAATCATTATATAATCATTATTTTTCATATATTTATAATACAGTATTTTACTAATGCTGTATAATAATAAAATGATTTTCAACTTAAATATATATTTCAAAACACATTAAGTAAAATTGCAAATAAAAATTAATTAAATCAAACCAAATAATTAAAAATAAAAAAATAATATATATTTTATATTAAATAATAATATCATATTTTTTAACATTAAATAATTTCTTACCGCTAATTGTTTTTTATTTGTATTACTATCATGTTTATTATGAAAATAATAATAATAATACCAGTATTAGTAGTACTAATAATATATATTTTTAACTATCCTAAAAATAAAAATTAATTAATTATATTAGTTTAATCTAAATAATACTAAATCCAATAGATGGTAGTACATGAAAATAATTACCAGGGTGGAGGAAAAATAAGGAACTTTGGGAAATTAAAACGAGGGAGGGAATTTGCCCAAACCCTAAATTCTATACAAATACAGTACATTTTACGGTAATCCTATTAAACTAAAAATAAAAAACCACATAAAAATTATTAAAATATTTTCAATATTATAAAATACAATTATCGGCTACCGTTTATGTCGCCATTTACGGGTCAATCATTTATTGCTGTTTTTCCGTATCCCTAGTAGTAGTGGTAACAGAATGTGTAGAACTGGTAGTGCCGTATAACCACTGATATATGATTGATGACTCAACTGATAATCATTTTTGGTCAGCACTGGTATATCAATTTGAGTGTCCCGTCAATAGTATTAGTAAGAGATAGGGATAATAAAATGGTTAAACACTTACCGATAAATACTCATTGATGAGATTACTTATGAGAGAGAGAGAGAGAGAGAGAGAGAGAGAGAGAGAGAGAGAGAGAGAGCTAATGGATATTTGGATATATTTTGTTATTTATTTAATTACCGGTAATTAGATATTTAACTGCAAAATATTTTTATGGACAGAGCATTGAATTGTGTTTTTATCACTATTTTGCAGTTAAATATCTAATAATATAAATAAATAAATAGTCATTTAATATTATACTAATATATAATTAACACTAAAAAAAGTGCTAAATTTTATTTTAAAAATCAATTAATTAATATCCATTATAATTATCATATTAATACAATATAATGTGTATATTAATACAATTTTTAAAAAATTAATAAATGATTTAATCAAATGTTATTAATAATAATAATACCCTTAATAATGACTAAAATTGATTTTGAAAGGTATTTATTTAGTAAAAATTAAACAAATATATCATTTATATATAACATCTACTGTAATGACTGGTCAATTGATTACCGAAACAATGTGTTAGTGTGTCTGTGTGTCCATCAGTTTCATGACCGGTCACTTGCTATTGTCGCCGTCGCCGCCGTCGGGAAGCAATTGTTTAGCCGTTTGCATATCTTTCCAATGATTGATTACACTGCGGGCCAACTCTTGGTCGCGCAAATATCGCTTCTTTTGGCCAACAGTTAGCGGACCAAAACCGCGGCCGTCAGTGTACGACCAGTCGGGCAACTCGTTTAGCGGTGATGTCGACTGACTCATGTTATGCATTGCACGCCACTTGCGGACAGTTATGTATTGACGGCACTGTTGGTGATGACGGCAAACAGTGGCCGCCAATAGACGACGCAAACCGGCGTCCAGTGAATAGTAGTGACCAAACATGTGATGACAACAACAATGTTATAACAAATCTAAACAATTATTTTGTTTAATAAAATCAATTGATGTTTAATATTGAATCCAATGTTTGTTTGTTTTGTATAGAAATGTACATAAATTACGACATAATTATTATTTAATAAATATTATCGTAAACTTTGATATAAAAAAATATATTTACAGTACAAACGTTTATTATAATAATATAAATATTTAAATTTTTATTAATATAATTTTACACTAATTTAACATGTTAAATTAGATAATAATCAATAAATGATACTTTAAACTTATAATACAAATAATACACTAAATAATAGCAATTATTATAAAAGATAGTTAAAATTAAATAAATGATAATTCAGTAATGATAAAAATAATAATTAACACAATAATGAAATTTAAATTGAAAATTACTAATTTGTAGGACGATTATTGAAATAACATAATACTGTTTTAAAACTTTATAAACTTATTTAAAATATTAATATAATAATATAATATATTTAAATAATAATAACAAATAAGCTCTAAATTTACCAAGTTTACTTATCTGATAGTGCTATTTTTATAATTTTTCTAAAATAAAGTTACAATAAATTATATTTTAAATACATTATACAGATTTCTCTACTAATACATTATTGTTATATTAGTCTATATTGTATTGTATTGTATAATATAAATTTAATATTCTATATATATATATATATATTTTTAATTTATGTGTGTTTGATATTACTTAATGTTTAACTAATTAATTAGTTTTTCATACACACGACAAGCATTTATATTATTAAGCATATAATTAATCAAAATATATGTGACAATAATTTTATAATTAGGCGCACTCTCACCAAAATTGTCACACATGTGCATATTTATTATTTATACATTGATTCTAATAGTATAAATGATTTCATAAAAATCATTATCTCATAGATTATTGTCAAACTATTATACACATTGTATACAAAAACTACTGTAGAATATTACATGGTATACAGTAATACATGGTATAACACCTAAGCTCCGCCCATCACTGGCTATAATGATAGTAACGTGTGGTATCAGTTTGATTCTTTAATGTTGACATGTACAGTTACATTTTTTTTTACATTATAGGTGTGTTTACGGTTTATTCTCTCAAACAAATAATAATAATCAATGGCTGAGTAATAATGTGATAGTTAGTTGATATAGAAATAAATTGTAGGATTGACCACAAAAAATGAGTGATAAAAAAATTAAATCAGTTCCCACTCAACAATTTGATGCCGCGCTCAATGAGGTATAGTGTATGCACCCACCAATCGCCCTACCCTTTCGTCAAAATAATTACTTAAATTTAGAATATTTTTGTTATAACATTATATAAAAATAAGTTTAATGTTTAGTTTAATTTTAATTAAATCATATTATTTTTTTACTAAGATAACTAACTATATTTAAATCTATATAATAGATATTATTCACAAATTGTATTTTAATTATCAATAAAATTAAACATCATCTATTGATATATATATAACTAATTTTATCTATAGATACAAGTGCTGCGGGAAAAATTGGACAGCAAGTCATGTGCATTGATTATACTGTCCCAGGAGTTGCTGGAATGTAAGGCACAAAAAGATCAATTTAAATTAATGGGCGAACAGCTCAGGGAACGGTATGCTCAAGTGAAACGCAAGATGGAAGGTCTGGGACCTACACTGTCCAATGTGTATGACTACGAGTACGATATGCCGCGCAATAGTGCCAATTGCCAGCAAACGGAACCGTTAGGTCAACTGTTAATTACAATGAAAGAACAAAACAAACATCTGATCCGCGAAATTGATGATTTGAGGATGAAATTAGAGGACGCAGAGGGTATGTTCCTGAGGCTCAGTTAGCTAATCATTATTTAGTATTTTTTTAAAAATAGATATATAAACGGAAAAATTATATTGTTTGGTCAACACATACACACAAAATTGGTTTTTAAATTATCATTTTGATTGTTTGTTTGATTGCATTGCATTTAAGAAAATAATTTTATATAATAATTGTTTGCTGATAACAACATTAAATTGTATTGTATTGTACTGTATTTGGAAAAAGTAGTTATCATTGATAATAATAATAATATGATATTATAGTAGTGATATGTTAGTAGAATAACAGCAGCACTAGTATTCAAAGCACTAGTAGTTTGACAATCTAGTGGCACCACTAGGGAGTTGATTGATTTATGACAATCATTTTTATTTTTTAAATTACATGTATTAAATTGCAAATACTGGTAATTGAATTTTCTATGCGGCCATAAATTTAATATAAATGACTATTTATTTTATTTATTTATTTTTTTCAATAGTTTTATTGATTTTTTTATTTCGATTTATTACTTACTGTATAAATATATTAGTTTTTGCCTTATTATCTAAAAAACTATTCAATTCTTACTGTAAATACAGTATAATAATATAATATATACTGTACTATTAATACAGACAAACAAAATATTATTATTATTCACTATAATAAGTCCCAAAATAAAGTTAAGCAACAAAAACCACAATTATTTAATAAATACTTTAATAATATAAAGTTATATAAGTTTATTAGATGTCATAAATAATAGATAATACAAGTAATAACTCATTTCAAAACTACATTGACATTACATCTGTAAGCGCTTCCAATTTTTTAGCCAAATTGTCCCAAAATACCGGCCATAATACTTGATATATCGGGAGTTGTGGCCATCATTGCGGCCACTGGTGTCGAGGCCGCCTTTCCATTATTACCCGACGCTGGCAATTGACCACCAATATCGTTGACTATTTTCATAATTGAATCAATACATGATTGTATATCAAGTGGTGTTGTCAACTGTATGGTTGTTGAGGGTGTCATACCTGACCGTATAGGTGGTGGTGTAGGTCGGGCATCGTATAAGCCGCCCGGTAGTCCTGGCCATCGCTGAGATCCGGGAGCACTGGTTGCACCTGTCCAGACCATTGCCACAACCGGTGTTTTGTTTCCGCTACCTGTAGTGGCCGCGGCTGTCTGTTGACCGATAGACGGAGGTGTACTGCCGTATTGTTTTTCTATTTCGCCGACCACTGCTGATATGAGTTCACCCCAATCGACGGTAGTTGTCTCCATCGGCGCTTGTGTAATAATCTGACCATTGTCCCCCATATTACCCCCCGCTACTGTCGAACCCCACGAACCCATAACCTGTGAGATCAAGTCCTGCCAATTGGGCGTATTTGTCAACACACTGCCCGGTGTTGCCCATTGTTGACCATTGCTTCCCATAATTTGTGACACCATTTGATCCCAATTGAATGGTGTGCTCGTCTCCATTGACGGCTTAGCCGTTACAGCACCTCCGCTAATTGCCTGGCTATTAGGCGACATACGATTAACTATTTGTACCATAATATAGACAATTTGTGTAACGATTATCATTAGCTGATTCTGCTGGCCATCGCCTGTTACTGCAACTGGCGGTGACATTGTCGGCAGTTTTCGAGTAAAACCCGACTCATAGCAGACACTGTCGTCCAACATATCGTGTCCCTTATGTTTGCCAACATAATTGGTCAATCGTACCCTTACACAGTCCAATCTAAGCAAATTTTTATGAATCTCATGGGGCACATCCCGGGCCGATTCAAAGTGTTCAAGTATATAGTCTATACGTTTAATCATATGGACCAGTATCTGACGGAAATGGTAGTTCTGTAACAGTGTGCCATCCATTTCAAGTCCACTAACCATCTCATGCAATATGTCTATCAATTGGTTCAGAAGCCATACAACTTCCGATATCTGACTCGATCCCCGATATGACTGTTGCAGATCATTGTTGAGACTTTTACCGCTTTTTTGGATAGTTTTTGTAATATTTTTTTGGCCATTAATAGGTTGGCTATAGATTTGTTGAAATAGTGTTATTAAGATTATAGTAAATACGATAGTTATATGATGTGATTTACTAGTAATCATCATTGATTTTTGTTATCTAATTAATAAAATATCAAATTAAAAATTTAACTCAAGTTATAATATATATTTAAAAATGATAAATACTAATTGAACTAATGAACAATATTGAAAATTTGAACCCACATTATAGTTAATGTTTTCAAACTTTAACTTTTATAACTAAATTATTTATAAGTTTAGCAATGTTATAAATTTAACATTATAGTGGTTATAAATTATTTATTAATATTAAAAATGTAGCCAATAAATTGATAATAATTAAAATTGACTTGAAAAAAATTATATAATTTATTGAATAACAATTAAAAAATTATTATTAATCAAACTTATAAATGTTAATTAAAAAATTTTAATAATTATCATGCTAAATTTTATTTATTTATTGATTATTTTTAACTGCAGGTGACTTAAAGATAGTTAGGGGACAGATGAGGACAATGTCACAGCATATCGACAGCGCGGCCTACGAGTCGCGAGATCGCAACAACATAGACATGAATGTCATACAGGAACTGGAGTTTTATAAAAATAAAGTGGTTTTATTGGAAAGAGATCTTCAGTCAGTGCTCGATGAGAAGGAAGAGTTGATTTTATCTCGCGATTCGTATAAACTGAAAGTCGACAGACTTAACGAAAAACTCAATGATCTCATGAGAAACGAGTTGACTACTGGAACTGCCAGTAGAGCATCGGGTGGATCAGTCACTAATGATGGCAACAATGGTAGCGGACCTGGAGGTGGAATGGCTAACACTATGACTGATAACCGTATTTTCGATATCGATCAGCTGTTTATGGAGAACCGATACCTTCAGGAGAAGCTCAAGACTTACGATGAAGAGAAACGTCTGCTGACATTGCGTTTAACCAAATATAAGGAAATACTCGACAAGAAGCGCATGAATGCCAACAAATTAAGTCCACAAGCGCTGAGAAATTCGTTGTCATCGACCGGCCAGACATTGGCCGGTATTAATGTCATAACTGCCCGACAAATTGAGGAACTTATTGGTTAGACTTTTTTTTAAAAAAAAGAAATCAATAATTATTAACTAATAATTGTTTTTATTACTGTAGCCACTGATGCCATAAACAATATGGATGTGACGGCCACTAATTTATTACAATTGAAAAATCTAGTGATCGCACTGTTTGATGGTATGGTATATTCAAACTTTGTTTTTTCTTAAATTTAATTTATATATGAAATTTTTGTTTAAATACAAACTAGAAATAAGGGTCGACTCAATGTATGCAAACTATTTGGCAAAAAAGTTCAATATTAATATTAAGAATAATAATAATAACAAATTTGATAGACGTTTGCATTGATTGTGATTTGCATTTATAATAATAATATTAATTGTTTCCCTTTTTTGTTTGCCATTAAATTTATTATTTTCTTTAAATCCTCAACTAATAATATACACTACACTAATATCTATTTATTTATCGGTTAGTTTTTAAAAAAAATATAATTTTGACAAATTTAGTATCAATTTTTAGTTTATCTAGATTTAGTAGTGATTTATATGATTAATTTAAATATTATGTTATAAATAATATTTATAATATTATCTAATAGGACTTCAAGACAAAAGTGTAAGTCTATCGCACGCCAAGAGAACCAATAAAATTTTAGGCAAACGGGTCGAGGAGTTAGAAACTCAGGTCAGATGTCTGCGGTCGGCCACCGCTAAAGATAAGATGCCTATCATGAAGACCGAATCGCTGGAAAGCAATACCAGCAGTAATACAACTACCAGTGCATCAAATCAGGACGATTTGGCCACACCTGATGACGATCTGGTTGGCGATGAAGACGAGATAGAAGATCGAGACTCGTCGTCGACACCGATTGACGATCGAGATGTCAATGAAGATGACGACGAATTGCCGCCAGAATTGGACCGATTGGTCAAAGAGGCCATCAATGAGCTCAAGATTAGGGATTTAGAGGAACCAATTGGACAGACAGTCACTAGCAAAACGATAGCCAAAAACAACGATAACAGTTATTACAGTATTAGTCAATAATGAAAAGTTGTGAACCAAAGAAACAAAAAAACATTACCAAAAAATATTATATTAATATATCATTACAAATATGTGTGTATTTTCATTGATTTTTTATATAAATTTTTATAATTTGTTTGTTTGCATATCAAATAAAACAAAATAGTTGGTAAATGGGCATTGAATACACAGGTATATAATGATCACCGATATCTAGTCAAAATGTGATGCGATTTTCAAGTTATTAATTAATTAAAAGTTTTGTTTATTTTGATATTTTATTTTAAACATTTAAATTAATCATTAAATCCTAAATTATATAACCAAACATTACATATGTACAGTAAATATTAAATTTTGTTACAATCTATTTATTAAATGGTTTTTTGATTTTAAGTTTTATTTATAATAAAATACATGAGATTGTTGTTATTGAATAATTATTTTTTATTTGAAAATATAATTATAAAAATTATTTTAGTATATTATTGTTGAATGATAAGCATAGTTTAAAATCTATGATAAAGTTATGCAATAAATAATAAATAAAGTATAACTTATAGTTACTATCAATTTGCTAGGATTTAATTAAAATGCATTAATTGTGTGCATATTTTTAAATAGCTATAATAAATAAATTGTTTTGTTTATTGCAATTATTCGTTATTCAATAACAATATTTTGTTTAATTGTTTTTAAAAATAATCAACATTTTAATTTACAAATTATTGCATAACAAATAACAATATGTCAACAGTGATATATAATTTTTCTTAAAAATTATAATGATACCTAAATACTAAAAATAATAAAATATAGATTAAAAATTAATAATAAATATAATAAATATTGATTGGTTTGCATATGTGATATTGCAACTAGTGATAGTAAAAAAATTGTTAAAAAAAATAAATTTACAAAAATTAAAATAATCTATCTTAATATAAAAAAATGAGATTAATAAATTCACTATTAAAATCATACACTACTATTAGGTTAAAATTTGACTTAAATTATGTATCACTTGTAGACTTGTTATCTGTGTTCAAGTAGTTTGCAGTAAATGTAATACTTTTATTGTCGGTCATCACAGTAGTAGTAGTCAATTGCTTAGCTTTGTTTTGTCGTTGGATCAGATTAGCAATACTCCAGTCGTTGGCCCGATATATCAGTGCCAACAGTGCCAATAGACGCCACACTATTAAATGGCCTGAAAAAAAACAAAAACAATTGTTTAGTGAAAATAATTTATTATGTAGTTAAGAAAAAATCTATAGATAATTAAATATAATTGAAGCACATGTATACCAACTATCCAGTAGGAGTTAATAGTCAGATCGTCATCGTTGAGCTCCAATTGGTGTAACATTATAGATATTTGGGTCGACTCGCACCGATCGATACCATAGATGGATACCATTATTGCCTCAAATGTTAACTTTATAAACGATAGATAACTGGATGAACGAATAATTTCGTGTTGTATGGTTAACGGTACGAAAAAACCGGACAACAGGACCAGCACAAGAAATAGGACAACACCCGATGTGGTGGCCACTTGAAAGCTTCGGGCAAATATAATGCCTACAAGTGTACCGGCACTGTTGGCTATGGACATACCAAATGTCTAGATTTTAGATTAAAACACAGAAAAAAATTAAAGATAACAAACGTTTAATATATCGGTAAATAATTATAGTAATTTAAGTATTAAAGTATTCAATACATACGACAATTAAAGTAAAATAAGCGTAACGGTAGGCATCGGATAGTTGTCCGGTGCCGTAGTATATGATAAATGAGTAAACATATGATATGACAATAGAAACGGGTATTTCCAGCATAAATTTGGACCAGAAGTATGAACTGGTAGAATACCACTTGTTGTGGTGTTCGTTGAGAAATATCCGTACCTCTGACGGGAACACCAGTATAGTGCAGGCCATTGACACAAACTGCAGAAATACCACCACAAAGAACTGACACTTGAGATTAAGAGATACTTTGGATTCTTGGCTCAACAGTCTGAGCGACTGTTCCAGCGATGAGACCTGTGTTGGTGTACGGTTGGCCACCGCAACGGCGGCAGCGTATAAGTCCATACAGCCGTTTTCCTGGCCAATGTCGGTACCGTACAAATAGATTAACATAACTGCTACCACTATTGAAAAAGTGGCCAACGCGGCGCTCACTCGCCATTCAGATCGGATCTAAAATTATAAAAATAATCAATAAATTGTATTATCAGACGATCTTTAAAAAAAATGTTTTACTTTTGTGAATAACAAATAAAAAAAACTTACAAAACAAGTGATTCCTCGCATTAATAAATAGTAAAAGTGATAAAAATTAAAATATTTTGTGTGTTTGTTAATAGATTTGGACACAAATCGGCCATTGGTTTGACACTCGGCCACAATATCCGGTACTTGTTTTATAGTAATATCAATGAGTCGATCGATTTCATTATTATTGTTATTTATAGTCATTGTCTCGTCTTCTACATTGTTAGAGCCCTGATATTCAATGGATAGATAGTGTCAATAATTATTTTTTTGGTGTGTATTTCTATCAGATGTTATCTATTATCTAAATATTTATACATTAGTTTTGCTATATTTATTATATGAATTGTTGGGAAACTTTGATGAAATTTTCAATAGCATTTCAATGGGTAGTATATCTTCGGCACAGTTGATGTCGCATGTCGTCAGATGATCGCGCAGATGATTGGGTCGACCGGCAAACACACAGTGACCACCTTTGGACAGAACATACAACTGATCAAACATTGACAACAATAGTGAGTTCGGCTGATGTATTGAAGTGACAATTGCCATCCGGTGCCGATCTGATAGTTGTTTCAGGCATTGTATAACCTTTTTTTATAAATAGAAATATTAATTATTTATTTAATAAAAAAACAATGTAATTATCAATTATTTAGTTATCGTTAAAAAATTAATTAATACTTTAGAATTAAATGTGTTTTTATTAACTTAAATATTTATAAATATAAATAAAAAAAATTATTTAAGGTAAATCTAATTTATATTAAGTTATAAAATATTACATTAGAAATTACAGACATATTATGCTAATAGTTATCAAGGTTACATAATTGTCAAATTTATGGCTAAAATATAAATGCTGAAAATAAATATTTAAAATAACTTATTGCTGTTATTTGCAAATTTATGACTATAATTTTACATCATAAACTTATTCAATAGCCATGTTTTTTTAATATAATTAAATTTTTTACGACAATTTCAAATGTATAATTTATGAGACAATTGTATCACAAGACAATAAAATAATCACAAAAAAATCAATTTAATTAAAAATTTTATATTTTCCAATGAATATATTTAAGATAAGCTTATATAAATTTATGGTATGCAGTCTACTATAAGCAATAAGTTATATAAAAATATATTTTTTCACAAAAAAAATAAAAATAATGCTATAAATTGACTTTTAAATTGAAATTGAAATATTCAATATAAAACTTTCATGAATTACATATAACTTTACTAAACTTAATATTGCTTTAGTTGAGTTAAATAGAAAAAATAAAATAAAACTCATATATAGTATACTGTATATGATATACAGTAGTCATTAATTTAAAACACATTGACATCAATATCTTTAGTGTATTATATTATTATATAAAATGCTTTAATTAATTTTCTAATAATAAACAAAACAATAAAAAAACTAAAATACCATTTCCGATGCATTACTATCTAAACCACTGGTGGGCTCATCGATACACAAGAGGTTTGGCTTAATTTGCTGAACCAATTCAAGACCGACGGAAAGTCGTTTCTGTTCTCCGCCACTACACGTATGGACAGCATTGTCGGCACAGTCTTCCAGTAGGAGTTCCTGAAGTATTTTCATGATATTCATGTTGTGATCAAAATTGCCATTTTTATCGTACGGATCGGACCACTTCTCCATTGTCACTGCTGTCGACTCATAGCTTTCATCGGATCCGTCTTCGCGGACATCGTTTAGATTTAACAATGAGGTACCAGTTTGTGCATAACTGTCCCGATAGTTGAGCTCCCGTTTTGACGACCGATTCTTTATTCTCGATGCAAATAATAATGATTCTCTAAATTAATTAAATAAATAAATAATAAAATACTTTTTGATAAATTAAATTAATTTTGATTAAATAAAATAAATTAAATAAAATTCGTATAAATTAATTATTTTTTTTGTGTGTTTTTATTATATATTTGTAAATTGAACATAAATAAATTATAATAAAATATTCATAAATAATAATTGAAAATCATATATAAATATTAGAAATACAGGTATAGTACTGTGTAATAATAATAAATTTATTTAAACATGATATGTTATTACATAAATACCATTGATAGTTAAAATAAAATATTTAAAAAATTATATTTAGCTATTTATTTCAGTTAACTACACTAATATTTATTTTTAACAAATTACAGTTATCATGTTTTGTGGTAATTTTAATTGCCCAGAACAAAATCAATAAATATACATTTTATAAATTTATTACTTTTTGGTTTATAAAATAAATTGCAAATATTTTATAATGTTGGCTATCAGTAAATTATGTGGCATCAAATAATGTCTAACAGTGAAAAAAAATAATATTTAATATTTTTTAAAAAAAATATTAACCCTTTATGCAAAATAAACAACAAATATTTTGTTTTAACATTAAAAATAAATTAGGTGTGTGAGAGAGAGTGTGTTAATTATTTAATTTTTTAAAAGTTTTAATTATATATTATATATATACTAATACTGTATATGAAGGTCATCAATATCGTCAATGCACTGCTGTTATCATAATTATATTGCACTAAACAAACTCTAATTAGTTTTTTATGTTTATATTTGATTTATTATCATTTGAAAGATCAAGTGTTTATAAATAAACATTTTTTTCAATAATAATATTTAAATTTTCTGATTTATTCTTTACAAAGAGTTTATTATCGTTTACTAATACACAATATGTTAAATAATATATTTTTTGATAAATTTATTTAACATAGTATATTATGTTTAATTATAATTAAAATGCAAAATCATGAATATCATAAGTAATGATAAAAATCATAAAAATAATTAATTAACTGATATTTTATTAATATCACAGTTATAAAAAATGTAAATTTTAAATGTTGTAATTTTATTAGATGAATAAACAAATTTAAGTAAATTTTATAGTAGTTTAATTAAAAAAAATATTTTATAATAATTGTAAAATATTTAAAATAAAAATATTAATTTATTATATATTTCAATAAAAATAATTAAAATACTTATTTCTAATTTAAATACAACAACAATTAGTATAATTGCATTTTCTATATATGTTTGATAGTCTAATAATAAATTTTAACAAAAATAAAAGTAAAATAATAAAATAAATAAATAATAATAATAATATTTAGTCTAAATAATTGAAATAGTCATACATTGCTGATAAAGAGGAAATATTTTTGTATACAATAATTCATTTATAGTAAGTCTTTTATTTTGTGACAACATTAGAGATGATTAAAATAAAAATAATATTTATATACATTGTAATTGTAATATTTGGATATAAAACAAAATAATATTTGCATTATAATAAAGTAAATTAAAATTAAATTAGAATTAAAAAGATGACCTTGACAATACAAGGTAATCATTTTTATACTGTATTATAATAATGTTGTTTTTTTGCTTATAACTTTATATTGATATTGTTCATTATTAAATATCAATATTAGCAACAACAAAAAATAACCTTCAAACTAACTATAAGTAGAAATGGGCAAATAGAAATTTCTAATAAATTTCCTGAGAAAATTTCTAGTAAATTTGTCAGGAATAAATTTCTATAGAAATTTTACTTTATTATTATACTGGGATAATCTATAGCTACTAATTTTAAACTTTATTAATGTGAAATAATACTGGTATACACTACACTACTATATAAATAAGATATCTATATATAAAATTAATATAATTATATAATTATAATAATATATTAATAAAATTTTAATAAAAGTTATCATTCAAATATATTTTTAGTTTAATGTAATTAAATAGATTAATATTTTATTTTAAATATTAATTAAAATACTAATATTATTATTTAGTTTTTATTTTAATTATAATGTATTTTTACAAGCTAACAAATATTGAGATAACAAAATTAACATGGGTATCCTATAGACAGAAATTTCTTTTAGAAACTTTCTAGAAATTTCTATCTCTTACCAACTTTAACTATAAGTCAATTTAATTTACAATTGTATATTCATCTAATAATATATACCTAATATAACAATACAGTACATACCTGACTGTCAAACCCATGAACAGGTGTTCATCAGACGATTGCATTATAAAACAAGTCCTTAAATCAGTATATTTGTTGACAAACATTTGCGAATCGCTAGTGAGGCCACAGTTGGGCCGCATATTAATACACTTCAATAGTGTTGTCTTTCCAGCACCGGAAGGACCCATCAGTGCTGTCAATGTATGAAAATTGATACAACCGTTCAAAGAGTTTAGTATAGTCTTGGATGGCCCGCAAAACAATGAATTTTGTACACAACACATGTCCAACCAGGCCATTGCCATCTCGTTTTTGTGACAATAGTTCATAACCATTGCTGACGGTGTGATAAATACTACCGTATATTCAATGTCTTCAATCAATCAATCAAACAAACAGTTCAAACCAGTAGATGTAAACTGTTTTTTGTTGTGAGAATTTCCACTGAATTTAATCATTGAGTTTCCTCTGTAATACTGTATCAAAACAGAGCACTGGTATGTTTAAAAGTGAAAGAAAGAGAGAGAGAAAAAAAAGAGTGAATATAAGTGAAATGTTTAATAATAGACAGTTTTCACACACACTCGCGGATGACAAGTACTGAGAGACACTGTGACAGACAGACTGTCAGTTTGAAATGAAATGAAAATAATAATAATAATCAAAATATTTTTAATATAACTAATTTATATCATATATACAGTATTTAAAGTAACAATTTTATTAAAAAATAGTTGATGTGTTTCCTTATCAGTTTTATAACTATAAATAACTAAATTAATAAGTTGTTAGTATTTTTTTTCGTTAAAAATCAAATTATATAGTTTTATTAATGTAAGTTATATAATAAATATAACAATTACTATTATTTATTTTTTTTTTGGGAAAAAGGACTAAAATTAACTGTTTAACTGTGAGGAAGTGTTAACACTGTAAAGAAATTCAACTATTTTTTATTATTATATACCTTATATAATGCTAAATATATGAATAATTTATGTGTTAATAAAATAAAAATCATTGTCATGTAATTTTGGACACACATTAAGCACACAAATATAAATATCGGTATATATTTTACATATAAAACCCCAAACACACACACAAATATATATACGCCGGTGCAAAAAACAACTATTTTTTGTAATTATTAGATAAGCACTTCAATCGTAATTCATATAGTTTTATATAATATATAAATATTAAAAGCACTGATATTTTTGGATATCATATAATAATAATAAATCTTTTGCAATATGAGTTAACATATCATAATAATAATGATAGTAAATCATATTTATTCACAAACAAACAAATAAAGTGTATTGAGTTTATTATGCATAAATAGAAATGGATGCATGTATTAGATAACAAAAAAAAACTTAACTAACTGTAAAAAAAACTAAACAAACAACAAATATTATATCAATATTATTGCCAATAAGATATTGATTTACAAATTCTAGTGTAACATAACATTGATGTTACAATTGAATATAAAACTAGTGAATATAAGCATAAAACAAAAGTTAATACTGTATATTACGAGTACTAAATATTTTATTTCAAAAAATTAAAAAAATATATAAATTATATACCTTAACATGAGTGCAAACATTATTTAAATAATAAATGCACTTAACAAATAATATTTTTTTTTAAATAATAATTTCTTACTTTTTTTTGTCTTATATGTAGTAATTCGTTCAATTAAAAAAATATAATTGCACTAATAGGAAATTATTAATTTATAATATAAATAGATTTTTATTTTTAATGACAAAGTTATGTTTGTTTTGAAGTATTTTAAAAAAAATTAAGCTCAAAAGTAAAGAAAACTTATAAACTTTTTAATACTTATAATTAAAATTAACATATTATCTATAATCCACAAATATAATAAATAAATTAAATAAATAACAAAAAAATAGACTTACCTGGCTTACCGAAAAAATAGGCTGTATAAAACAATATTATTATTTTGATGATAATATTTCAGGGATAAAATTACATTTATTTATTATTAATGTTATAATTTAAAACCATTTTAATAATTGATAATAATAATTTTTAAACATTAAACATTTATATCGTTGTACACAATTTAAGAATTTTAACTGTAATTAATTTTTTTAATCACATAATGATTAACAGTAAAAATATTAATTTGTATTTATTTGATAATGATATTTACTATACAATTCACTAATACTTATAAAGTATGACATTTTGTTGATTATTTTGATTTATAAATATATATTTATATTAAAACTTTATTATACATTAACTGTTGATATACTGTACTTTTTAGGACGATAAAAAATAATTGACACTAAACAAGTCTATCACACATTTATATATTATAAAATCAATAAAATATAAATTAGTTTATATTAATATTAAATTTTTAGTTGTGTGTTTGTGTGTGTGAACCGGCATTAATACTATTTAATATATTATTTAATGATATTTTTATTATATATAAAAATTATTTTTTATTAAAATTTAATTAAGTTTTTTCTGCATAATAATAATAATAATAATAATGATGTCTAATAATGATACATTAAAATAATCATTAATGACTGATTATTCAGTATAATTACTTAAATTATTATTATTAATAATAATAATTAATGTTATTGTTAAATAATTATTTTTATTTTATATACGTAACTTACATATATACAAATTTATGTTAAATATAGTATCCAAAACTTGTTGACATTGATGTTTTTTTTGTTGGGAACGGCATATTGAATCAACATACCTCTGCCCATAACTGACTTTTAACTAAATATCTCAAATGTCATAATATATTAAATTTATTTATTAAATGTATAGACACAATATTTAAATATATAAGCATTTTTGCATAATTAAATTTGCATGTTAGCGGTGATTATGTTAATGATAATGATAACAATTTTTTTAAAATTAAAAATATAAATATAATTTTATTATTGCTAACTATTATAATATTATGTTCAATAAAAAAATTCTACTAATCATTTATAATACATTAAGCAAATGAAAATAAACATGAAACATTTTTATTTATTTTTCATTATCACTATAAATAATTATCACATAGTTTATGACATTTGAAAAAATAATAAAAATAAATAAATAGATATTAAAATTTAATCATTAATGTAAAATATTATAAATATATAATTTTATATTTGAAAAAATAATAATATTTATATTTTCTAAATGTATTTACAAATAAAATATCAATATATCGATTTTTTATATAATAGCACATGCACCAAAATTATATTATACAGTATATACAATATATTGCATATTCAATATTCTATATTAGAAAAAATATTATAACATTAGAGGTGTGCACTGGTATTATAAACACAAGAATATTCGTGTGATTTGTCAGAATATTCTTAATTAAAAATTATTGTTATAAATAGCTTATAGATAATTAATAAATAATAAAAATAATTATATCTATTCAATATAGGAATTAGTATTTAAAAATATTTATAAAAACTATTTATTAGGTATTTAATAAATTTATTAATTCTTAAATTGTTAACTTTTTTTTTAAAAATAAATAATTAATTGTTTATATATATAGTTTCTATTTACAATAATTACTTACATTAAATTTTTAAGTATAATATTATACTTAAATAAAGAGATTAAATATTTTTTTTAATCTACAGCATATATTTAATATATTTAGCATTGGTTGACAAATAAAATAAACTTTAAAATTAAATTATTAGTTTATATTTAGTTTAGTTTATATTTATGTTATCAGTATTCTATAGATTCTCAAATGTTTAGAGCAATGTTTGTCTGTTTAATTATTACACTATATTAAAGTATTATTATTTATATTAATAATTTTTTTTTATCAGAAACACACATACGCTAAAATACATATATAATAAATTGTATTTATTATATACCGATGATAATCATATTGCGTGTGTAAAATTAATATCTCAATATTATATCTAATGTTTGTAACCTATTTTAGAGTATTTTCAATGTTAAGTATATTGTCGTTTGTTATAATCATATAGTGTTAGGGTTGCTATACGTCCTCTATTTTATTTTAATTTAACCTCTAATATTATTTTTCAAATATTCTTTATCTAAATATGATCTAGCAACCTTATATATACTATACATATAACATATTGAACATTAAAAAATCAATTGTAATTTTATATGAAAACCGTATATAAAAAACACATACAAAAATAAAAATATGAAATCGATCTAAAAGTTATATCGATTAGTGAAATACTTAAATAAATGAATAGTAATATTTACATCATATTGATTATTAAATATTCAACATTTTAATATTAAACAAATATAATAGATAAATGATTAATTAAACTAAATTACGAAACAAACAATTATTTATAGATAAAATTATACACTTTCTCAAAATTAATTTATTTGTTATTTATTACAATATTTATTGCACTAAATAACTCAATTGTAATAACTAAAAATTTCATTATTATATTATTATTGTTTCAAATAAGATAAATATTACTTATAAAATTAATCCAAAAAACAATTAAAATGTTTTTTGATAACAATAATAATAATGTACATAAATAATAATTATATTGTTATTACTTAATAATAGAGTATAAATTTTAAAAATTAGTAAATTAAATTTATATAATTTAGACTATATTAGGTAGTATATTAAAAAATATGTGAGAAACAGTAATATTATATTTACTGCTAGATTATTAAGTATACAAATTATCAATTATATATTAGTTACTAATTATGTTTTTTTAAATAAAAAATTATATTTTAAGTGGCATTGAAGTCAATCAATCAATGATAAGATATATTGATATTTAACAAATTTTATATAATATACTTTTTTGAAGTTTATTAATCATTGAGAAGATTTACATAAATAAAAAAGTATTGATTTGACAAATTAACAACAAATACACTACTTTAACATTACAATATTCGATGTAAATGACAATTTTACTATTATTAAAATACAATATATACTGTATTAGTATTAAAGTATTGGTTTTAATTAATTAGATTAACTGTATTAATTGAATTTATTAAATCAAGTTAACTATTTGTTTATAGATTTTTAAGCCTTTTTCTTTATTTAATAATAACAGAAACTTATATTTATATTTTAATATATTTAGTAAATATTATTTTTAAATATATCTGTGTATCATTAAATGAAATAATATAAGTAAATAAAAAAAATATTGTATATATATATGTTAAATATCAGTATATTTTTATTAAGTCTAAAAACATTATATTGTATATAAATATTTATTTATTAAATTAAATCCCATAATAAAGTTCATAAATTAAAATATTAAAAAAATTAATATATTTTTTAAAAATAACTAATAATGATAATGTCAAATTAATCAAATATAATTTCATAAATAATTTACATTATTTTCTTGAGCATCTAAGCATTGAAAATATTGAACATAATAAATAATCAATGCTAACAATAAACAAAAATTTAATTTCATTGCGAATAATTTTTTTGTATTACTGTAAAAATTATTTAAAAAATACTCTATTTATATACTAACTAAATTATACACGAATTAATTATATTTTAATCTTACTTATTATTAATAATTTCTTTATTTATTAATTTATTATACTATATTATGTAATGAGTATAATAATTCTAATAATTACTGTTTTAAAATATATTATATGCTATAATAAAATTATTACTAATACTATTAAGTTTTATATAAGTTTATTCTATTTATTATATTTTGAAATACACTATATTTTATTAATTTATTATATTATTTAAAAAAATGAAATATTTTTATCAACTTTTTTGTCGTCATACTATGAATATAATTAATTGACATATGTATATTATGTTCTATTAAGTTACTAATTTTGCAAATAAATAGTATTAAATAAATAAATTAAATTACTTATTTATATTATTATATAACTTTTGTTTTAATTACTTTTATAAAATTAAACTATAAATACTGTAATATTTACTGCTAATAATAAAAATAACTAATATAATTGATAATAAAAAATAAAATATATATTTTATTTTTTATTATCAATTATACTAGTTATTCGTTATTAATTAATTATATTCATAGTTTGATAAAAAATATTTCACTTTTTAATAATATAATAAATTAATAAAATATAGTCTATTTCAAAGTATAGCAAATAGAATAAACATATAAAAATACTTAATAGTATTATTAATAATTTTATTATACTATATAATATATTTTAAACCAGTAATTATTACAATTATTACATAATATAGTATAATAAAGAAATAAATAAAGAAATTATTAATAAAAAGTAAGGTTAAAATATAATTTAGTTTGTATATAAATAGATCATTTTGTTAAATAATTTTTTAATTTACTGATAATATCTTAGTAATTACTTTTAGTAGAGTAATACAAAAAAATTATTCGCAATGAAATTAAATTTTTGTTTATTGTTAGCATTGATTATTTATTATGTTCAGTATTTTCAATGCTCAGATGCTCACGAAAATAATGTAAATTGTTTATGAAATTATATTTGATTAATTTGATTAATGTGACATTATCATTATTAGTTATTTTTAAAAAATATATATTAATTTTCTAAATTTTTTTATTTATATACTGTTAATATATTAGGAAATATTCATATATTCATTGGTCAACGGGAGTAATATTGGTGATCTGTACAATGCAAACAGTGGCCAATTTATCGGCACTAATATATTTGGCAATCGTTTGGCCAATTTGTCGGTTCAATCAAATAGTGTGGGAGATGATGATCAAAATATAAACATTGCAATTGTTTACAATGTTCATGATAAATTTAACCATTTTCAATTGACTAGTTTACAAAAATTGCATCTATTAGCCCAATCAATTAAAGTAGATGATGATAATGGTGCTAACAAATATCTGCTTGATCATCAATCCTCAACAAATGTGCAAGTAGCGTTTATCAAAACTATCAAAAGTAAATCTCAGCATGTCAATTTAGATGATGATAGTGTCAAAGCCGCTATCAATTGGGAAAGTCTATTGCATACCAGTGCCACACATGTTGTTGTGGGCATTGAATGGGGCACTCGGCTTATCGCTGCGATCGGCGATAGCAATAGTGGCAATAAAAACAGTGCTATTATTGGCAACCAATTGGAGCGCACTGTCCAAACGGTTTACAATAACGTAGAAATCAATGGCCAATTCAAGTCATACAACAATAAGATAAATAATATTAATTTATTTGACTACCGGTTCAAATTGTTTACCGATATTAAACCTGATACTACACCCGTTACTATTGTCGATGCTATTTCCTATGTAAAATACTATAAAACTGACCATGCTAAACAATTGAACTACAAGATTATGCCGATTAGTCATTTGATTTCATTAATGACTCAAACAAAACCCAATTATAAAACAATTGCAAAACAAATTGATAATGAAATTGTTGATAAATTTGTACAATTATTTTATAATATGATTACAATTGAACAACAATTCAATGATTATATTTATGGTAAACAATCAGTCAAAGATAGATTATCAGTGGCTAATCTAACTGAACTCAAACATGATTTTGTTTTATTTAAAAATAATTTTTCAAAAAAATTGATTGAATTGCTTAATAAAATTGACACAATAGATGATAATGATTGGTCTCAATTTGTTAATCATTATGATGTGAGTCATTCAAAAGTTGATGAATTCAATAGTAAACTTAAAAAGTTTCAATCACTGGTGTCTACTCATCATCAGCTTATTGATCCAATTGTTTCAAATGTCAATAGATCATCAACATTATCATCATCATCGGTATCATTGCAACAAACAAAAACGTCAAAATACTATAATGAAAATTTTATTTACATATGTGGTGGTAATTATAAAAACAAATGTTATAAATATGATATACGTAAAAAAGTGTGGCAACAAATTGCTAGTATGAACTATGGTAGACGTGGTTTTAGTTTAATTACATTATATAATCAATTGTTTGCCATCGAAGGTCTGAATGTATGAAATCAATTTGAATTTCCTTTATATACCGTTTATATAATTTTATATAAAATTTCTAATTTATCTTTTAGGATGAGCCGTATTACTCGGTTGAAGTATATGACCCGTACAATAATTTTTGGCGATTGGGTTCGTCATTAAATATTAAACGACAGTAAATATTGATTATAATAATATTTTTAGATTACTCTAATAGTTTGTACAAAAAAATTACAATTATTTTTTTCAGATATTATGGTGCTACTGTTTTATACAATAATATTTATGTATGTGGTGGCAGTTATAATGATTGTATGTTATTATTTATATATAAATTTATAAACCTGTATACATAATTGTTAGCTTTATATAATAATTATTTTTATAGGGATAAAATCGTGTGAATATTATACGCCATCAACTGATGAATGGATGTTTAGTACACCACTGACCAGTGGTCGCAGTGAACTGGCTCTGGTAGCACATGATGGCTATATCTATGCCATTGGCGGAAGAGATAATAGCAATTATGGATTAGATTTAGTCGAAAGATTTAATACACAAAACAAAATATGGAGTCGAATGGCTAATATGTTATTTAAACGGTTTAATTAAATATTATTATAACTATTATGTTGTTGTTGAATAGTAACGATAAAATTATTATATATGTTTAAAAAATATATATTTAGTACCCAATGTGCTTCAGCATCATTCATGGGTAGTATATATGTTTGCGGAGGTATTTACAACACTAATGACAGCTATTATTATACAAATTCTTGCGAGAAATATGATTCAGATAAAAATCAATGGACTTCTATCGGTAAGTCATAAAATATTATTAATATATGCTTATATAATAAAAGTTATATTACTAAAAATAAATATTAAAACTAATTAATTAATATATATATTATAGCTAATATGACTACATCGAGAAGTGATTTTCATTTACTTGTATACAATGATAAATTGTACGCCATTGGAGATAGTTGTATGATATTTTCATTTACTACAATATAAAAAACAAATAATCTAAGATTAATGAAATAAATATTTTGATTTTTTTTAGCCCAAATTGATGTTTACGATTATCAATCGGATATTTGGACTAATACAGTGTCACTGCCTAATTATAATTATGAATTTGGGGTAATGTTATTTTTTTACAAAATAATTTTTATAAATATTTTTTTAAAATTTAAATAGGCAGCAATTCTATAAACAATTAAATGATGGTTTAACGTTATTAACAATTTTAAACAATAATGTTTGTCAATATGAATACATTGAATATTAATTTAAAATTAGTTTATTATATTCATTATTTAACCAATTATTTTTATTTAATAATTATTACATATAAAAATTTATGTTTATAGATTCAATAGATGGCAATATATAGTACAGTATATATATATACTGTATAGTATTATAGTAAATTTATATAGCTCAAGTTTCAATATTAAATTAAAGCTAAATTGCTAATAATTTTAATAAATTGATAGCAATTTAGTAAAACAAATATTTATTTTATTTGATAAAAAAATAAATTACATTATCAAGCAATTAATACACACATTATTATATAGTATTATACCGTATAGTAATATTATTTGTAATAAATTAAAATTAATTTATACTAATTAATTTACATTATAACTCAAAATTATTAAAGTAGAAATCAAATTAAATATACAGTATTATTTGATACAATAAAATAATTATAGCATACATAGATGCAAACATTTTCAGCAACTTATTTATTTTAATATTAATATAAATTTGTGTATACTATACTTGTATTATCATTATTAAATAAAAATCTAAATAAAATAATTTAAAATATATAAATTTAATTAATATTTATATAATGCACTTATATAATAAACTGCAGTATATTAATTTAAAACAAATTCAATAGTGTTCCCAATTAAGTTCAATATCCGGATTAATATAAATCCTAGCAATTTGTGTACATTTATTGCACATTTCATGTAAATAGTTATCATTTTGAAAACCATTTTCGCCATATAATCGTAAAGTTTTCAAATTTCGAAACCGAATCATCAATTTCAACAAATTTTCAGTTATTTTCAGATTTTTTAGCGATAAATACTCGAGATTTGGCATATTATAGACAATTTTTGACATATTATTGTCTTCATTATCATCTATAAGATGATACTCTGTATCAAACGTCAAGTGAGTCAATCGTTTACTTCTAATCAATTGTAAAAGATTTTTGACATTATATCCTCTGATCTCTAGTCGTCGCAAACTATTAAACTGATTGTTGATTACTGTCAACAAGTTTTCATCGACTTTCGGAGCATTTATGACAAGTGATAATCGCTTTAATTGTCGACACTTGAGTCCAATTTTCTGAAGATTATCAACAAATAGCGGACACATACTGTTCTTGAAGAATGTAATCTGAAGATCATTCAATTGATTCATTTGCGACAATCCTGTCATCAGTATTTCAATGTATTTCTCATCGCAAGGCCTATCAATTGTCACATCAATTGATTTCATACCAGACTTATAGTTGAAGACAAACCTTTGAAAATCTTGCGAGTCTTTGGCTGAAAATTCAAAGACAAACTTCTGAAGTTTGCTAAATACTTCTTTACCATCGCTGGTAAATAGCAGCGAAAATGCCGAAAATGCTGTTGAATTCAATGGGAAACTAAAGTCTTTCATAATATCTAAGTTAAGAGCCGTAATGTTTAAGCATTTCTGGATATTTTGTTCAATAAACTTGTGAAACAAATTGCTGTTAATTGTTTTAAATGTAATATTTTTCAATTGTTTAGCAAATTTTTCGAAAAACCTTTCGATAGTTTCCTTATTGATGTCGCCATCGGTGGTAATATATATGGTATGCAAGTGATGACATTGTTTGACTATCAGATCAAAAAGTGAGACGTTGTCAGTAATGTTAATATTTATATAAATTGATGTAATGTTTGGACATTTCTTCAAAATGGTCTCAAATGCTGTCAAAACTAAACTTTTGTCGCATTTATTATTATTAAAAAATATTTGATTTTTATTTATTATTAGTTCAGTTTGTGTCGTAAATATCAATCTTTGCCACTGTTTTGCTATACATTCGTATTGAAATTTTTGATTAAATGTTAATTGACTTAACAATACTTCACATAAGTCATCGCCAAATCTATCAAATGAATCTTTACTGTAATTTTGTGGCATTTTTTAAAAGTATTAATTATATTAGATTTCACAAAAATATAGTATATATTACATATATATTACAATATTAAATATTAAAAAAATAATAATAACTTCAGCAGTTTAGTTATATTTAGTCATTTCTTGATAAAAATACAACATAACATAAATACAGTATAACGTATTACATTAATAAAATTTATTTTTTTAATATCCTAGCATCGTCATATTGATGTGTAATTTATATAAACAACTAAATGCTAACATTAATAACTACAGCATAATAGACATTTGTTTACATTATCTAATAAAATGTTTATTTTATGTAATTTCATAGAATATTCTGTGTATTACATATAGATATTGATACAGAGATTGTAAATAAAGTAATAAAATATTAACTATACAGTGTATATAGATATAATACATGCGCTAATACTGTATAATAGTTACATTACAGTATCGTATAATAAGTGAAACTTCAGTACTGTATGTTATTTTATGGCATAATATTTAGGTTATATTTTATTAGAGAATTAATAAGTTTTATGATATATAGTTAATAAATATTATAATATGAGTTGAGTTTAGTAAATTTCATGTCCTATGGTTTAATATTAATATAATTAAGCAAACACATAAAACTTATATTTAAATATTAATTTAATCGTTAAGTTTATTTATGAAATTGCTAGTACAGTATATCATAAGATATATTATCAATAATAATTTATTATACCATATTTTCCCCCAAAATTGTTTACTATGGATACACTTGAATATATAATTCAAGTGTATTACAGAAACTTTATTTATTAACTGCTAATTAATTTTAAATTATAAAAATTATTGTTATATAAGTATTGTAAAATACGGATTTAAAGTGCAATACAGTCACGTAATATTTATATTGAAAATTATTAATTAATAATTTATGTCTTTTATTATTTATTGTTATTAGTTTTTTAATACATACAATTTGATTGTCAATTTAATTTTATGAATGACACTATTATTCACTATAATTTCTTTGTCTATTATAACTTTGGCTATAACTTAATTAAAATCTCTCTCTCTCTCTCTCTCTCTCTCTCTCTCTCTCTCTCTCTCTCTCTCTCTCTCTCTTTCTCTCTCTCTAGCTTTCTCTGTATAATAATAATACAAATACTGTACAATAACAATGATTTATTTTAAAAACCTACTAAATTATATAACTACTAACAATGACAAACGGAAATTATATTGTTAATAAAAATGACAAACTATTGAGATTTTTTAAGTCATTAGTGATTAACAGGTTTTCAATTGAAAGAAAAAATTCCTATATTGTTATAATAGTGAAGAAAAAGTCTAATTTAATTTATAATACACTAATATATCAATGTTAGGGATCTAATCAAGTTATTGATATATATATATAGCAAAAAAATGAATTTTTTAGTAAATATTAGTTGTTTAGCCATCACTCTCATCGTCATCATTGGCACCGGTGTCCTAGTGTCGGGTGAAGACAAAAAATGTGACATAACTGAAGAACAGGCCGAAAGTTGCGGCGTTAAAATGCAATTATTGAATGAAAACGTGACACTTCCCAAAACAGATCAGGAAATACTTGACAAATGTGGCGATATTAACAAAGGGATCGACTGTTTTCAAAATTATGCCAAAAACTGTTTGGATAATATGTCGGCCCGTATGATGACAATGATTGCCCGTAACGGCAAAAAATTGGCCGACAAAGTGTGCAATAGTGAGGCCAGTCGTAAAGGTAATAGGATTCAACTAATAGTAATAGAACTGTAAGATAATTGATTGGATAATATTTTTTTAATTTTACTTTCTTTTAAATAGAGTTAATACAACATTTCAATTGTTGGCCAACAGCTGAAGATTTGCGTTCAATTAATATCTGTTTTGACAAATATATCGTCCAAATGGAGAGTTTGGCCACCGTTTCAAATGAAGATCGTATACCAATAACCTGTTGTTCGTATCAAATGTTAAAGTCGTGTCTTAAGGAAAAAGGTTCACAAAAATGCAATAAACCAGAATCGGTGGCCTATATCGACAATATGGCCACAGGAGTGGTAAGTATTGACTTTCAGTTTAGAGTTTCAGATTTCATTTCTCTTATAAAATATTTTTTTTTTAATTTAAAAAATTATTTTTGTAAATGATTTTTAATATATGTTGACTAGACTGGTGAATTGGTTAAGTTTGTTTGCGGCAAATTCAAGACCATTGATGACTGTAAAACCAAAATGAATGGCGATTCGTGGAAAAACCTACAGGAAATGGTGGCCAGCGATGACCCGGAGGTGATTAAGTCAAAGAAAAAGTATCCGACACCGTTTACAGCCATGAGAGAGATTATTAAAAAATTTAGAAATTAAATAAATATTTTTGAATTGTTAAGTATAAACATAAAATATTGTTGTTTTTTTCTCAATAAAAATTTGTTGAATAAATTAATCATTGAATCTATGTGTTAGTAGTAAATTGATTTAGTAAAATTTTATTTATAGATAATTTTTGTTGTTGTAAATATTGCAAACTTAAATATTGTATAAACTGTATTTTATATACAGTGTATTGATTTAAAGTAGAGATTCAAAAATATTTACCTCAATTGCTATCAATATTTTTATTAAAATTATTAATACTAACAATATAAGTATACATAAGTATACATTGTAAGTAAAGTGTTTGCTTAATTGTTTATGAGCTAATACAGTATTGATAATACAGTAGCAATTTGATATAATACTGTATTAATAGTGCATTTCAGAGTCAATTAATTATATTGTGTTTAAAGCACCTGTAGTTTACAGGCCAGTATCATAAATAGGTTCAATAAGTAGATTCAATATTATTAAGAAAATTAGATTAAACTGTATATAAGTTTACACTATTAATAGATTAATAAGAAATTTATTTTAATTAAATTTTATTTTAAAAAATTAATGGTAAAAATTTCTTAAAATATATGAAATACTATTTTTTATGATCACACAATAGTTTTAATACTAAATTAATTAATTTTGCTACAAACAAAATAACTCAAAATTGATTCAAATTTTCCATAAATTTTATATTATTTATTTACTTTAATTATGTCGATTACAGTCAAAAATATATTTTTTAAAATTGAAAACTTTAACACATGAGTAACTCAAGTCATTAAATGCTTTCACATTTAAAAAAATATTTAGACAAAAATATAATGAATGTATTTTCCATATTTAAAAAACAAAAGTATTTTTTTTAACTCACGTAATATAGATATTAGGCATAAAATTAATAATTAATTTAAGAATTGTCTCCTATTAAGACAGACACTTAAAAAATATAAATAATAAAAGATAAAATAAAATCACTCATATAAATAAAATTTTCATTGTTTATTTTCAATTTGATTTTATCAATGGTATTATCAATTTGATGACTAAAATCATAAAACAAATTAGAAAAACAAAATAATTGTTTTTATAAATCAAATGGAAATTTCTTGTTTTTTAAGCATTTAAATGTGAAAGTCATAAAATTGCAATTATTTTATTGACTGACTAACCGATTAATTTATTGATTCACATTAAAAACAATATAATTATTATAATATTTTAAGCTAGCTCTTTTTAGCAACAATACACCTTGCTTATTTGACAAAAAATAGATAAATTGTAGCAAATATTTAATTAATTGTAAACAAAAAAATTTTCATATGTGGTATATAAATATTAGGATTACTAAATTATAGTTTCAGATAATTTTTTTTAACGGCCAATATTTAATAATCATACTGTACCCTGATTACTTTCATAATTATTTTTAAATTTTATTATTTTTCTCATAATAAATAATCTCATATTTCTGTAAATTATTAAAAGAAATACAATATATTTAATATGTCGACAATTTTACAAAAACTTTTAACTCAGTGTTCATCAATAGTGCTATTGTTAGCACTGGTAGTCAATGGACGTCCGAAATGTGAAATTTCCGACGCTTATGCCAATGAATGCGGCAAAAAGTTAATGTTTATATCGCCCGATGAGGTACACCTGCCTAATGATGACACGGAATTGAAGACCCGATGCGCCGACATTGACGAAGGACTCAAGTGTCTGAAAAAGTATAGCAAAAGTTGTTTGGATCCGTTTGCCACACAAATGATGAATTTGGTCGTCAAAAATGGCGACAAACTTGAGGCCAAATATTGCAAGAATGACTCAGAAAGGCTAAGTATGTATTACTAAAATGTGTATTGTATTCAAAAGGGGTAGTCATTCAACAAAAAAATTCATTATTTTATTTTTCCCCCCAAAAGAACTGCTGAAATCCTTCCAGTGCGCCAAAGATGCCGATTTGTCACCCATTAAGTTATGTATCGCTAAATTTGTCGTTCAGGCCGAACACTTGGCCGACGTTCCCGGCGATCACCGAATACCTGCTGCCTGTTGTTCCTTTCAAATGCTGAAAAAATGTATTCAAGATAAGTCTGTAGGTCTGTGCAACCAACCCGACAAAGTTAACTATATAACCAACTTTTTAACTGAATTGGTATGTATTATATATATAGATATTTATTTTTATCAATTTTTAATAATCATAAATATATAGATTCATTAAATATAATGTTTGTGATTTAGACTAGTGATGTTGTGAAGACAGGATGCGGTAGGTTTGACAGTCTGACCCATTGTAACAGTGCTATGGATAAGAAGGAATGGGAGAAACTGAAAGAGTTGGTCTCGTCCGACAATATGGATGTAATTCTGGCCAAACGGGTCGACTCATCACCATTTATGGCGCTCAAGCATATCATGAAACATCTAATTGAAGAATAAAAAATTATTTTTGAATTATTTTTTTTAATTATATTACTACTTATTTGCTAATAATTTATATATAATTAGCAATAACAATAAAATTAACAATACATATATTGTTTATGCAACATTGATAACAAACAAAATTATTTTTATTCACTATTATTACAAATAATTTACTGAATTTGAATATCCAATTCATTTATAACATAAATTATTATTTATTTAGACAAAAAAAGAGAGAAACCGATCATTTCTATCAATTCATATCTATATAAATAATATATATTTTTTTCACTATTATAGCTTTAATTAATTTTATGCTAATATATAATTTAATAAATGACAAACAATAAATACATTTTTTTACCGAACATGACATTACGTTTTTTTAAAAATTTTTATTTGAACAGTCAAATAGTTGTTAAACATTTAGTTTAATATTTTTAGTTTAATATGTAATAAATTTACAAAAAATATACTAATAAATATTTTTTCTAATAGCTTTATAATATCTGATAAATATATATATATATATATTAAATAATTTAATTATTTATTTAATAAGAATTGACAAAATTCTTAAATAAATAAAAAAAAATTGTTTTTAATATATTTTAGATTATTCTAATTGTAATAATTACATAAATAAAATTTAAAAAATTATTGCATAATAGTGAACAAATAAAATCATTAACATAATTAATTTTTCAAAAATTAGTGAATTTGTATTGAAACAAATAATAACAATAGTAAACAATATAATATAAACAAAACAATATAAAAACTAAAGAAAAATACTAAAGAAAGTAAAAGTAATTTTTTTATAGATTTTAGTTATAAGATTTATTTTAAATAAATTATAAATGTGTGCTTTAAAATAATTTTATCTATCATTAATTATGAAATATATTTTAAAAATTGTTTTTAAAACATACAGTATATTTCAAAACATATGTAAGTGTAAAAATATCAACAATTGTGCTGTCTTATTAATGGTTTTTAGTTATTAATTAGTTTTTTAGTTGACATTACAATAGAAATTATTAAGACTAATAAGCAAACTATTAAAAATTAATTAAAAATTATTAATGATAAATGTTAATATAATAAAATTACTATTATAATTTCAAATAAATTATGTAGATGCAAATTATTACTGTAAAAATACACTATATATAAATTTTTGAAATACAATAATTTTTTCATTAAACTAATATGATAAAAAATTGTTAAGAAAAACATTTTTTTATTATATTAGATAGTTTATAGCTAAAATTTTATTTTTGTTATTAAAAAAAATATCATGTACAATTTATTAAATTACGTTAGCTATGGTAAGTAATAAAAACATTTAAAAATAATGTTTAAAACATTAATTTATTCTTATGTATTAATTAACATTTATTTGATATTTATTTAGTTATCATTTTGTTAATTATACCGCAAATTATATTGTCGTGTGATGTGGATCACCATAAACTAGAAGTATGTGTAGAAGAGTCCGTATTTATCGGTAATCCCAATGCCATAGTGCCGGCCAATGATGCAGAAATGGAGCAGCATTGCAGGTATATTGATAACTAAATATATTATCCGTTAATATATATGTCTACAACAGTATGGTTAAGGGCGGCATTAAGTGTGCGGGTGATTACGCCGATACATGTCTGAATGGTTTGGCGCAATCGGTTACCCGGATAATTGTCAAAAATTTTGATAGCCATATGCATAAACGATGCAATCAACCGAAAGATAGGGCAGACTTTATCGATAATGTCAAATGTTTTCTACCAAAAGAAAAGATGAAACCATTGTATGTCTGTTACGATAAATATATTAAATCAATGGATATTGCCGTACATATGCCCAAAACAGACGCATTTATGCCATTGGTTTGCTGTGGCTTTCATTTGTTCAAACAATGTGTTTTGACTGAAACCAAAAAGATCTGCAGTGATGCTCACGCAGAGTATTGGGACGACGTTTATGACGAAATTGTCAGTCAATTATTATTATTATTAATGTTATCAGATTTGTTGATCAATTTTTATTAATAATGTTTTCTTATGCTTTATTCATATATATATATATTGTTGTTATTGGTCTCGACAGTCGGCAGAGGCTATTACCTATGCGTGCAATCAATTTGAGACGGTAGACGAATGTAGCAAAAATTTGGACCCTAAATACTGGACCCAATTGTCGACTATAGACAAGGCAACTGATCCGGCCGTCTGGGATCATGGTCGCACCACTTTTATTAAGTATGTCCTCGATCTAATCCAATCGTTTCATATGGATAGTTCATAAATATTTTATTAAATAATTTGATATGTTTTTTAAAAATAAATATTTTATTGTTTTATCAAAATTAATTTTAATTTGTTTACTGCTATTATTGTTTATTAGTTTTCGTAATCAAAAATGAAATTATAATTTTAATTTTAATAACACTTTTATAATTTGTTTTTTTTCTAAATATTACTATTAATTTGTTTGTATAATTAAATTTATCTTTTTCTTGTAATGAAAATCTTATAAATTTAAATAAAATAAAAAAGTGCACAACAAGTTGCTCAAAATTATATATTAATAGAAAATTATTTTATTTTATTTAACTATTACTTATTATAATTGGCAAATTAGCAAATTTAAATGTTTTTCTATACAATAAACAACATTCATTAGTTAGCTATTGTGTCTTATAATTAATGGTTTTGATTGATAAATTATTATTTTAATAATAATGTAAATTGTTGTTATAGCTATTGATAATAAATGAGTTTTTAACAATAGGAACAAATAATTAGTTGTTGATTAATTTGTTTTAATTAAATAATTAAAAAATACAATGAAATTAAATTTAGTAAATTATTATCACTTAATATATAAATAAAAGACAAAGTCAATTGAAAAATATTACTAATTTCTATTGACTTTCTATAGATAATCTTGAAATTTTATCATGGCAAATTTATATGCAAACTTAGTTTTTATTTGTGGTTTGTATATTTTTAATTATTACATTTTATTTATTATAAAAAATTATTACTTTTAAAACATTTTGATATATATACATGATATAATATTTTATTGCTCGTAATTAGATAACAATAATTAATATTTTTATAATTATAATTATAAATAAAACTTTTTTTTTATTAGCAATACTTGTGGCCATAGCACCTGGATACAAATTTGATTGCAAGATGACATTCGAGCAATTAGACGAATGTGTAGAGCACGCCATGTTTATCGGTAATCGTAACGCCATAGTGCCGACCAATGAGGCCGAAATGGATCAGCACTGCAAGTAATATCATATATAAACTATAAATAATACAATGATAACTATTTTTAATATTAATAAAAAAAATAAGTGTATATAAAATTTACTGATAGCACAATCAAAGACGGTATCTCATGCGCCCGCGACTACGCATCTACCTGTGTAACCGGTTTCCCGCAACAGGTGACCGGTATGGTACTGACCAATGTTGGACAACTGATGGAGAAACGATGCGGTACACCGAAAGAAAGGGCAGAGTTTTTAGAAAATGTCAAATGTTTTATACCCAGTGCTGAAAAAATGAAACCATTGCACGACTGTTTTGACAAAAATATTAAGATCATGGAGTTGGCCAGTCAGCTCAATGCCGACGACCCGCATATGGCCTTTGTTTGCTGCGGTCATCATCTGTTCAAACAGTGTATTGTTCAAAACACTGCAAAGATTTGCAGCAGTGGTCACGCAGACTATTGGGATGACGTGTTTGATGAAGTGGTCAGTTAGTTATTAGTTGGCGATGGGGGGAGGGGAGGGGTTAAAAATTCAATTATTTTGAGGCTAACATTTATATCCTATTTATAGGCCTCTGAGGTTATAGCGTTCGCGTGCGGCGACTTTGACACTGTCAATGTTTGCCAAAATAAAATGGATCCGAAATACTGGAGCCAATTGGCAACCATTGATTCGGCAACTGATCCAGCCGTATGGCACCATAGTTATAAAACACCCGTTAAATTTATGTTGGATATGATACACAAATTTCATATGGATGGATAAATTTCTACATAAGCTAGACTACAGAACATATTAGTTATTATTTTTTTTTTTTTGAGGGCTAAATCAGTTTTATGAAACATAATATAAAGTTTATTAATGATGGCTAAAGTAAATGACTGTAAAAACAATAATAAAATTTATAAAATATTTCACGAGATTTATTATTACTATATTTGATTTGAATAAATTGTTTAATTCATGATTTTTTTGTTAATTCATTTTATTCGTTATTTTATTTGACAGTTATTTGATTCGACAGTTATTATTTGAACAGTTATTTTTGAAACAAAGTCTTTATTTGATGACAATGAGTGAACCCAACGATCAGTCCAAAGTGTGTCCAATAAAAACACAATCACCGGTCACTCCTAGACAGTCAATTATATCATCAAACCAGATCCAGCCATCAGTTCCCAGTCAAGTGCAACCATCAGCACCAATAAAACTGCGACAGCCACACGAATGTATTGTTCACAGACCGCCATCACTACCACAACCACAGCATCCATCAGCTGCTTATGTGCCAACCGGTGAGCCGATAAAGACAGTCAATAGAAAACCTCAAGTCCGTAGTGATAGAAACAGTGATTTGGTTTACTCTGTTTTAATGGCATTTCAGGCTATACTCTGTGTTATCATAATTATTGTTTCGGTAGTAATTATCATATTTTTTGGTCATTGGAGTCAATCCAAGTATATGGAAACAGACTATATCTTCTGCATTCAGGAACCAAATGACTGTTACATCGACAAAGCGTTTGCTTATCTGGTCAGCTATTGGATGATTTTAGTCGAAATTATTGGTTTGGTAGCACTGGTCACCCAATTGCTCTGTTTTCAGATAACTTATGCAATTTTGATGACACTGTCCCCGTATATAGCGTTTTGCTTTATCCCATGGATAGTCGTGTGCGCTATGGTATATCGTAGACGACCGCCTACATCACAATCTAAAAGCGAGGAACGTATAGTTGTGGTTCACACCTAATGCCTACACCACTGTCCATCTTGTCATACATTTATCATTTAATTTACAGTATAGGCTTCATAATAATATTATTGACTTTTTAAGACTACAAACATTTTATTTTATTATTTTTTTGTTTCATTTTTATTTTATGTAGATTTTTAAATTTTGTATTTATATTAAATTTCTATATTATTTAATGTGCTTTCAAATAGTAATACAATAATAAAAATGTTATTTTTAATAAATTCGTAATATTCCTAACCTATAAACTGCATAATTATCTGTAAGTTACTACAGTATAACTAATGTGAAAATTATTAGGTGATTATAAAATGCAAAGATTAGTGTCTAACTATAGTATAGTAAAGTATAGATATAGTAAAATAGATTTTAGCCACAATTATCTAGAAAAATAATAACTAATATTTATAATATCAATAGTAACTTATTTATTATTTTATTGAAATTATATATTTTTTACAATTACAACATATCTATATTTTTATTTTAATGTTCTTTGAGTCATGTAAAACAAAGTATCAATTTATTTATTTATATTTATATATTTATAAATTCAGCAAATATTTTAATTTACAATTAAATCGTCTCATATTTGAGGAACATATTATTATTATTATTTTATTTATTTATTTATAATTTATTTTGAAAAAATATATGTTAATTTTCATTTTTCTGTTTACATTTTGTTGATTTTCTTTATAAATGCAATTCAATAATAATTATTGTATTATTAAAATGTCAAATAAAAAAACAATCAATAGTTGATTATAAATAAAAACTATATTACATATAAAATGATATACCGGTAGAGATGTAATAAAAAAACTGATAAGAAGTTCTCTCTTAATGAAAATAAACAATTACTATAAACTTAATATAATTATAATTTTCATTGATTTACATCAAACAAAATATATAAATATAAATAATATATTTTAAAAGTGGCAAATTATAAAATCAAATATAAGATATTTCATACATTGATTTTTTTATCTCTAACTTAAACTTATAAAGCAATTTATATACTAAATTATAATTTATAGTTTTAAATAATTTAATAAACATATATTAAAACTGTCTTCATCTTTCTATCTAACAATTTATATATATATATATAACTAAATATACATATAGAGTGATTTTAGTTACATAAAATAATCAAAAATTAATAATAAATAAATTTAAATTATTTTAAGTTTTACATAAGCAAAAACTATTTAATAGTACATAATTATATATTTTTTGTTTATAATTATTATAATAAAAATCTGATTTTTTCGTCTTTTAAATTAATTATTATATAATTATTAAATCATTTAATTAATAATATATATATATTTATATGATTTGTGGCACTATTTTAGTTTAGAAAATAATGTCATTTAATAAAATAATAATATATTCAAAATGATATATGAATTATTAATAATATATTTATAATATTAGAATCAATAATAATAATAAATTTTTAACAACAAATATATGTTACCAATGAATCAAACGATGATATAACTCGTGAATTCAAGCAATTTAGTCGTCAAATGCAGACATCACTTAACTATCATTTAATTATTTTATATTTTTGATGAAACGGTATGTTATTTGTGTTTGAAATATATGTTAAGTGTATGTTTCTCACATAGTTTGTATGGGTGTGATGTGTGTATGTGGGAGGGGGGGTATGGATAATGATGGTCAAGTGGTGTCAACATTTAGACTTGTGACTGGTGGCCACGTGCTTCTGTAACAGTGCGGGCATCAGAAAACCCTTGTTACACGTGGGACAGTAGTGAGGATACTCTTTCGTGTGGATTGCGATGATGTGATTGCGTAGGGATGAGCTTTGATTGAATTTACTACCGCATCGGTTACAATGGTAGGGCTTTTCGCCGGTATGGGTCAGGATATGCCTTTGGAGATGGCTTTTCGTTTTGAAACTTTTACCTAAAATTATTTAACACAAACAGACAAAAAACAATACATTAATTTTTAAAATGCACTAAACATTGAAACAATTATGTCAAGTGAGGTGTTATCAACTTTTCCTAAACTACCGTAATATATAAAAGTTATAATATGTGGACAGTTAGCTTATCTACGGTAACATTACTCAGGTGTCTAATGGTGTGTATTAAGTGTGTATAAGGTAAATATAAATTGTTTAATACCATTACCACAATGAGAACAATGAAACTTTCTTCGGGTAACTTCGACACCGGTGCCCAATGTGTCGCCGACACCCGTGCCGTCAAAAAATGCATTAACGACGCGTGACTTTCGGTTGCCTTTTCCACGGCCTCTGGGCTTTGGGGTACCGGTGACGTCACCGGTTGTGGACAGTTCACTAGTTTTCACTCTTTTATTATTATTATTACTATTATTATTATTATTAATAGTACTAATTGTCAAATTTGGTACACCAGTGTCCACACCAAACACATCCTCCTGTTCCTCATCCTCTTCTTCTTCATCACTTTCCTCTTCGTCTTCTTCGTCCTCATCAGCTGACTCAAGAACAGCTCCTCCACCACCGCCATCACCGTTACAATCATTGGGAACCATACAGTCTTCATCGTCATCTTCTTCTTCCTCCTCCTCTTCCTCCTCTTCTTCTTCTTCCTCCTCCTCCTCTTCTTCTTCTTCTTCATCATCTTCCTCTTCATCACCGGAAGAGTTGCCGTATTTGTTGTCCATCAGATCGGACGCATCGATTGTTTTTAAATTATAAAAGTTGTTTGTGTAGTCACTGTGCGGTGCAGTTGTCGTCGTAGTCATAATGTTTTTGGATGATGTCATGCGACACGAGCTCTGCTGTGTTGACTGTATGCTCGACGATAATAACAGATCATCGGTGGTGGCCGTCGCCACAGATCTAGAAAAACCATTAGTTAAAAACAAAACAACTCAACGGCTATCAAATAGCTTGACATCGATGAACATACCGTTTGCCGGCCATATAACATGCGGACGGCTCGTCGTCTGATATGCTGATGGGTTCGGATTTGATGGGCGATGAGGCGGTGTTGTTGTTGGCTGTATTCGTATTGGTCGTTGACGTGGTCACCGACAGCGGCGGTTTGCTACACACTTGACACCGATGTGGCGGTCGTCCCGTGTGTGACATCATATGCCAATTGAAGTGAAACTCTTTATCACTTGAATACGGACAGTGACTACAAGTCAATAGTTTAATGCCATCGCATTCGGCGTGATTGCGACGATGTTGTTGATAGTAGTCCAGACACGTGAACAGCGCGTTGCACGTCTGGCACGTGTAGACGCCCGGCGCTAATTGGTTGACATTTGTCGTCATCGGCAGTCATGGATAGTCAAGATAGCGGTGAACATCACACGATAGGTAAGAGATTGGGAGCGCAGAGATTGGCAAAGAGAGAGAAAAACAAACGGCAATTTTGTTAGTCAACAATCGGGTGATAATAACAACAACAATGGCAACCAACGGTCGGCCGAATACGCGGGTGCGGCACTGGCGGTCACACTAGCATATGATAGGCCATCATTGACTACCCAGTGAACACCCGCGCCGCCGTTGGCCGCCGATAGTTGTTTTGGTGGTTATAACGAAATACATACTTATTTTTGTTGAGTCCATCTTTGTTGACAGTCCTGTGTTGGGGGGAAACACCTAAACGCTACCCGTGTGTGTGTGTGTGTGTGTGTGCGTACACTAATGTGTGTGTGTGTGGACTCATTGTGTTTAGTATTAATCTATACAAACTGTTCACTCACTCACTGACTCACACATACAATGCCAGTGCAGGCATGCGTACAGTGATAGACATCTCTCTCTCTTTCAACTATAATATACACAAAAAAAACAGTTTTCGTATTACAGTTGTTATGATTACTGTATTTATTAATACTGTATATTACAGTACAGTGTGTTTGTTGTCTATGCTATGGAATACATAATATACCCATTGTTTTCAATACTGTATAACACTAACACACAAAAGCAATAAAATATTAAAACACTATTTATTTCTATATACATGTGCTGTACGTTAGATGGCGTATACTATATGTGTGATTATACAACAAACATACCTGTATTTTCTTAATATTATCTGTACTTTATATTTATTGATTTATTGATTAATAAGTTTATTATAAACAGTTTATTTAGAAATTATAGTTTTAAAAACACTTATTGTTTTTGATTACCTTTTGATTATCTAATTTAGTTAATATTTTTAGTTATATTATTACTTAATATTAATGATAATTAATTACTTTTATTATATAAAATATTTTATCAAAAGTGTTTTTATTTTTTCACAAAAAATTATAAAGTTTTATTACCAGTAACAAATATTTTTTTTAAATTTTAGTTATTATTTCATTTAATAAACATTTAAATTTATGATAAAATAAAATATGAATAATATTTAAATAGAAAATGAAAACTATGTTAAATAGATAATATAATTGAGACGAAACTATAAAATAATAAATCATTAAAATCTATAATAAAAAAATGCATTCAATAAATAGTTTACAACAGAAAAGAATATAAAAACTAAAAAAGCGATTTTGGATAACAATTTGATATAAATTACTAGAAAATAGCCATAAAATGCAATACTAAACGGCATCGGAACGGGTGGCATCAACTTTGCTATTAGAACGACTGGCCATACCGGAGCCACCACCAGCTCCTGCACCAGTTTTTGAGCCACTACCAGCTCCAGTGACACTACCAGCTTTAGAGCCACCCGCTTTGGATGATGCGGCACCGGTATTACTAGCGGCTGGTCCTCCTTTGGCCGATTTCTTTGGCTGTGGTTTTGAATCATCTTTTGATTTGCCTAAAGTTGGGTTAGAAAAGAGAGAAAAAATAGAATTTAGTGATAATTAAAGTCAATGAAAATTGTCTTTTTTTTTGTTGTTGAAAGACTTCGATGATTACTTACTCCGACCGCAGCAACAGAGACAACAAATGATGAGTATAATGATAATTATAATAATTATAATAATGATTATCCATATCCACCAACTACTTGATTTCGGCTTCTCCGTAGTATTGGCCGGTTCACCAGTCGGTGACTGATCGGTGGGTCCGGGAGGCATACTGTTATCATTGCTTGAACTGCTGGTGACATCATTGTGGGACTCAGTGGAGTTGCTGTCGCCGGGAGGAGATGTTGAGTCTGATCTATGGATGAATAGCGGCGATTTGTCGTTACAATTGAAGAACTCACGCAAATTGAACTATAGATTCAATTAGAATAGTTAAGTGAACAGAGAGAGAGAGAGAGAGAGAAAAAAAAATGATGGATCAATTGGTTTGACATACAAAAGTTTTTCCTGTCACTGATGTGCCATTGATTTCCAACTTATACCACAGTTTGCCGTACAGACCGTATAGTACGCCGTCGTGATGTATGAGTCCAGTATAGAGACGATCGGTAGTGCATTCAGTGAATAGGCCTTTGCGTGACTCATCAGTAGCCGTGCTCTTGAAATACATGGCCGAACGGTTTTGCTTAAACATTTCCATCGATATGTACAGCGTATTGTTGCCCAAGTCGTGTGCAAAACCCCTGTAGTTATAATCATCGGTTGTATTCAAATTGTCTATTTTCCACGGGTATTGTACTTTAGCTGTGCCATTGGTGTCCAGATCCCAAGGGACATACTGTTTGTCTTCGATCGGATAGTCATTTTCAAGTTGGTAAGCCTTATAACCGTAACTGTTACCGGTTTGTTGACTCGGGTCGTTACCGATATCTCCGAACACAAAATACATGGCCGCCTTATCACCGTCTTTCACCATAAACCCGCTATTAATGTATTTGTAGTCATTGGCTACAAGTTATAGAAGAAGATAGAGTTAAGGAGAGAAATAGAAAAGTTTTTAAAGCGGAACTGTATGTCTAAATACAAACACTTAATAAATATTTCAGTCCTAATTTTGCTGGGCATCTCTTTCATATCACTCGTTGAGATGACGGTATGGTAACAGTCCTGATCGTTAATATTTGTTTTACCATTTTTACAATAGTATAGCTTTTTGTCGATAAGAAACGCATAGTTGATCGACTGGTCTACGTTGCCGTCCACACCGCCCGTCTCAGTGCAGTAGAACTTACCGTCTGCGCCGCCACCGCCGCCACCACTACCAGTTCCATTACCATCAGTGGGAGGCGAATCCTGACTGGGAGGCGTAATAATAGGACTAGTGTTCGTCTCAACAATGACAGGCGATTGGTTACTCTCGTCGTCGTCGCCAACAACCGGTCTAATAGTGATAGCCAACAGAGTGACCATCAATAAGATAAGTGCCGTATAACAGGCAGATGTCATATTTAGGCTGAAATTAGTTAGTTTAGCACTCCTTAAGATAACTAATGTTTAATTTTAAACGCTTCTCTAGAGTTTTAGGTATGAGTTTTAGCTAAACTAACAGTTTTAAAAAAAATTAATTTTGACAACTGTTTTCAGTTAATAACTTTAGACTAAATCAAACGGTTATATTATAGACGGAATTCAATTGTTTATTAGAATAGTATTATTCATTTGAATTCACATAAATTTCACGGAATCTTAATAATAAAATTATTTAAAACATTTTTAATAAGGTATTCAATGATTTCCATACAGTATTGCATTTCATGTTAGTATAATACACGTGCAAAGATTTTTTTACAGGTTTTATAATACTTTAGTTTATTAGTAATAAATTATTACTGTATACCATATAATGACAATTTTTTATTATATTGTTTTAACTAATTAAGTTAAGTTAATTTAACTAAATGGATGATATTTTTTTAACTCTAGGAAATCATACATTATTGAATAATACAATAGTTTATTTAAACAAACAAATTGTTTATTTATTGTATTACTAATGTATAGAAAATGTTTTTATTGAATGAAAGTTTTTAAAAAGTTTCTAATATTTTTTATTTATAAAATTTTAAATATTTGATTTATAAATTATATAATTATGATTCGATACTGTATGCCAATCTAACCTGAAATATTTAAAGTAATTGAAATTTTACTTAAATTTTTATTATTTTTTATTTATCTCATAAGCTAACAACAAATCTCAAATTAGTTTTATACTGTACTGTATTCTGTAGCTAACATAGTAATTATATTATGAAATTTAGTTATTTTTATAACTATTATAATTTATACTAATATTGTATAAAAAATTATAAATAAATTAAAATTTAATGTTTTTTAAATAAATGAATTATTTTTTTTAAATTGCTGTTTGAAATCTATTGACAATATCCTGATAGAGAGCCCGTTCATCCTGTATTGGTTCATACCGTTCAACAGTGCCGTCCTCTTTGCAATAAACTCCCGTTAGTTTGAGTCGATCCAAACGATTCCACAATAGTTTATAGCCATGACATGGACTGTACTCCATAAGTTGGACTATTATTTGGGGATAAAATACATAAATAGTTATTAAAATAAACAAAAATTAAATTATTTGTTTTCTATTAGATAAACTACTAGATTGTGTGTGTGTGTGAGTGTAAATTTAAAAATTATAAATGAAATGTAATAATATTACTGTAAATATTTAATACTAACATAATCTGTTAAAATCTATGAAAGAGATGATACATAATACAAGACATATAAGAAAACAAATGCCAATTACGGTAAATATTAACCAAAATGTTACAATAAATGGCATAAAAATATCCCAAACAGTGATTTCCGGCGAATCAATGATAGGATTAAAGAGATTTCTGTTTTTTCTCTTCAAAATCAAATCATACTCTTCTTTATAATCTCTGTAATCACCAAAAGTCTCACTCTTTTTTAAAAAAATATAATTAATTTTCAAAATAATAATTATTGATATATAGTTTTTTTTAATATTTAACATATAACTTACATAAATTGGATTACCGGTACAAATTAAATAACAAACACCTGATAATAATATCGTTATTAAAATATTTATCTCTAAATAGCGATACATTATTTAGTTATTTTTGTATAATATAAGATGATAACTATGGTCTAAAATGATAAAAATATTACCGTAATTTTAAAAATTAGTAAATCTCAATTCAATTTCTTAAATATAAATATAAAATCTCATTATCTCGCTCAATTAGTAATGTAATAAAATAACATTAAATTAAACAATTATTGTACAAATTATATTCATTAAATTGGCTTTAAAAAATTTTTATTATCGATACTAAAATAAAATTATAAAAAATAAATAAAACAACCGGTACAATTTAATATTTTAATATTACGGTAGTGAAAAATATAATCAGTAACTTATAACAAAAATATTTTATTTATTTCAAATACATTTATTTATCATTTAATAATAACTTATTTATCGTATTAGACAAATCATGAATAGCCCGATCAATATCATCTTTGGTTGTTTGTCTACCGGTGCTCAATCGTATAGTTCTCTGAGCTAACTCAGCGCTTAGACCCGATGCCAACAAAACTTTTGAAGGAATTTCTTTCTAAAGATAGATAAATGAAAATAAAAACATTTTTAAATATAAAATAAAAGCCAATAAATGTTTGCAAACATACTTTCATATTATGTGAATGACACGCAGCGCCCATTGAGGCCCGCAAGGAGGTAGTTGTGGCCAATATTTTGCCCGCTATAGGATGCGACTCACAAAACGACAAACTTGTGGTGTTAGGCAACCGACCGTTTGGACAGTTATCGCAGTTTATAACAATCAATTTGCCAAATCTGTTACGCAATTGTGTCTCCAAATAGGTCTGTAATTCGGCAAAATGTTGCCGATATTTGTCCAGATTATTGACAACTAAATCCGAGGCCTAAACAGAGATATACATTATTTTTAAAAATCTACTCTAATATAGGTTGTGTCAATCACCACACCTTTCCGAGACCAACAATCATCGGTACATTTTCGGTACCCGGTCTCAGACCCGACTCCTGACCACCGCCGTATAGCATAGGCATCAGTGGTACACTGTTTCGCCGATAAAGTGCACCAATTTTCGGTCCATAAAACTATTGATCAATAAAAAAAGATAACAACAATAAAATATGAAGTGTCTAACTCTCCCATACCTTGTGTCCAACAATTGTTGCAAAATCTACACCCAATTCGCAAACGTTGACTTCAATTTTGCCGACGGCTTGAGCAATGTCGCTGTGAAACAGAATTCTCGGCAAACCAGTGGCCACTCTTTGTGCGTTCAATTTTCTCAACTGTCTGGCAATGTCGGCAATCGGTTGTATAACTCCAGTCTCGTTGTTGGCCATCATTACCGTTACGAAACACGTTTCAGGCCGTACGGCATTCATAATATCTTCAGCGCTGACCGAACCGGTCTTTGTCGAGACGGCCACAAAAGTTACGTTTATTGGCCGTACGACCAATGAGTCAATATTATCGTCCATTAAGGCGCGCAACGGTTCACAAATAGAGTCGTGCTCTATATTAGTGGTAATCACGTGTGGTCTGCGGCGGTCATCACCCGAAACCGTCAACTCTTTTGCATAGTATCTGACCGATGAGTATATCACCCAATTGTTTGCCTATAAATTTAAATGACCATTAAGTGGCCAAATAAACTCTCGATGTTTAACTAATGTATTAACTACCTCTGTACCGCCGGACGTAAACACTATATCATCGCCGTCGGCGGCATTAATCATAGCGGCTACCCGTGATCTGGCCGTACGTATTAGCGCTCTGACGTCGACGACGCCACAGCTAGCGGTCGCATAACTGGACGATGGATTAGTCCAACCGTTGAGCAAACAGTCGGTAATGGTGTCCACAACTTGTGTGTCCACCGGAGTAGTAGCGTTATAGTCTAGATATATCATAACCCTATTGTATGGTTGAACCGTATTTTCTATAGGTTTTGCCGCAAAAAAACTTTATAACAATAAATCATTTATTTATTTATTCATTCATTCATTCATTCATATGATAAGTGCTATCAAAACATTACAATAAACACCATATGATAAACACATGTGTGTTGTTTGACAATCACTTGTCTATTGTATTGATATTAATGTATTAATGTTCAGTATATACGATAAACTAGAGTATACTGTAGAAAAAAAATTATGTTATTATTATTATTTTTATTTAAAAAATTTGTTTTAACAAAAGTGTTAGTTTAGAAACTATATTTGTATGTTATTTTTAAAATATTTTATTATATATATATATATATTTTAAATATAAATTTTATTGTATGAATTGATAATATATTTTTTCAATAAAAATATCTCATTTATTATGCAATGCAAACATTTTCATATTTACAGTAGTATTAAATATCAATAACGTTATTTTATTTATTGATTGATTCATATTTTACTTTTTTAAGGAAATATAAATTTTTGATATTTATTATAATCATTAATAAAATATTTAATATAAAATTTTACTAACAAATAATTTATTATTTGTATTTTAATTATCTTTTTTATTACTATATCCTCAATAATACCTAATAATTATTATAATTGCTATAAAATTTTATTATTATTTTTACAATGAATTGATAATTTTATAAGTTATAATCTTAATATAATTTAATTAACTTTTGGCATAAATTATAAGTTGTCTAAACGTTAATTATTGGCAAAAATTTTATGTATTGCAAATATTTTTTTTCTGAAAAAATCTAATATTTAAATATTACAATTAAATTATAATATCATTATAGAAATATTTTAAAAATAAAAAATACTTTTGACAAAATTATTTAAAATATAATGTTAATAATATGATAATCATTAATATTAAATAAATAAGATATATTTGTTCGATAATTACTGTACATAAAAAAATGTTTATAACAATACTAATAAATAAGTATTTTAATTAATTTATTTAATTATATATTTAACCAAAGGTTTCAATGATTACCAAAGGTTTAATTGTTATACATAATATAGCCATGAATTTTTATTATCAAATATGATGATTAAACTTTTTTTATTAATAATTATAAATTAAAACAATATTTTAATATTTTACGAGCCTTTAAGTTTTTAAATTAAAATTAGCAGTCATATAGCATAGAGTTACATATAAATCATATTAGTAGCAGTATTAATAAATTATGATAACTCACGTCTAATACTTTTTTAGTTTAAAATTTGTTTTAATTATTAATATAATAATATACAGTATATATATTATATAATATTAAATAAATGCTAACAACAAAATAAAAATATGTATAATAATTTACATGCATTTTTGATCAATTATATGTTTTTGTATTCTAGTATAAAGTAATTATGTATGGATATCATTGATTCATCAAGAAAAAATAAACATCTATTTCAGATAATATTACTATTATGATTAATATAAAGAAAATTTATAGCTTAGATTATTTAGAAAAAAATATCATAATAATTAGTAATAAATTAATAAATATCATATTAAGCTTAGTGTGTTATTAAATTATTCAAAAATGCCAATTAATTAAATCTATGTTTTTTAAAAATTAGAAATAACTTTTCAGTTTTAGCAATTAAATTAATAAGTTAAAAAAATTAAAATTAAAGTACACTAAATTTATAATATTTTATAAAATGTAAACAATTTTTTGTTATATGATATATAGTAAGTTTAAAGATATAAAATTGTCAAAAAATTATATTTGTTTTTATTTTTGTTAATTAACATTTAAAATAAATTAAAATAACTACAAAATAAACGTAAGATTATGTCTAACAAGGTTAGATTTATGATTAGCTATTTTTTGATAGATTGAAATGATAAAGGATGTAATGGCACTTATATTTTATTATAATTTATAATTTTTTAGATGTTTTATTTTTATTATAATATAACATATTTAGACACTTTTATATTAAAATCTATTTTTTTATCAATGAAGCATAATATTGTAAATATAAATAATATTGTATTAATTAGTTATAAAATAATTTCAAGCAAAATATAAACTAATAATAAGCAGAATATTAATGGTTTGAAAATAAATTAATTTAAATTTATTATAAAATTAAATAATACTATTAATTGATTATTATTTTTGTATAAATTAAATATAATTAATGATCGAATTATAAATATAGTTGTTTTAATATTTGTTGAAAATATAAAATATACAATGTATAAATAATTTGCATCAGGTTAAAAAAATGTTTTGTTACTAAAAATTTTTAAATAATTTTATGCTTTAATTTATTTCTTTAAAAATCTCCATTAAAATATTTATAAAATTTTAACACACAGTTAAATCATTACACAAAGTTAATGAATTGGTATTATTTTTTCTAAATATATATGATTTACTATCTCTAATAAACTGGATTTATCAGAGTTGGCAAATACAAAATGTTTGTATAATACATTATATAGTTATATTAATTCTCTAATTATATATATATACTAAAAAATAATGACTATCAGTCATAAATTTAACTGTTTTTTAAATAATATCACATTCATTTATTTGTAAATGTTTTAACTTTTATAAAGAAAAATTATTTAAAAGCTTTTTGATGTTTTGTATGAGTTTATGATAAACATTTAACACAAGACAATAAAAGGAAAAAAATATTTTTATTTACTAATATACAGTACATATAATGTAAATTACAAAATTGATAAAAAAATTTACTATTTATGTTGTTAATTTGCTTTGTTTATTTTTTTAAAAATAATAATAAAAATTATCTAGTAAAATAATCCTTGAACTAGATTAATTTTCTAGAAAATAATAAGCAATGCATGATAAAAATTATAGAAATTTAAATATCTTTTAATTTTATATAAATTTACAAGATTTTATTTTTTTAAATATACTTTTTTATACTATAATAATAAAATACTAATGTTTTAATTTGATTTATAATTGTAATTATAAAAAATACATTTAAAAAAGTTAAATAATATAAAGATATAAAAACTTAAAAATTTGAATATTAAAACAATAATTCAATCAAATAAAATAAATATTATTTTAATGTTTATTATGTATTAAAAGATTTCATATTTTAATGTTTATTAGGTATTAAAAGATTTCATATTTTATTGTTATCATAAAATAGTATTTTATTGACTATAACTATTATTTTAAATAACATTAACCTATATAATTAAAAATATATAATATTTATATTTGACACCAATTGACAGTAATATTACCATGATTATTTAAAATATCAGTAATTTATATCAACTATTATATTTAAAAAATGCTATTTATTTATTAAATATTATACAATATATATCTATCTACGATTGCGATCTAATCTAAATTATTAACTAAAAAAAATATTATTTATTAAAATGTTTTATTGTGCGTCTATTTTGTTTGCTATAATAAATACTTGACGTTTATAAAATAATAATGCTATTTAAAAACAATATTTAATTAAAACAGTAACTGTAAATGACAAAAATAAATTTTTAAATTTTATTTATAGTATTTTTCTAATGTATCCGTCAATATAAACTATTGTACTAAAAAAAACAAACTAAAATTTCTCAAAGTATTAAAATGAAAGTAATAAAAATATTTTAAACATGACTGATACATAATATTCAGAAATAACTTTTATTAAATTTTATTTATTTTTATCATTTATATTGATTATTGTTTTTATTTTAACAAAATGCCAATGTATTAACATATAATTTATATATAATTTTTACAATATAAAATTTGCTGCATTAATTTTCTATATATTTTTTTATTACTAAATTAAAGTATTATACAGTACAGTATATACTTTATAATACAATGTTTATATTTATCAGATTACAATTGTATATTTAAATAAAGTAAAAATATAAAATTAGTAAATATTAATAATAAAAAATTATTGTTTACATTAAAAAAAACAATTTGATTTAATCTTTTTTTTTATAAATAAAATCATAATCAAATATTAAATTGCTTGTTGTTATTACATAATATTTGACACATAATATATTAAAAAATGATTAAATTCTTAATAACAACAAAATAATAACAATTAAGACAATAAATATATATAATATAAGATAAACAATGATTGGCTAAACACAATTACTATCGATGAAAATATTATATATTTTATATATTATATTATTTTTCTATTAAAAATATATACATTTAAAGATATACTATTCAGTATTTGAATTGTTTTTACTATTATTTTATTTTCTTAATGCTATATATTTTTTAATTAAAAATTACGATATCATATAAAAACTTGTCATTCAATGTTAATTGCTTTAATAATCTATTGTACAATGTTTTAGTATTTTTGATTTTAAAATATTTTGTCATTTTGAAAATTTTTATTATTAAGTTTAAGTTAAAACTTTTTAAATTTATTATACTATTTTTCAAATGACAATTTGTTAACAAATTAATAGTAATAATAATAATGTTTAAATAATAAATAATAATATTATTAATTATTCAAATCTAATATTAATAAAACATTTTTCATTGTGAATATAATAAGTTTTTAGTTTGTGACCAACACTTATACAATCAGTAAAGTCAATATAATATGTCGGCCAAACATCTTCAACACTTTAAATGTGTCGACGAAGACATAGTAATCAGTGGAATGTCCGGCCGATTCCCAGAGTCCGACTCTACCGATGAATTTGCCGAAAATCTATACAACAAAGTGGATATGATTACATTGGATAACCGGCGCTGGCATCCAGGTCCGTTTATATACACTAATATTATTTACACTTTTATGTTATATAAAGTTAAATAAAATCAGTTTTTTTTAAATAAATTAATATTTTTTTATGAAATTTTATAGATTTATATGGAATGTGTGGCCGAATGGGCAAACTAAAAGAAATTGACAAATTTGACGGTAATTTTTTCGGTATTATAAGCACAATGGGCCACACAATAGATCCCCAGTCGAGGATACTATTAGAGACCACATATGAAGCTATTGTAGACTCAGGTATGGATTTACAAAAAAAATAGTAAACAAAAGTCTTTGAATCTTTCAATTTTTATACAATGTATAACTGAAATTATAGGCATAAATCCTCAGATACTACGGGGTTCAGACACCGGTGTATATATTGGCTACTCGTCCTTTGGTATGCCCGACGGTATCCCAGAGGAGACACAGCCCGACTCGCAGAACTCTATGGCCGAAATATTGTTGTGGGTGCCGGGAAACTCCAAGTGCTTGTATGCCAATCGAGTTTCGTTTGTACTCGACTTTAAGGGACCATCACTGGTCATAGACACGGCTTGTTCATCATCTATGGTAGCTTTCAATGTAGCCATGAATGATCTAAGATTAGGTATGCAATCATTAATTTAGAAATGATTTGACACTTATTGTTCTCTATTTGACTATAATATGATTTTTAAAGGCAAGTGTCGTCAGGCAATAGTTGGCGGAACTAATTTAGATCTACAGCCCTTTACAAACCATATATTTCAGTCGACTCGACTCAACTCTAAGGACGGTATACCAAAAGTATGGGACGAAACCGCAGATGGCTTTGCCAGAGGTGAGTGTGTTTCCTGTCTTTTCTTGCAACGAAAGTCCGATGCAAAGCGTATATACGCCACTGTTTTGAACACTGGTGTCAACATTGATGGTAACAAACGAATGGGAATGTTCTTCCCGTCGTCCGAGAGTCAGGAGGAACTGATGATTCAGGTGTACAGAGAGGCCGATATTGATCCACTTGATATCAACTATTTTGAAGCCCACGCCACCGGTACTAAGGTATGAGTTAGCGGTCATAAACTAGGGTACAGAACAATACTGAAAAACCAAAAACAGAGATTTAAATAATAATTTTTACTAAAATTGTTTAATAATAACCTAATTTTAGTACTACTTATTAACATTTTTTTGTAAAATTAATTGATATTATTTTAAGCTATATAAATATTTATATCTATATCATTAAGTAAAGTTTATTTAATTATAAATATTACATATTAAAAACCTTGCACTTTATAACATTTACTAAATGTTAGAAAAATATAAAAACAAATTTATTAATATTTTATAATTAAGTAATTATATATAAAATATTAGTGTAAACATACTGTACATATAAATACATTAAATTATTATTTCGATATTACACTAAATACTGTAAAATGATTTATATGAATATAAACAGTTAACTAACTTAAATCCATGTCCTATAGGTTGGTGATCCACAAGAAGCCCGAGCCATATATAATGCTTACTGTGGTAAACCTAAACGTCAGGGAACACTACCTATTGGTCTATTGAAGAGCAACATCGGTCACGCCGAGGGCGCCTCCGGTGTGTCATCTATTGTCAAAGTGTTAATTGCTTACGAACGAGAATCTATTCCGTCATGTCTTCATCTGAATAATATTAAGCAAAATATTAAAGACTTTTGTCCACCACTGGTGCCCGTAAATGGAGATAATCTCAAATATACTCCCGGTATGTATTTTATACATTAGATTACAGAATTTATGAAAAGGTTAGATTTTACATTTGATATTCAATGATATAAATACAGGCATTGCTGGTGTTAACAATTTTGGTGTGGGCGGTGTTAATGCTCACGCATTGCTTGAGCCCAACTACAAACTGGCAGATGAGGACAGTCTGAAAATTGCGGACACCATTCCTCGTATTATCAATGTTTGTGCCCGAACTCAGGAGTCGCTGAACCTTATGTTTGATTTCTTCGAGCAAAATCCGCACAAAATAACTCGCGATTTCATAGCACTCATTACCGACACAATGAAGACTAAGTCATCAATAAATTCAGCCGGTCTTCCATATAGGGGTCAGTTATACTATATATATATATAAATCTTTCAATTATTTAAAACATAATTATAGGCTCAATGATTATAAAGCAAGTGTTTGACGATAACAATGAGACACACTATGAGTACAAAAAACAATTATCTCTGCTGTCGCTGAAAACCCAGCGACCCGTTTGGTTTCTGTTTCCCGGTCTCGGGGGCCAATGGGTGGGTATGGCGCGGGCACTAATGGCTATCAAACTGTTTGCCGACAGCATCGATGAGTTTCACGAAATACTCAAACCTTTTGATATTGATCTCAAATATCTGCTTTTGTCGGACGACTCATCATCAATGTTGACGATGACCAACAAGTTTATCGCCACCACTGCCATACAAATGGCGTTATTTGATCTGATGATTGCATTAGGTATAGTGCCGGACGGTATTATAGGTCACTCGTTTGGCGAGATTGCCTGCGCCTACGCTGACGGATGTTTGACAGCAAACGAAGCACTAATGGTTACCTATATTAGAGGTATGGTTACTGAAGACAATAAAAAGATACCGAAAGGTTTGATGGCAGTGGTCGGTATGTCGTGGAGTGAGGCAAAAAAGATATGTCCGAATGGGGTCAGTGTTGTCTGCAATAATGCAAAGGACACTGTCGTCATGTCTGGTAATTGTCTTCAGACTATTAGTTCTGATTTAATGTATTTTATTCATTCATTTTACGTCAACAATAGGTTTATACGTTGAGATGAAAAACCTGGTCGAAGAACTCAATAGAAAAGGTATATTTGTTAGAGAACTGCAAAGTCAGGACATTCCCTATCACAGCGAATATCTGATAACATCAGCAAAAAGGATGACCAATGAGATCAAGAAATATTTGCCGAAACCGCGACTCAGATCACGAAAATGGATTTCGACGGCACTGTTGGACACGGAATGTGAAGACGTATTGCGTTACGCGTCGGCCGAGTATTTTGTGCATAACCTCATTAGTCCCGTCTATTTTTACAATAAGCTGAAGAATTTGCAAACAGACGCTATTGTGGTTGAGATCGGACCGCACGCACTGTTCTCTAAGATTGTGACCCAAACCCTGGAGAGCGCAACCTGTTTATCGTTTATCAAAAAAGACTCGAATGACACCAATCTGGACATGTTTTTGACTTCATTGGCCAAACTATACGAACTCGGTCTCAATCCTGACATCGAAAATCTATATCCAAAAGTCGAGTGGCCAGTGGCCAGAGGCACTCAATCGATTAGTTCGCTACTACAGTGGGATCACAAACAGTCATACTTTGTACGAAAATTTCCCGATTATTATTTCCGGGCCACGGCTTCGGACATGAATGAGGTAATTGATTTGCAGCGCTCTATCAAATCATATTTGCCGGACCATAGTATTGATGGCAATATAATATTTCCGGCCACCGGTTACATGATGTTGGCCTGGCGTCAAATGGCCGCCTATCACGGCAAAATCTGGAACCAATTGCCTGTAGTATTTGAAGATATTCAGTTTCGGCGTCCGGTCTACTTGTCAGAGACTGACGCTACCCGACTAAAAGTTCGGTACTTTCAACAATCGGGTAATTATTATTATTTACATTTTTATCGTTGCATTCATAATTATCTTCAATAAATTATTTGATAATAATAATTATTATTTATTATTATTATTATTACATTTGTATTTTAGGCGAATTTGTAATCCTAGAGAACGGTAACGTCACGTGTTTGGGCCGAATCCGGTCATCCGAAGACTACACTCTAAGCGTACAAAACATTTTGCTCGAACAGAACGCCAACAAAGATCACTACGAAGTGGTCTTAGAAAGCGAAGACATTTACAAAGACCTGCATATTCTTGGCTATGATTACGGACCTAAATTCCAAGGCTTGAAGTCTATTAAGACAAATAACTTTGAAATATTGGACGGACAGGTACTCTGGAATGGCAATTGGGTCACATTTATGGACTCACTGCTCCAGACAATGGCCGTCGCCATACCGTTTCGCAAAATGATGGTACCGGTGATGATCAAACAGTTGCGTTGCGATCCTAAAGTTCTGTACGAAGCGGTGGCCAAAAATAAGATTTCCGAAGATAAGTCCGATTTGGACGAAGATAAGGCTTACGACAATATGATGCAAACTGATGACGAAGACGTCGAAGAGATACTCGACGCTAACAATATCGACAATATTGAAGAGCTTATCGGTCAGGACTTCCATATATACAGATCGGTGGTACCATTTCACTTGGATATGAACTCTCGTATGATTGTGGCGCCCGGTATTGAAGTGGAAGACCTGATAACACTGCCCATACCGAGAAAGACCAATGTGGCCGACTTGAAGCTCGAATCGTATCAGTTTGTTCCCAATGAACAATCCGATGATGCAATCGATGAAAGTGACAAAACAATAATCAATGAGTATCTGAAGGTCTAGTATTAAAAAATAAACATTTTTAACGTTTTTATTGATAATATATACAATTACTCTTTGTTTTTACTATCAATAGGTATGTTCAACATTAATAGCAAAAGCCAAATATTTATTCAAAACAGATCTGCCATACGTACCGAATACCACGGATGAAGAATTGGTTTATAAATATTTGAAAGACATGAAAGATAATTATATTTTGCTAAAGACTATCAACGATTTATTGAAACAAACAAACGATGAAAATCAAAATCCATCAAATGATCTGATGATGGAATCCGTTAAGAAGTTTTTGTTTGAACTCCAGATGAAACCCGAATACGATCTGTCTCTTGATGTTATAAATCAAGTTTCCAGAAATGAACATCTGATCCGATCGCTGGTAGACATTGTTAGTGAGTGTAATGTTCCCAAAAAGGAGATCAAAGTATTGGAAATCAATTTGACAAACAGTCTGTTGGCCGAAGAAGTGGACAATCATTTGGCTTCGTTTCATATCTACCCGATTAATGTCAACTACAATATTGCGGTCAAATCGTCATTGCATGAGAAGTACAGTCAAAAGACGTTCAAAATTAGCGAATGGGACTATAAAAGGATAAGTTTTCCGTCAGATATGATACTACTGCCTGATTTGGTCATACATTACGACTCTCTGGATTTATGGGATCTAAATCTCGAAGACTTTATTCAGGACATCTACGATGCAGTTGTTTGCAAAGGATTTTTGATGTCTGTATTTCGTTACAAATATACGGAACCCGAACTGGCGGTCATTAATCTGACCGGTAATGCACCGACTAATGCACAACTCAAACAGCGTATCGATAACTTTAAGTCTGTCGCCGAAAAAATTGGATTCTTAACCATTGTTCATAAGACCGACGGCATCGGTACGTTGGCTGTACTATTTCGGCGCATTGTAACCAAACTGACCATAATTCCCGACGATTGTAATGTCTTTGCTATTGACGGCAATCACGGCAATTGGTTTGAAAGTGTCAAACAGCGACTTCAGGTCAAACGCGACGACGAAAAGGACGACCAGCATCTGTGGCTTATCGCTAGTAACACTACGCCGTATACCGGTATTGTCGGTCTTGTCAATTGTCTTCGTCTGGAACCGTGCGGTAACAGTATTAGATGTATTTTAAATTTTGACCAACAGTTGAAGTTACCAATTGATTTCAAGACACTGCCATTTAATGAGATACTTACCAAAGATTTGGTGTTCAATGTGATCAGAGACGGAAAGTTAGGTACATTCAGACATCTGACACTCGGCCGCAACTACGATAAGGTACTGACCAACGACTACTATCTGAATGTCGGACAAAACAAGGATCTCGGAAGTCTTCAATGGTACGACTCAAAGAATTTAGTCCCAAAGGCAATATATTATGACATTAATAACCGAAATTGTCAACAAATCAGATGCAATATCTATAGCGCTGGTCTTAACTTTAGAGATGTTATGTTGGCTACAGGTATTGAAATTGTATTCATAGTTAATATGATTAATGATTTTATCTCATTAATAGGTCGTATAGTTTCTGGTCCTCAAAATCTATTCACAGATTGTCTGTTGGGGTTTGAGTTTGCCGGTCGTCGCACTGATGACGGCACTCGTGTCTGCGGCTTTGATTTGAGTAGATGTTTTGCTACATACGTGGACGCCATTGAGGACTTTATATCGCCGATACCTGATCATTGGTCAATGGACGACGCAACTACTATATTGAGTACTTATAGCACTGTATGGTATGGACTGATAGAAAGGGCCCAATTGAAGAATTGTATGATTATTTTTGACTCTTTTTTATAATTACGGTATAATTTTTTTTATTGATTAAGATATTCTTTGTCTTAATTGTTTTTAGATGAAAGTATACTTATTCATTCAGCAGCCGGAGGTGTTGGACAGTCAGCCATAACTGTGTGCCAGTATTATAAAGCAGATATTTATGTGACGGTTGGTACTGAAGATAAAAAGAAGTTTTTAATGTCAGAATACGGTATTCCAGAGGAACGCATATTTAGTTCACGAGACACACAATTCAAGTACAAAATTAAGGCACTGACCAATGGTAAAGGTGTTGATCTGGTTCTTAATTCATTGACTGGCGATAAACTGGACGCCAGTTACGAGTGTATTGCCGATTGCGGTCGCTTTGTTGAAATCGGCAAATATGATCTCCAGATGAACAAACAGTTGGGAATGTTTTCGTTTTTGAAGGACATATCGTTTATTGCTGTCTCAATCGATAGGCGACTGTTTTTAGTGCCAGGTTTTGCCCAACAGTTCTTCAATTGGATGCACAATAATTCAACCAATGGTATGATTAAACCGCTTAATAGGACTGTCTTCAGGGCAGACGAAGCTGAGAAGGCTTTCCGATATATGACAACTGGTAAACATGTGGGAAAGATTATCATAAAAGTTAGAGATGAAGAAGAAATTAATGGTAAACATATGGACTTCAGTCCAACTCAGACATTGATGGCAACCTCGAAGACCTACTTTGATGGTCACAAAGTTTATTTGATAACCGGCGGTTTAGGTGGTTTTGGTCTGGAACTGATTCATTGGATGACATTTCTTGGCGCCCGTAAGTTTGTGTTGACCTCCCGTTTTGGTGTCCGCAGTAAATATCAAAAGTTCATTTTGAATCGATTGGAGTCTTTGGGCATTAAGTTTGCAATGTTTAAGACACAGATCGTGATCTCGACGCACGACACGAGCACCACATCTGGTAGCAGAGATTTGTTCAGCGAAGCCGAACAATTGGGACCAATCGGTGGTATCTTTCATTTGGCTGTTGTACTCAACGATTGTCTTCTCGAAAATCATACATTTGACAAATTTCAAGAGACAATCGACTCGAAGAGTACAAGTTTTGTCAATTTTGATCACATATCGAGAGATATGAAACTCAATTTAGACTATTTTGTGGTCTTCTCGTCGGTCAGCTGTGGTAAAGGCAATGCCGGTCAGACCAGCTATGGATACGCCAACTCTATATGTGAGCGCATTTGCGAACAAAGACGACGCGTCGGTCTGCACGGTTTGGCCATACAGTGGGGACCAATAGGTGATGTCGGCGTTATGACTGACACTGTAATCAATAGTTCATTGTCTGGAATTATCAAACAGCGGATCAACTCGTGTTTGGAAATATTGGATAAGTTCTTGCAGTCGTCTCACGCAGTGGTCTCGTGTGTTGTGAGTATTGTTGTTCAGAAATAAGAAATTTGCCGTAGATTTTATAATATCCGTAAATTTGTTTGAAAATATCTTTTTTTTCTTTATTTTTTTTGTAGGTAAGAGCCGAACGTTCGACAATTGCCGGAACCAAAGAGGCTAAAATTGTCCATCAGATTTGGCAGGCAATGGGCATCGACCCGAAGACAACACCCGATCATTTGACATTAGGTGAAATCGGTTTTGAGTCTATGTTTGCTGTAGAACTGCAACAAGGATTGGAAAGAGATTACGACATCAAAGTGTCGTTAAATGATATAAAAATTATTACAATAGGAATGATGAAGGAGTTTGAAAAGGGAAGAGTAGATGAAATGAAAAGATTTGCCGAACAGATCAAGAATTGTCGGACAAAACTATGCAAAGTTAAGTTCGTGATTCCCGCCGACGTCTCCGTCCGATTAAATAATGTAACGACTGGTAAACCTGTTTATATTTTGCCACCACTGGAGGGTATATTTGCATCGCTGGAAGGTTTGGCCGAAAAGATTGAAAGACCAGTCATTGGTCTCAATTGGGTTAAAGAAATGGAAAGAATGAGTTCATTGAAAGAGATTAGTAGATACTATACTAATCTCATGAGGAATTTGGAACCCAAAGGAGATTATGATATTTTGGGCCACTTTTATGGTGCGCTCATTGCTATGAAGATGCTTAAGAAGGCACCGATTGGTAAATGTGTTATCATTGATATGCTTTCGGAGATCAAATTGGATGAAGACATTACAAACGATTATTTGATTGAATTGATGTTAAATTTTATTACTAAAGACATGCCCGACGTTATTAAGGCTAAGTTCAAGCGTGACGTTGAAACTAAACCCGACGTTCCCTCGAAGTTAGACAAAATGGCGTCCGAATTGAAAGAGTTTTGTGGCAAAAGTCTTGTCAGTCGAGACTTGGATGAGATTTTGTTTAATTCATTCAAACGCGCGAAACTGTTTACCATATATCGGGTAAATATGAAGAATAAGCAAAAAAAGCTTAAGTATAACATTGGATCCAAGTTCTTGACAATGACGGGAAAGCTGTTGATATTAAAACCGTTCGGTAAAGACTTTAACGATGAAAATGCTGGTGAAGTGGTCAGCGATAAGATAAGAAACGCTTATTTTCTGCCCGAAACTGTATGTTTTATTTAAATACAAAAATTGTCAAAATTGTTGAGTCAAATATTTTATGTTTTGTTTTAAATAAATATATTAATTAAAATTTAATTTAATATTATTTATTAATTCAGGGATTGGAAGGAAAACTTAACTTCGAGAGCGTTGAGGGCACGGGTGAAGACATACATTCATTGACTGCCATTGAGAAGCTGTCCGATGCTATCAATCAATATCTTTCTAATAAATAATTAATAATTCAATAATTTATAAAATATTGTATACAAATTGACATATAATTTTTAATACATGACATCTACAGTATTTCCCGCACCGTTAGCTGCTGAGTGAGTGTGTTTGGTTTGATTGCTATTACTAGTATTTGTTAGATTATTGAAGTTATTATAAAATATAATTTTTTTTAGACAACTTTTTCATGACTTTTTTTATAAATCTATACATTTATTATTTTTATTATTACAATTTTATAAATATTTTTTTTTCAAATAAAAATTATACATTTCCTGTACCTTTACTTGTTTAAATTAGTTTGTAATAAAAAATTATTAGTTACTTATATAAAAAATTTTTATATAATTTATTTTTTAATATTATCTATTAAAAGGTCATCAGATATAAAAGGATTAAACAAATTAGCAAATTAGAGAAAATTCAGATAAACTTTAAAAATTAACAAATAATAATATATTTATAATAATTGTAATAACAAAAAATTTATTATAATATTTACAAACAAATGACAAACACTAGAAATTGAGAGATATTTTTATTATTTGTTAATATGACTGCATAATGATAATAATTATGGGAACAGTTGGTGTTTCAATGATGGAGTAGTGGTGTAGTTGTCTTTATATTATTTTTTGACTCCTGGGTATTGTGACACTGACTTGACTTTTGCTTCTTTGCCCATAAGCTGTTTGTAATAGTTTTCTCCAATCGATTCGGTCGATTTGGTTTTGCCTAACTTTTTACTGACCGGTTTTGCGGCAATGCGTGTTTTGGACGGACCTTTCGACGCCTGCGGACCTTTATATTGCGATATAGACTTGACCTTTTGGTCACCTTTGGTAAGCTGTGCGTAGTAGTCTTGACCATCGTTGCTGGGCGCGGGGCCGGCAGGTGCCTCAGCTTGAGTATCTTTGGGCGTAACGGTTTGGTCGAGCGGGTCAGAGAAAAATGAGAACAAATAGGCCACTATCGAGAGAATCGGTACCCAAAACAGAAAATAAACGGCAATTCCCAGACCGACACTGATTAACCAGAAGATCTCGTGGTCGCTGTCTTTGCTATTGGAGTCTTGTTTAGCAAAATAGTGTTTATCGGACGTCAAATAAGCGGCTCCGCCTCCAAGTGCTATACCCACTACTATGCATAACGTAAGAAATAAGTATCGACAGTAAACACAACATCCTTTTGCCTTTTTGTTATATAATGTCCTTTTGATACAACACCTGTAGAATAGACACATAATTATGAGTCCGAGTGCCGCACAGCTGCAGGCCGTTAGTCCGGAAAATAGTGCGGCAAAGAAGCCGTCGCTGTAGTCTTTGCATAGACCTGTCTTACAAGGTATCAAAAAGACTGTTTGCAACAGAATCTGATTGATGGACACAAAAAACAATATGATATACTCGAGAGCCGTCAACGTCTGGCTCGGACTAAGCTCGGCTTCTAGTGGTCGCTGTTCTCGTGTGGCCGCCGGATGTGAGTGGGCATTAAAATCCTTTGCTTTAGCCATATTAGTGATGGCACTGCCGACGTATGCAATGTTGGCCTCAGGACTGGATAGCTCTTGGATCTCAATAATAGTCACATTGATAGTGCCCTCACCGTTATGGTTGACCGTAACGTTCTTGATGTCGGCCAGCGGTTCTTTTCGGTAAAGTAGAAACCGACAGACCCTAAGACTTGAGTTTTCGCCCTTTTGGATGCTATTTTCCAATTGTTTTGGCGGTATCTGTAGGACAATAAGCGATCGATTGCTGTCACAGACTTCCACAGTAACAGTAGTTTTGTCGATCAAAAAGTTTGGCTTAAAGTTGCCAAAAATGAAGCGAATGACGTACCGATATTTGGCTGTTCTTGTCGTACACTTATCGCACACTTTGTCCCAGTAGTAGATGTCCGGCGGGAACAGGAAATAGACGACCAGTGATAGCAACGATATAGACAGCCATATGATGCCAGTGATAATGTAAGACAATTTATAGATTATTTCTGTCATCACTGTGTCGTTGATATGATGAGATCACAATTTTTTTGTTAAGATATAAAAACTAATTGGTTTGAAGCTTATCTAGATTTTTTAGGTCTAACTTTATTTATAAAAAAACAACACTACAGTTAACAGCTAATAGAGAAATGACAAATGTTTTTATTAAGTTTTAACAACTTTTAGATTTAATAAACTGTTTCATAATTGAAGTTATCATTGAATTTTAAATTTTGAATTTGTTTTCTAATCTTTAGATAACGTGAATTTATCAGTATTTTATAATTATTGAATTATAAACATTGTTTTACAGCTTATCAATAGTTTTTTTAGAACAAATCTATATTATAGACAGCCAGTCGAAAATTATTTGCCACAAACCTATCCCCACCCACTCAACAAGGATGTGGAGGGTTAGGAATGAGGTGATGAGGTGGGGTGGGTGGGATGTTTTGGGTTATATAGTAGTTTGTTAGGTATAGGTGGTGTAGAGTCATATTATCATTTATATATTTTTTACTTCTAATGTGAATACAATTGAGTGATTTCACGTGCAAATAGTATTATTAAAACATTTAATACAGTGTTGTAATGCACGCGCAAACAATATAAAAAACTAAGCCCTCTCTAAGGTAAGTGTTGCCATAAAACAAAAAATATTATACAATAAACAAATACTTAGTAATGCGAGAAATAATATATTAATTTTTAAATTTCAATAAATAACACATTTATCTTGTAATACAAATCAGAAAATTGTGAAAAATTTTTTTATTTATTTCAGTCATGTCTTCATTGATAAACTTGTTTTGTTTACTCTGTCTGACACTTCTTGTGCCGACAAATGCTAACCAATTGGTTAAAGTAATTGATTTTATAAAACATTTTTCGATTATCAATAAATAAATAAAAAACCTATTGATATAAAAAATATATAGAAATGTTTAACAAAAATTATTGTTTTCATTATAACCGAGAATTCATCGTTCATCTGCGGTCAGCCAATTGATTCAATACTATCGGACATCAGTAATGAAAAGATAAAATTATGGATATTTTCTGGAGATCGCTATTATCTGATCGACAATTTTGTAGTCAATGAACAACAATCGACGTATAATATAGTAACGAAAAACGGATCAATTAGTTCATTGAACAACAATCTAAGCGCACCAATAGAGCTGGCATTTGATTACACAGATGGCTATCATCTCATCAATATAAATAAAGTCTCAAATCATAACACAATTTGTTTCAAAACATTGACATTAATTCAAACATTATTTTTTTAGACATTGAGTGCAAAGGAATGGATACTAACAAAGGATTGGCATCTAATCAAAGAATCAAATTTTATCTCAGATGACGATCGTCTGGAGGGTTTGGGTTATGGTTTCAATATATCTGAACCGGTTTATTTGAAATATTTTTATGGCACTATTATTGTCTACTTCAATGAAGTTAACTACTATTCGTTGGTCAAGAGGACAGTCAATAGCAGCACACATACCGATGAGATAACGTTTAGTTACGATATTAATAATATTGAATATAATACGAGTTTTGTCACTCATTTCAATGATAAACCAATCGGTCACGGGATACGAACGCACCAATACTTATATCTGATTGCTGGCCAATATGTTTTTGCCCTTAAGTTTGTTAAGGATATGGATAAAGTCGACTATTGGATGCCAATGTCTCAGTTTATGAATTTGGATCAATTGATTACTTGCGAATCCAGAACAACCATCTCTACTATTACTGTAACTAATAGTACAACTAGTGATAAGATTAGTACAACCATTGAATCTACCGGTTTTAGTATAGTATTAATTATTTTGCTTATTGTTGTCATTATCGTTGTCATCATTATTAGTATTATAATTTTGATTATCATTATTATCCATCTTCGTGCTAATGATCGCGAAAGTATGTATATATATATATATATATATATATATATATATTATAATTACATAAAAACTAATAGAAATATAATTTAAGTGTTGATAATAATAATTGTTTTAATTAATTTATTTATTAATCTGAAGAACCAGCCGCCAAATCAACGGTTGGCAATACACTGGGCTTTGAAAACAGTGCCGCCAGTGATGACAACACTTCAACAATGAGAGAGAGCCTCTAATAACTGGAAAAATACTATTTAATTATTTTTCAAATTTTTGTTGTTTTATATTTGTTAATGAAATTTATCTAATTTTTGTTGTTGTTGTAAATATTTTACTTATATATATTAAAATATTATATCTATATATTGATTGATAGAGATATTAATGAATTGAATTAATGATTCGATTCAGTGATAAACAATTGTTAATACAATAGTTTATATAAATCAAATAAATTTTATAATTTATTTGATTATAAAGTAATACTGTCTTAATTATAAGTTATTAAATACAATATATTTTTTTCGTTGTATTAGTTTAAAAAAATAATTTTTCTATATTAAATATCAAATATTAAGAAAATCACTAAAATAATTACACTTAAAACAAGTTTTTTTATTTAACTATAATTGACATTACAATAAACAACAACAAAAAACACACACAATGTCAATGTCTTCACTACAATAATAATTCATTGACAACATCGATGACCATCTGTTTGACCGGCGCTCCGATGATCCGAATTTGTGGTATGTGTTGATGACTGACATCGCGTTGTTTCGGTTTTCGCATCTCTCTGAGCACACGATAGCCACAGTTGACCAGAAGTCCAATTAAGGCGATGTACATTAGCGTCAGGATGTAAACGGTGTGTCCGGTTGTCAACAATAGCCAAATGACTGACATACCAGTTGTCGCCGGTTTATTACCGATGCCATTGGTGCTCAAATTGTAGTGCTGTTTGTCGACTACAATCGGATCCAAAATCAATTGATTTGCATTGATTTCTCTCTTCTCTTCATTTGAATTCCAGTACTTTGAAGGAATCGTTTGTCGACATTGTTGTTGACGCTCTTTATCACTTGCAATGTCTTCTTCTTTTTCAGTCATCGATTGATGATCTACTGTTGATTGCCATTTGATCCGTTTCTTGAGTTCCATATTTGACTTCGAGTGAATCAACAACTGCTGTGAATCTTCAAACTCATGGGTTTGTACAGTAATCACAGTCTGTATGGTTTGATCATCTCTTTTGGCATCGCTTTCTTTGTCGGACATAAACAGTTGATCGCTAATATCAGACCAATCAGTACTGTTCAGTTCACCTTTCTCTTGAACTACTGGTTCTGTGTCTCCAAACTCGTGAGTTTTTACTGAAGTAGGCTTTTGGTAGCTTTTGTTGGCATCACTTTCATTGCCGTTGTAGTTGTTGTTAGTGTTGTCCACCACTAGGTCTTCACTAATGTCAGACCAATCAATACTATCCATTAAATTACTCATTGATTTTTATATGACTTTTACTATGAATTAATGTCTGATCGAAGATATGGTTAACTAAACGTTAACTTTTTTTCAAAAACTAAATTACTGTTTAATAAAAACTATTGGTTAAAGTTCGGTATATAAACTCATTGATTGTTGAAGTTTCACGCGCGTCGTTATAACCATTATATTTATAAGAAATGTAGTACTATTTTATCACTTTGTTTTAGGTTAGATTTGAGTGGGTGTGTAGGGTTAGGAAGTGGTATGTGGGATAGGAATAAACGGTAAGTAAGGGCTAGTATCTTATTTTATCTAAAAAATTGTTAAATTATCATTTTAACAACAAATGCCTTACATATACTGAAGCTGTTCCAAACTATTTATTAAAAAATAAACTTATTTTGAAATTTCAAAATTCACGCTTTAATTATTATTAAATTATAATAATTATTATTGTATTTATTGATTTCATTATTTATATAACACTGATATTAACGATAAACTAAATCTCTTGTGATTTGTTTATATTTTATATATGATTATGTTTTTCTCTATCAATTTAATGATAATATTAACTTTGATGTTCATCGATAAAAGTCAGTCAACTAGTATTTGTGACATTAAATCTATAAAATCTGTGTTCAACTTAAACGATAACATATATACAGTAGAAAACAGTGATACAAATCAATCTCCAGTTTTTTGGAAATCACTTAACGGTTCAAACAGTGTTTCAAAAGATAATGAATTGCAATCGTTGATCGAAAAATGTGGATTTATTAGTAATTAATTATAAATATCACTATAAAATTGTAATAATATTTGCAATAATAATACAATAACCATATAATATATACATTAATAGTCACTAAACCAATATTTGGTATACACTTCTCCCGAGTCTATGAGTGCCATATGAATGAAGTTCACTGCCGAGACCCGAACTATACGTTTGACGGTATTGACCACTGCAAAGGCAATGCACTCTACTGTCAAAATATGACCAAATTTATCGACGTTGTCCTCATCATTGGATATGATTCGGAGGCCGCTGTCCGACAGTCCTATCAAGCGTTTCGCTATCAGAGAAGCGGTGATAGTAATGGCAATGATCTGACAATTATCGACAATATCAATGATATGCCTTTCGGGTGGCCAGTCAGATGTCCACTAAATGATAGCAAACTTTTCTATCTTCAAACAGGCGAAGTTGTGGAGGCTGTGAATTACAATCCCCTGAAATATGAATTAGTAATATAATATATAACATAAATTATTTTATGTTAAATCCATAGTAAAATGGGTTGAATCAAATTATAAATATTTTTTGTTTGAAGATAGTATTGTTTAAAAGTGCCAAAAAAGACAAAATTATGTTGAGATCCGCTATGCTTAAGATCGACCACTGGTTTTATAAGGATCGATGGACTCTCTATGATCCCAAACCCGTATACCATACTATTGGTTTGGTTCAAATGAGGGCCAATATTTACGCTATCGGTGCCGACGATAACTTTCAATTATTTTACTACAAAATATTTGGTCTGCAAAATCATAGCCGCGAGTTCACAGCACAGGTATGTATGCTTTGTTTATCAACATTTATTGGTAATTACATCTATACTGTTTGTACTGTATTAATGTGTAGAGTATCAACTATTATGGACTGTTTAAGTGCACCGGTAGTGTCACGTTTACAGTAAATCCTGACTACACTACGATCACCACCACTATTACTACCGGTGCCCAACCACTGCCTAATTCGTCGTCCACCAGCCGTTTTCCAAACAACCAGTCGATGACTACTCGTATAACCTCTACATCGTCGATACCGATCAATAATTTTTGGCACTTAATAATCATACCGTTGTTTCTCATTATTACTGTTGTTGTCGTTTTGGTTATATCATACATATGTTTTTATCGGACAAATAAAAAAGTCGACTCCACAACCATAACCAAACCCGTGACACCGCAAAATCGGGAGATTAAAACTGTCCTCCAGAGATAATCAATCAAAATTATTAAAATGTTTATATTTAGACTGTACCATTGCATACCGTTACTGTAATATGAAAAATATTTTATAATTTTTATTTATCTTTTTTTTATTAAATATTTTTTGAGTATAAAATAAAACAATTGACTATTAAAAATTTAAATTAATGTATTATAACTTTAATGTAAACTATTTATAACAAATTATATAAATTCTTTAACCAACAGCTCATTCCACGGATACATAATAGGATTAGTAGTAGTAGTAGTAGTAGTAGTAGTAGTAGTAGTAGTAGTAGTAGTAGTAGTAGTAGTAGTAGTAGTAGTAGTAGTAGTAGTAGTAGTAGTAGTAGTAGTAGTAGTAGTAGTAGTAGTAGTAGTAGTAGTAGTAGTAGTAATAGTAGTAGTAGTAGTAAATACCTATAAGAAGTTATGAAAAATAAAATAAGTATTTAATTATTGAACTAAAATTGCTAACATTAATATAATTTAAATCAGCTTTTAATATACAATATGTCATTAAAATGTATATCATTTTAATTTAAATAAGACTTTTATTGTATGATTCATACGCAAGAATGTCTCAATTGTCCGAATAGACTGTTTTTTTGGCTCTACAAAAGATTGGGAATTTGTTTTTTATATTGCTTTTAAAAGTGTTATATAAAAACTATTAAAATATCTTTATATTTGGGTTAGTTTAAGGGGTGGGTTGTATGAGGTTAGGAGGTTGTGGTGGGGTGGGTTAGGAAATTGTATCTGTTTTAAGTGTTATCTGTACAATCCTGATATGTATTATATTAGTATTTTATTTATAATGCGAATAAAAAAATTTCTTCTATTAAAATATAAACTAGATTATCCCGCGCAACATGTATAGCCGTGCAATGTAGTAAAGTGTAATTACACGACACCTGCCTACCTGTCCCTAAAATTTACCAGTGCTCAATAAACATTTAAAATTTCCCATAGAAATAACATTGCTTTCAATAAAAATTACATTTTTAGATTTGAATTAAAATATGGTTGTTGAGGAAAGGTGTCATACAAACAGACAAACAGACAAAACTATTATCTTAAAGTGTTATCTTGATTGCAAACATTTTTTAAAAAAATTTATAAATTAAAAATTAAATTTAAAACTACAATACTATTGAATTGATAAAAATATTTTAGTAAAACACCAGTAATTTAGAAGATTTAGTAACAAAATGCAAGACCAACAACAAGAAAACCCTTTGGATGCGATTGTCAACGACATCAACAATACGCTCAACACTCCGGTAGTTTATGTAAGGCGCAGTCAAACTGGTGGCCAACCGTATATCGATATGACTACACAAGAACCACAGCTTCTACACATTGTAAACGAAGATTATCCGATATATGTTGAGTTTAATCATAACAGTCCAGTCATCAGATTTGGCAACAATTGGGTTCTTCGTGGTTATCGAGTCGACTACGAAGTTGTTCGCCATGTATTGCAAACTACCTTTCCTATTAGCCACAAAGCATATTCGGCTATGTTTTCGTATGGCATAAAAAACAATGGAGGTGCTCAAGCAGTATTGGTTGACGAACCGCATCTAAAACTATATGTCATCGATAATGACACGGCTATAGCGCTGCGCGATCAGTGCGTTACGTGCGCCGGCCATCAGTCACTCATTTACAGGTTAGTCATAATTGCCTACAGATTATTACAGCTTACCGAGCATTTGTATGAATGGATCTCACAGGGCGTCATCGATGATGAAATTATTGAACAATGGCGTACATATATTTATGGATCAATTGGACGTTATGTACGACAACTGCTCTTAGCCGAAGCCGCCGATGTAGTCTACAGGAGTGCTATTGTCCGCACCAATACAATGGAAGCACTTCGACCACATCACACACCAATGCCACCATTACAGCTACCGGTAGCACAGATTGGTCAGTTGCTACCATTTGATGGCAACATCGGTATCAATCAATTAAATGACAATATTCAGGAACTAACTCACAGTCTACAAGACATCGAACTGTATACCAGAGATTGGGAACAGGAGTTTAATCGGTTCGCTAATTTAGACACATCTACTGAATTCGAGAACATTGCAGGTCAACAACACATTGTACTAAATAATGGTCAAGAATTTGACTTAGTTGTCGGTCACGGGGTCACAAATATCGACGGTATAGAAATGCCGACACACATGTTGTGGTCAGAAAATTTCACGGACTCTCATAACAGAACGTATCGCTTGATACGAGTGCCCGATTGGAATCATTCATGGATTATAGAAAAAAACACTCGAATGGGATTTATTATACCATTACACAGTCACGGTCTGGCGGGCAGTCATCCGCTGGTCAACAATAATAATCTTAATTTGCTCAGTGGTAACAACGGCTGTCAGACAATGTCGCTGAACTTTGTGGACATCCCACAGCTGAACCATCAACGCGTCTATTTTGTCAATCGTAATATGGCCGCCGAATTGTTGACAATATTTGAAACGAATCAAGCGTTGGCCCAATATCACCGATTTTTTGAAGATCTGCTGCCATTGACTCAAACTTTATGCGATATGCGTCGGGCGGTCCAAAACAATGCCGACATCGATCAGCAGCTCATCCAATGGATGAATACTCAGTCGCAAGTGTTGTTCGGTTTTGCCAACAGATTGTTTAACAACTATAAATGGCTCGTCAGTCTCGAACAGATCTGGAAATACGCTATACTCGCGCCTAATATTAATGCTCCCAATCTGGCTAATCGGGAACACCCGCCACATGCCATTCCAACACAACTGGGTGTTTATGGATTAGGAGATTCCATGCATTTACAACCAAAATGGCAACAAGAAATACTACAACTACCACAATAAAAACAATGGCAACAATGGCAAGAGTTCAATCGTAAGGATAGTATTAGTGGTGAAAATCAATTGCTTATCAATAATAAATACCAACTAAAAGTATATTTTGTTCACTTTTTTGATATATTGTATTAATAATGACTATTAATTGATTCCCATTATTGTAGTCTATGTGCGGAAATCGCTTCGTAACCAATGCGTTAGGTATGTCGACAATCAGTCACTTATTTTCAGGTTAGTCATAATAGCCTTTAGACTAATAGAGCTGACACCGCGTATTTGTATCGATGGATCAGAGAGAATGCCGCAGAAGTAAATATTGAAGAATTGCGTGCAATTATTCACGGGTTTAGTGGACTCTATGTAAAGCAAATGAGATTAGCCGAAGCCGCCCATGTAGTCTACAGGAGTGACATTGCAACACAAGTGGGTGTATATGGATTGGCAAGAGCTCCGAGTTTACAACCAAAATGGCAACAAAAAACCACTACAACTACAACAATGGCAGCAATGGCAACAATGGCAAGAGTAACAGTAATAAGGAAAGTAGTAGTAGTAGTAGTAGTAGTAGTAGTGATGATAATCAATTGAAAAATATTTATAGAAAGTATTAATAAATACGAAAACACGTTACGTTATATAACTTAAAATACTCTATTTATAAATTTATATATAGAAACTAAATAAAAATAAACATATTATCTAAATTTATATAATAATAATTTATGCTTTATTTTGATTAATTTGAGATCAATTATTAGCCAGCAGTCACCAATCATTGTCACTGTTCATTGAATTGCTAGACATTGACCTGTAAGATCCTTTTATAAAATAAAATAAATTTAGTATTGGTTATTGAAAAGCATACTTTAAAAAATAAATTGATTATAATTTTTTAAAATTTTATTTGTAATATAATATTTATTTATTAATACTATTATAAAGATTATAAACTTTATAAAAGTTTACTTTAAATATAACTAATTAACAAAAAATTACTGACTTTTTTATTATATTATAATATAAGATAACTGTAACTGATTTCTAATAGAAAATATTGCTATTATATTATAATAATCAAACAAAAATTCTTAAATAATAACTAGAAATACATAAAATTAATAAAATATTGAAATATTAGTAATGATAACCGTAATGGGGTGCAAAAGTCATGCCCGGTGCCATCCCGTAGCAGCCGTGTCCATGATAAACTCCCGGTCCGTACATCATACCCATACCGCCGTTATGGTGGCGTTGGGGTTGGCGCTCAAAATACATATAATCAATGAGAAAGGCGGCGCCCACTAACAATGCTTTTGCTTTGACATCCAAATCCATGGGAAATGTTATACTATAAATGTCAGCATTGGTAAAATACTCGCGCATCATTCCCGACCACTGCTTATTGATCTGACCGATCATCATATCTTTATCGCGGGACAGTATGTTAAAGTGGATATCACTGAAAAATAGTTGAATGACACACAGCGGACCTTTGATGCGCAATATCTTGCGGCCGGTGTCGTCCTCCACGATATAGACTGGCCGAATCGGATGCCATTTTTGTCTAATGTGTCCCAATAGACAGCCGGGAGGGGCTTCCACTCGAATCAACTGCAAACAACAGATACAACAGCAACAGTCGCACCGGTAGGGACGCGACAAATGCATAACTTGTCTGCCAGTATTATCGAGTATCTCGATATCGAAACTACGGTTCGGTCCGCAGACGTTAGTTATCAAAATATCGTTGATTTCTTTGGCAAAAAATACTAACTGACCCAAACTGTTCTGTATTTCGTATCGATTGTTGGTCAATATGCCGGTCATTGTCTGAAATAATAGGACCCGTTGTTTGATAATCAGTTGATCAACAGCTAGAAGATACTCGAGTCCGGGCGGTATTGTCCGCTGTTGGGTCGTTAGGACTGGCATTGGCATCGGCGGTGCACTCGGAAGTTCAGGTGGCAAATTGTTTTTTGTACGATATTCTTGCGATTCTTCGGGCGTCAACTGACGCATTATCTGCTGTTGGCCTGTCTTTGGATCAACTAATGTCTGCTGTGAAGCCATTGGCTGCATCGGCGATGGCGGTACTTGTCCTGTCATTAGTGGTGCTATTGGTGGTTGCATAGGTGTATGGCTACCATATACGTGTTGTTGATTATAATATGGCTGATTATTATATGACTGATTATTATATGACTGATTATTATATGGCTGGGCATTGTATGGCTGATTATTATATGGCTGGCCATTGTATGGCTGATTATTATATGGCTGTGCATTGTATGGTTGACTATTGTAGGTGTGAGCGTTGTATGGATGGCCAGTTGGTGATGGATGTCGATTATATTGTGGATTAGCATTATATGGAATCATTTGGTTACCAGTGTTTTGATACATATTTTGACAATTTTATATACAAAATACAATAATTAAGGTATTGTGTGCTAATAAAAAAAACAAAATGTTATTAAAACTCACAGAAAAAATAATTATTTATATAGTTATAAAAATTTATATTGTATTAAGTAAACAAAAATTTTACCTGAAATTTATTTTTTACAAATAAACCGTTTCGTATATTTATATACAATTAATTTACAAAATAATTTTATTTATATTTTTGTATAATTAAGTTCTCGCGCACCGTGACATCAAATCAGACAACGTGTTGATCATAAAAATTTATAAATTAACACTTATTGCTATATATTTATTATAATTTAGAGAAGTTATAATAATTTGCTTTAATTTTTGTAAATATATTTGTTTGCAATTCCGTAATTTAATTTTACTAATAAATTACTGTTTAAATAAAAGTTAAGAATTTTTTAGTTATTATTTTTTATTGAGTTTAGTGATTATGATTTTTATTTTTGCTATCATTATATTATATAAATTTTTATGAAACAAAATTAATGAATAAATAATACATTAAATGCAATAATAAAACATCAAAAACTATTAATCAATTTAATATATCATAGATTTTTGTTTCATTTGTTTGTTTGCTTTTCCGATTGTTTTCTTTCAATTAATCGTTTGATTTTGGTTTTACTAAAAAGAAACTCTTGTCTAATGTCTATCAATGAACGGACACAATGAGTGGTTCTGTCAGGAGTTTTGTCGTCAAATATCGGGTGTTGTCTCAGAGTTGCGTCACTCAGCGATGGCCGCAAATGATAATCTTTGGTCAACAATCGGCGCACAAATTCCACAATATTTGCCGTATAAACGCTTTCTGTGTCGTCACTATTTGCGTCCATCTGTTTGGTGTTAGGCATGTCTTGCAATACTGCGTCCAATTCGTCGTTAAAAAATCGATGTCTTTCGCGACGCACTTCCTTGAGATTGGATCGCTTGGAGTCGACATCAACGATAGGAAATGGTCGATGAAATGTCAACAACTCGTAAGACATAATACCCAGAGCCCAGACGTCTGTCTTTTTCTGACTCGATACCAGTCGACCAGAAATGGCTTCGGGCGGCCAATAGGTATAGGTGCCGCACTTTGCCGGTTTGGCGACAATTGCGCCGTCGGCGTTACGATATTTAGCCTCACCTACTGTATCGAAATCAGCTATTTTAGCTAAAAAACTGTCACTTTTACTGCTGTAAAACATCAAAACGTTAGCCGCTTTGAGATCCCGATGTGCGTAACCTCGACTGTGCATGTGATGCAAACCGTTAAAGATATCTTGGATTAATGTAATCACATGTTTGGCGCTAAACAAACTACAGGTGATTTCAATGTGACGTCTCATATGATGTCTCAGGTCGTGGACAGCCCACGGCATAGCTGTCACTCTAAATGACGGAGTCTTCATCTCAATGATCGTCATTACGTTTTTGTGATTGAATTTTCGGATCAGATTTACCTGTTTTTCAACAAACTCTGCATCACTTTTGTGGAACTTGAGGGCAATCTTTTTGTTGTTCAACTGTCCCTCGCATACCACTCCGAAACCTCCCCTACCCATGAATTTGCCTAACTTTACGTCATTATCTCGCAATACGGGCAACGCATTGACAATCAACTGTCTCAACTCTTTGGGTATTTTTGGATCAATTGGGAACTTCTTTTCGAGAGAGTATTGCTTAAGATTAGTGGCGAGTTCTGTAGCTGTCGTTGTCGGTGCCAATGGTTTTGTTAAGACATTTAAATACGACGTCGAATACGCTCTTCTATTGTAATTGGCTTTTGTCTTCTGTTCCGGTTCTGGATTAGGTAACGATAGATCTCGTGACAACACATGAGACAAAATTACTTCTTTTAGTGACTGCTCTTGTAATTTCTGAGTATCTTTTTGTTGATCGACACCACCACCACCAACAATAACAACTTCCGATTGTTTGTCACCGCTTAAAACTAAACGGTTTTCACATTTTTCCGATAAATTCATCACAACATCTGATTGTTTATCTAACTCTTTAGATTCAGTGATCATTACATCTTCGGCTTTTGCATCGACTGACAGTTCATTTATCTCGTAAAATGAGGTCACATATGATTGGTATTGACTTTCGTGATGACCGATATCTTTTGTGGTCAACTCTGGTCCTAAAATCGGATCAATTGTTTCACGTTTGCCATCGACTATACTCAAGAAATCGTTAATTGACATCATTTTCATTAAATCTTTGGCCGTATAATAGGTATCACAACAGCCGCTGTCTTTATCAGTCATTTTTTATATATATTTTAATTTAGATTTGAGAAATGATTTTTCAAAATTTTTAATGATAATTAACTAATTGTCGTTTAAAATATAAAAAATTTACGTTAATTTATTATGAAATTTAAATTAAACTTTAAATTTTATGAAAACACATGCAAAACTGTAAGTTTTAAATTTAGATTAGTTTTATGTATTGTATATTAAAGTTAGAAAATTAGAAATAATATAAATAAAAAAAAATATAAATTAATTTTTTATTTTTAATATAATTATTTACTACCACAACAACAACAAAAATTATCCATTAAAATTAAATTTATTATTTTATGCTGATTAAAATAATTAATTTATAGGATAAATAAAGTTTTGATTTATGTTTAAGTATTAATTTTTTGATTATATTTCTTAATATTAAACTAAACTTTATTATTTTTTTTGTCATCACATCACCGAATTTGTCACTATTTTTGTAACTAATTGAGAGATTCATTGCTGCCATCATTAGGAGGAAGTGTTTCATTGCTATCGTTATTATTTTTAGCTAACTGTTTACTATTGGTTTTTATTGATTTCTTGCATTTATCAATATTTTCATTAGATTTTTGACTGTCTTTTGCTTCTGTCTTATTGTTTGCCACCCGTCTCTTCACTTTAACCGACGATGACGACCGACGTTGTGTACTTGTTTTAGGTTTCATACAACACAACACAATCAGCGCTATAATTGCCACAATCAATATGACAAACAATATGCCATTCAGACTACTAGTGATTGTTATTATTAAAAATAGGCCACTGATTTGAAAAATTTTAAAATAAAGAATTGCAAAAAATAATTAATAAAACTACAATTTCATTAATAATAACACACAAAAAAAAACTGAATTACTAGTTTTGATTTTTCAGTTCTTTGAAATCACAGCAATAGGCTATTGAAACGATTTTATCGGTAATATTGTTGTCCACATCAGTAATGTTTTCTTCAAAGTGATCGACAAGACTCAGTGATTGACTGATGTTTATTGAGTTAGAGTAACAACAAAATGGTCGGTCTTCGTCCAGACAGTAGATCTTATTGTAGCCGTGAATGTGATGACTAAACGAGCAGACAATAGCACCGATACGTCGGATACAGTCGATATGATCAACAGTAACCAGTGCTGTCAAACATAAAACTTTGATTAGATTTCTCAATAATAATAATTTTCTTAAAATCATTTTTATGAAATTAATATTAACGTCAATTAATACATTAGTAATCAAATAATTAACTAAATCAGTTAAAATTGGATATTAATTATAATTTTTTTAATAATGAAATTATTGATATAATATCGCGCAACTATATAGATAATGAAGACAATAAATGTCAATAATATTAATTACTTTAATCAATACTATTTTTTTTAAATTGCAAGTATTTAAAAGACTAAAAAAAACATTTATTGACAAAAATTAATGCGCGGAAATAAATTAAACTTAGTTTTACTGTATCAACAAAAATATCTAAATTTATTCTAATCTTTTTTTCCATAAATTATATATAAATAGTTACAAAAAAAGAAGTATTCAAATAAAAATTTATTTAAAACAAATTAAAAGATACAATAAATACTGTATTTATATAAAGCGTGAAATATAATAAATAACAATAATTTATTTATTTAAAGTATAGTCGCAGTCATTATTTGAATTTCAAACTTTTCAAAAAAAAGAAATTAATAGATACCGATAGCCGATAGATATGACCATCAAATTATTGATTGTATTGGCAATTGTCAGTACATTAGCCAATAGTCAATTGTCATCATCAACTTTAAGCATTACTATCACTACTACCTTAAAGCCAATCGACGTGTCAACAACTAATGTGTCCACTGAATTGTCGCCGATTGTCAGTTCAGAGGTTACTAACAGCCCGACTAATGAATCAATTAATGGCACACAAACAACATCACCGACAATAGTGACAACAAATGAAAACACCACTTCAGTGCCATCAAACACATCAACAACTGTTGTAGTAAATGACACGACGACGACAACAATGGTCGTTGAAAGCAGCACTAAATCTACTATTATTGGACAGTCATCGTCATCTGCAGACTATGAAAGCACACTATCACCGCCAGATCAGACAAAATCATCTAAATGTTTGAATAATAATAATTGTATCGATAAATCATTTCATGAAGTTGTCAGAGATTTATCATTCTTACTGATTGTTATGGTATTCATTGGTTCACTTCTTGTAACCTTTTGTACAGTGTTTGGATACAAGACATTAACCAAAGAGTTGTCGACACCAAAGGAGTGTCAAAAATAATTATTTTCAACTATTTTTTATATAATATTTATTTTTTTTAATGTTAGTAAATGTTATGTTTTATTTTTAAACTAACTAATAATTAATTTTGTGTTTATCTAAATTAATAAATATTTTTGATATATACTATACATCTATATAATTTGGTAATGTTTGTATGTCCGTCACGCAAACAATTACTTTTAGCTCGATATTAAAATTAAAAATAATTAAAATAAATGTTAAATAAAATTTATTGTTGACTATTTTTAAATATTTAAATTTTTTTTTATTGTTTCACGTGTAAAGCAAACAAATATCTAAAATAAATTATTGAATGCTAAATTTAAATCACTATTGTTTTAGTATAATTTTTAACTTAATTAAAACATATAAGTTAACAAGTTTACATTACAATACATTAATACTATATATTGTACCTAAATTTGTTTTACATTAAATACAAAATGAATTTTAATAGCAAACTCGATAACTATTATAATAATTAATATTTTTTCTCTCTCCCTTTTTAAAACAAATAAAACTCAAGTGAAACTATAAAATTAATATTAAGTTAAATTCAATTCAGAAAACAATAAGTTAAATAAAAAAGTTTATTATTTAATTAATTTATAAATCCTTTTTGTAATTATCAAGAATTAATTTTTAAAATACTGTATACTTTTAATATATTTATCGCTACAATAATAAAATAAAAATTTTAATTTCTATGAAAATTTAAAATTGTTGTCATTATTGCCAGAAATATACAGAATATTTTAGTGGCAAATCAGTTAACAATTCAAAGATATGAGTCAATTGAATGATAGTATTGAGACAAAGGCCGATACCAATGACACCGATACCAGTGATGAGACAAAGAAAAAGCCAGAATTTAAAGGTTTAGACAATTTAGGAAATACTTGTTATATGAATTGTGTAATTCAGGCCTTGTATTCAATACCGGACTTTCGATACAATCTCAATATCAATGGCACTAAACCTCTTCATTTGGCGCTTAAAAACCTTTTTGATTCAATGGCCGCCAAATCGGATCAAACAAATGTAAATCCATGTGAATTCTGGGATATTTTTACTAATTACAGAAATCAGTTCAAAGACAGACAACAACAGCACGACTCGCAAGAGTTTCTCCGGTATTTGATTAATGGTTTACACGAAGAGGTAAACGTTGCAAAACAACAGACAAAGACAAACAATGGCCAACAATTGACAGATAAAAGACAGCGTCGGCCTAAAAGAGACAAAGTCTGGAACAGATACTTGAAGTTTGTGGACAATTCCTATCTTGTAATGATGTTTGTCGGACAACTCAAGTCTACCATTAAATGCAGTCATTGTGAGTCTGAAAGATATAATTGGGATATTTATTGGGATCTTTCACTGTCTATACCTGAAACCAATGATGACATTGACATTAATACATGTCTTAAAGAGTATACGGATGTCGAGGTACTCGACAACGACTCGATGCCCACTTGTGAGACGTGTCAGTCAAAGAGGAAGTCATTCAAGTCATTATCATTTTCCCGAATCCCTCCAATTCTTATCATTCAACTCAAGAAGTTTGTCAATGACGGCAACAAAATATCAAAAGCCGTTACAATTAACAGTCAACTTGTAATCAAAAGCCACAACTATTATCTGTTTGCCATAATATGTCATAACGGGACCACTTGTTCCAGAGGTCACTATACCAGCTATTGTCTGCACAATCACATCTGGTATCTGTTTGATGACGAAGTGGTACATAGTATTCAAACCATGGACTTCAACACTGTCTCATCAGATGCTTATATATTGTTTTACCGATCGGTTCAAAATCATAGATAACTTGTAGTTATTTACAAAATGAAAACTGTAAAGAAATAAAAATTTAATTAACTTTTTCCCAATCAAACCTATAAGACTAAAATACTATATCTTTTTGCTTATTTATTAAATTTTATAAATGATATTTTATTAATAAATAAATATTTCTAATTATCTAAATAAAGATTTTGGATGAAATATTTATTTAAAAAATAATTTAACTTTACTATACATAATATAGTTTATTTATTTTACTGATTTATTTAATTTTTAAAACATTGACATTCATTAAGTTAACTATTGTTTTTAATAGTATGTAATATCCAATTGATATGTCGAGGAATGGACACAAAAGTCTTTAAAAAAAACTCTCAATAGTTTCATTGCAAACATAACTAGAAGTTCCTAAACCATTGACAACAGTAGTCAATCAAACCTAACAAAAATAGTCACAAACATCACTAAAATTAGTGAAAATAGTTTTATTATATTTTCATTTCAATATAAAACTTTAATTTTAAGTATTAATAATAATTCTGTTCTCAAATTTTGTTTTCAAAATTTTTGTTTCACTATATTTAGTGTTGAAAGTTATGTAATAACACTTCAGTTTAGTTAACGTCATTGACTATACTATTAGTAAATGTATTAAACAATATTGTATTAAATTTAATGCAATGATGTAATGCCTAATGCAATCAAATAGTGTTTTATTATTACATTAAAGTATTTGTTGTTTATATTGATTAATACAAACGTTTATCAAACGATATTACAGTATCTCAAAAAAAGAGTATAACTTTAAAAATAAATTAATTTATTAAATAATTAGTTAATGTTTTGTTTATTTAATTGATTTATTTGTTTTAATAATATTTAGTTGACATCAAATGTTTGTCAATTGAGATCACAAAAACAAACTAATAATTTGTAAGTAATTTCATATTATTTTTTAAAAAAAAAATCTTTGTATTAGTTGTCAATTTTATTTATATGTAACTGTGTCTAAAAACCCTTGTAGTCGCCCATACCTACTGTCACGGGTGGCTCAGGGATATCAGTAGTTAGTATACCTATCATATTTACCGATTAGTTTGGTCACTTACCCGGCATATAGCAATGTTTATGTGCGAAATGTTAGGAGTATTGGTTGGTGTTGTATATGATATATAGGCCTAACCATACCATTCCCTTGAGAGCACCCGTACATTGAAACTGTTGTATAAGTATGAGTCATGTTAGGCAACAAACATATTTGATTAAGTTATACAGGTATATAACTATTGTCTAATATTTAATATATAAACATATATCATAATTGACTGATAAGGTAACAATAAATGTAATGTTATTTAAGACAACAGTTACTCATCATTAATATGATATTAGTTTTATTAGATTATTGTTGTTTATTAACTATTTTTTTAATAAAACATTTTTATTTTATAGTTTCTAAAACTGTGGTTTATAAGAGATAGATAGATAGATAGATAGATAGATAGATAGATAGATAGATAGATAGATAGATAGATAGATAGAGAGATAGAGAGAGAGAGAGAGAGAGAGAGATAGATAGATAGATAGATAGATAGATAGATAGATAGATAGATAGATAGATAGATAGAGAGATAGAGAGAGAGAGAGATAGAGAGAGAGAAAAAATGGCCAGCACTGGTAATGAAAAGAGTGTAAAGTACAAACCCCATTCCTATCAGGTATTAAATATTAATAATGTTATATTTATTAGAGAGAGAGAGATAGATAGATAGATAGATAGATAGATAGATAGATAGATAGATAGATAGATAGATAGATAGATTGTTATATATTATTAATACTAACACTGGTCTGATAGGAACAACTTTATATGGCAGCCAAAGACCGTAATATTATAGCATGTCTGGGAACCGGTACGGGAAAGACGTTTATAGCAATAATGTTGATGCGCGACCCAAAGTTTGCCGCTGCCCTACGCGGACAATACCCTCAAGAGGCTAAACGTACCGTTTTTATAGTACCGACACGAACTTTGGTCACTCAACAGGCGGCTGAAGTTAAGCGACATTTTAAAGCACGCGTAAAAGGATATACCGGTAAATGTTAGGTCAGAAACAGATCGTGATTGTAATGACAATTATTATTATTGTCAGGTGATATGGATGTCGACTCATATGATGTCCATCGATGGACAACTGAGTTAACTAATCAGGACGTTATTGTTATGACTGCACAGATATTATTGAATATGTTGAACCATCAATTCATTACTTTTGATAATATAAATCTCATGATTATGGATGAGATTCATTGGGCAGCAAAGAAAAAAGGCAAAAAAGAGTCGGGCCATCCGTACAAACAGATAATGAAATTGTATAACGAATGTCCAGTGGATCGCCGACCACGAGTACTTGGATTGTCGGCCAGTCTTATTAACAGTTCTATGCCATCGCATCTGTTTGATGCGGTCGTCAAAGATCTGGAAGAGACATATTGTGCTGAATGTAATACATCAGAAGTTGCCAAAGATTGTGGTACTAATCCTGAAGAACATATTTGCAATTTTGTTAGCACACCGGCCTCTCCCAGTCCAACTGCACGGAGTGTAGTACAGTCTTTGGACTTATTTATTGATAATTTGAATAAATTAAAGAAATTGAAGAAAATCGATGGAAATTCAATGATAACTCACACCACAAGTATTAAAAAATGTTTGACAAATGTACGTAATATGTTGGCCGATCCGGTTAACAAACTGATTACAAATCCCGAAACCAAACAGGAGTACATTATTACTATGACATGGATGGGTGTTTGGTGTACAGCGTTGGCCATCGATAAATATATATCTAAGTTATCACAATACAGGGAACTCTATCAACGATATCCCCCTCATTCTGCACTATTTGATCACGTAATACGATATTTAGGTTTGATTAAGAGTCAGTTTAATAATGAACTGAATCCCATTCAATATCCGATGGCAGCATATGACACGGCATCACCTAAAATGTACCAATTGTTAAAAATTCTTGAAACATACCGTCCCATAGATAATGAAAAGAGTCAATTCTCTGGTATTGTATTTGTCGCCCAGCGATCAGTAGCCAAAGTATTGGCTGAATGGCTCAATAAAATTAAAGAACTAAAACCAACTGAGTTTGGTTTTCTTAACGTCGATTCGGTAGTCGGAAACTCCTACAGACCTGGATTTGAATCGTCGGTCACATCGTATATCGATAAACAACAAGAAGGTGTAATCAATCGCTTCAGAAATGGGTCACTAAATCTAATTATCGCCACTTCAGTACTCGAAGAAGGACTTGACATTCCAAAGTGCAATGTTGTCATCAGATACGATCGTTTAAATACATTTAGAGAGTATCTACAGTCCAAAGGTCGTGCAAGAGCTAAGAATGCCAGCTATTATATGATGACATCTGAAGAAGACAGAGACAAACTTGAAAACCAATTAAAAGATTTCGCGGATATTGAGAAACATATTGAAAATCTGAACAATATTTCCAAAGTTAACGGCGCTATATTGTCACCGTTTGATGATGAAGAGGACGAAGATGATAATGAACAGTACATCGATGATAGAACCGGTGCTCGCGTAACATCGCGGACATCCATATCATTGATTTACCGATACTGTGCTCTGTTGACGAGTGATTCGTTTACTAAGTTAATGCCTGTTTTCAATATTGAAGGCATTGATAAGCCATTCAGATATTCTCTAAAATTGCCGGTTAATAGTCCACTAAAAGAGACAATCTATGGACAGTGGTGTAAATCTAAAAAAGGTGCCAAAAAGAGTATCGCTTTTGAAGTATGCAAACAATTGCATCTATTGGGTGAACTAAATGAAAGATTTTTGCCAATCAGTAGAGAACAATTAATTAACAAATATGTCGAAAAATTAGGTCTCAGTATAAGAGATATCGATAAAGAGGACAGTGATGTTGCAAAAGTTGGTACTCGAGCTCGAAATCAAATCTATGAAAAACGATTGGCACAAGTGTTCACATCACAGGTTTCTTCAAACTTTTATTATTTGCACAGAATCTCTATGAAGTTCCCTTCTTTGGATTGTTTTAATGGCCAATACATGGAGTTTGGTCTTATAACTGGTGATCAAATAGTAAACCGATGCTCATTCTCAGTGTTTGCTCCCATCAGAGAGTATCAAACAATGGAGAATAATTTTGCCATCAATGTTGACTTCATGCCACTGACTAAGCTATCGTTTAATGAAAGCCAGTTAGAGGTGATTAGAAAATTTCATTTATTCACATTTGAAGAGGTCATCGGTATTGACCCAAATGGACAGTTAGTCTTTAATACTGGCGAATCTCAGTTTAACTTACTGGTCGTTCCGTTGATGACAAACAAGCAAATTGATTGGAAATTTATGGATAAAGTCAATAATTGTGAACCAATACAACTAAAGACTTTGTCCACTACTGAACGGTCAGACTTTAAATTTGACGCACAATTATATAAAGATTGTGTGTTCTATCCGTGGTATTGGCAACCAGACAATCCTCGACCTGAAAGACCGACATTATATGACTCTCTAAGTGTAACCAATTTAACACCAATGTCTCCGTGGAAAGGAAAGGATGAACAATACAAAACGTTTGAACACTACTATCTCAAGAAACATAATTTGGAAATAAACAATAAAAGTCAACAATTACTTGAGGGAAAAATGGTTAAGAAGTTATCACAGATCAAGTCATTTACTTTAGAAAAGTCAGATCCAAACCGTATACCACAATATTTTGTACCAGAATTGGTATACATTCATCCCTTTCCAAGCTCTCTATGGCGACAGGCTTTATGCTTACCGGCCGTACTTTATCGGTTGAATCACATATTTTTAACCGAAGAATTGCGACAAAAGATTCATTTAGAGACAAAGCCACACATCGGTTGCTTGAATTCACCAATTAATGAGTTATCATTAACTTTGTCTTCAGATATCATTGAATTTCCTTTAATTGGAATAAAACGTCTTCTTATCGATGACATAAGGATCAATTGCGAAGGACATCCATTAGACTCCACAATGGATATGAATGAAATTAAGACGTTTGTAATGCCAAAAATGAAGAAACAACGAACCGATTACGCTATTTCTGTGACATCAAACGTTACAAAACTTGGATCAAACAGTATTATCACAAATCTGTCTCCAGTTAACAACAATAACAACAATTGCATTAATAGATTATTGGATTTTACCGAAGCTGTCATCAAAAAATTTAATGATATTTTTAATAACATCAGAGAATCAAATATTGAATCTGATTCAGACAAATATGAATTAGAGATTCTTTCGGCAAAAAGTGAATCACAAAAGGATAGTGAGCTTAAATATGGTGAAACATATCCTTTTATATTTACCGGTAATATTATGCCATACATTGAACGCTCATATGATTGTCGAGTGGGTGAACCCATCATTGGTCCCTCAGCTGATGTTTTGCTTAAAGCTCTGACATTATTGAACGCAAACGACGCTTTTAATTTGGAGCGTTTGGAGACAATGGGCGACTCTTTTCTCAAGTTTGCCACAACTGCTTTTCTATACTATGCCTGTCCCGAACTAGACGAGGGACGGTTGTCTTACTTGAGACAGATCCAGATCTGTAACTGTAATCTGTATTATTTGGGTAATCGCAAAGGTATTGCAAACTTATTAGTGGCTCATAAATGGTACCCAAAAATTAATTGGTTGCCACCATCCTATCATATCGATGATGAGTGTGATTTGCAATTGTTAACAAAAACCAATGATGGCTATAGATATCAATTGGTTAACGATAAAAGTATTGCCGATTCTGTGGAAGCACTTATTGGCGCTCACTTATTGGTCGGCGGAACTAAATGTGCGCTAATTTTTATGGAATGGTTGGGTCTTAAAATATCCACTAAAAAAGATATCGATTATTTAAACATTAGAAAATTGGATGACTCGAAACAGTTCCAGTGGCTACCGGAGCCCAAGAATCCTATTTGGAATACTAGTGCCACTGAATATGATATAAACAAATTCATAATGAATGAGTACACTGATTGTTATTTAAATAATTTCGAGAAAATCATTGATTATACGTTCAATAATAAGGCATTTATTATACAAGCGTTTACACATTCATCAAACATTAGAAATCAGTTTACTGATTGCTACCAACGACTTGAATTTTTAGGCGATTCCGTATTAGACTATCTAATAACTTATCATATTTATAATATTGCCGATAAAAAGTTTAGTCCGGGAGAGCTAACCGATCTGAGATCAGCATTGGTTAACAATACATTTTTTGCTAACATTGCCGTTAAATTTAATTTCCACAAATATCTTAAGGCATTTTCACTTGAACTCTACCATTCTATCGATGTTTTTGTCAAAAAGTTTGAAACCGAAAAACAAGACTCTATTTATCATTGTTTCAAAGCTTTGACAGATGAAGAGGTGACCGATTTGGAAGAAGTAGAGATTCCCAAAGCTTTGGGAGATATATTTGAGTCAATAGCCGGTGCCATATATTTGGATAGTGGACTGTCATTGGATGCGGTTTGGAAAGTGTTTTATAAACTGCTTAAACCAGAAATAGGTGTTTTTATATAAATATTTGTTTTTAAAAGTTTTTATTAATTATATTATTTATATTTAGACTATTTTAGTGATAATATTCCCATTATGCCGGTTAGGGAACTAAGAGAGAAGTGTGAAAGTGTAGAGTTCAGGTATTTTATATTTTTCTAAAAACTATATTTTAATAATTAAGTTTAAAATATTTTTGTTTATTTATATTAGTAAAGGCGAGCAATTAAGTGACGGTAAAATACGTGTTGTGTTGTCTGCTAATGGCCATCAATATTCGGGAATCGGGAAGAACTCTAAATTGGCCAAAATTGCTGCCTCTAAGAGTGCATTGAAAGCTATTAGTTTAGATAAAAAATAGTTAAATATATCTTAAATTGTGATACAAATGGATTCTTTGTTAAATTATTATATTAAATGTTTATTATATTGATATATATTTATGTGATTATTACTAATCAAATCATTTCTTTAAATAATTTTTCCGGTGATTCTATCAATTATTCCAAAAATTATTATTTTGTTTATTAAAAATTGTTGTTTTGTTTTATCAAATATTATTAATATTACTAAAAAATAAATCGGAATTATATGATAAAATTCACAATTAATGCAATATAAATTTATCATAAACATTGACTTATTATTTTTTAATTTTATTTTTTAGCGCAAATTACCTATATACCATAGTGTTTAACTATACGTTAATAATAATAATTAATAATTTAGTAAATATTTAATTTATCTAGATAATATAGATAATAAAATTCTATAATAATTTTTTATATTTAACAGTTATTTTAACAAAAATACATTAATAACTCTTTATTCCAACGAGAATTAATCTACCATGGTATTTTTCTATTGTTTAACTGTATATACAGTAATTTAACAATTTATTGTATACAAAAATAATTTACCGGTAGTTATATTTTGTTTTATTTTAAAACTAACTAATAATTAATTTTATGTTTATCTATATTAATAATTAGTTTTAATATAATTTGATGTATAATATTTAGTATTACCGGTAATATATCGTACATAAAAAATTTTTACATTACCGGTAACATAAATACAATTATAATTTTAACAGCAAACTAAATGACACTATTTTAATTAATTTATATTTCTCTCTATCTCTTTCTATTTATTTATTTATTTTATGAGTAAAACTAATGTAGTAAATACTTGAAAACAAATTTTTGCTATATTTTAATACTAATTAATTCATTTCTTGATATACTTTATAATTTAGATTTTAATTTATAAATGAATATGCTTATTTAAGTAAAATTTGCTTTTATTGCTAGATGAAAAATAATGATAAAGCAATTATTGTAGTTTTTATTAGAAAGTATTAACTTTTTTAGTTATTAACTAATTATAAGTTTTAACTACTGTATAGTTTATAAGCTTATCTCGTGAATAATAATTTTTAAAATTTTAATAATCAAATTATTATATTTTCATTTAATATAATTTTGATTATGATTTTATATTTGATTAAATGATAATTATATTAATAATTCAAAAATAATTTTCTAAAATTAGTGTTGTTTTAAAATATAGAGAAATGACTGAAATATTATCACAAAACGACGGCTCTATTAGTAAAATAATTTATTTGATATTTTCAATCGTTTATTTGATTTCTCTAATATTTCTGATTTCCTATTATTACTATATCTGTAAGCGTTTTCATTATTATTATTACTTTTATAATAAACGTCTAATTAATTCATTTCTATATTTTTAAAAATAATTTTAAATTGCAGTCAAAGTCAAAGAGAAAGATATGCGAAGTATGAGTTCAATTAGTGTTCACCGAAAGATTTACAATTAATTTTCATAATTATTTTTTTTATTAAAATATTTATTAATTAAATTCAATATAAATTAATACACTGTTTTATTATACTTTAATATGATTTAATTACATTTATTACATAATGAAATAAATTGTTTTTTTTTGCTTTTTTTGTGAATATTTTCTGTACTTTACAGTACTTTTCAGTATAAAATAATTTATAACAAATTTTATTTATTTATTATGAGTATGAGTTATATCATGCACTTAAATATTTAAATAAATAGATAATTAGTATTTAGTTAAATAAATTTAACTGACTTTTTGTATAAATGTTATGATTAATTGATATATAATAAGACAATGAAAGATAAGCCACAAATCGATGACAAACTAATAGCAGCGGCCAATGAACTGACCAAATGCTTTGTATTAAGTGACGACAAATTGAGACAATTGATGGAAAAGTTAGAACAGGAGTTCCAATTGGGTCTTTGTAATGAAGAGTCGGCCACATTGAAGATGTTGATCACATATGTCCGACATCTGCCTAATGGTAAAGAAAGAGGTCAGTATTTAGCGCTGGATTTGGGTGGCACTAACTTTCGGGTAATACTCATTAACTTAAACATTGCAAACGCACCTATGGTTAGCCAAAAATTTGTAATACCAGATGAGTTAATGGCAGTCGACGGGGAACGACTGTTTGACTTCATTGCCGATTGTATTATAGAGTTTACTAACAATCATAAGTTAGAGACCATACGCATTGCACTGGGATTCACATTCAGCTTTCCGTGTGTACAATACGGCTTATGTCAGTCCAAACTTGTCCGGTGGACCAAAGGGTTCAACTGTTCCGGTGTTGTCGGTAAAGATGTCGTGAAATTGTTGAAGAACTCACTAAAAAAGAAAACTCAGTTTAACAATGCTTTTGTCGATATAGTTGCGCTAATCAACGACACCACCGGTACATTGATGTCATGCGCCCACAAAAATCCAAATTGTAATATTGGTCTGATAGTGGGCACCGGTACCAATGCTTGCTATATTGAACAATTAGACCGCATTGACAAATGGCCGTCCAATTATAGCGATCCTAAGACAGTAGTTATTAATACCGAATGGGGAGCGTTTGGTGATAACGGTGTTGTCGACAAGTTAGGTGTGATGACTAAATGGGATAAACTAGTGGACGCGGATACGGTAAATCCAGGCCGACAATTGTATGAAAAAATGGTATCCGGCATGTATTTGGGTGAACTGGTACGTCGACTACTGATTACACTATGCGAACAGAAACTATTGTTCAACGGACAGACCCCCGAAAATCTACTCAAAAAGGGTAGTTTTCCGACAAAAAGTGTATCAAAAATTGATTCAGACTCGGAATCCAACAAATTTCAGGCCACCCGTCGATTGTTTGACAGAGACTTTACCAAAACATATACAGAAACCGATTTGCGAATCATACATATGGCCAACAATAGGGTATCTAAACGTGCAGCAGATTTGGTGGCCGTTGGATGCTCTACACTGATCGAGCATATGGCCAACCAGTCAAACACCATAGCCTACGACGGGTCAGTCATCAAACTTCATCCGCACTTTCATCAATGGGTAAGCGACGGGATCTGTAAGTTGATTGACAAAAAGAAACGGTTTGAAATGATGCTCTCCGAAGATGGTAGCGGTCGGGGAGCGGCTATTGTGGCCGCAGTTTCCTATCGCGAAAAGAGGCCCAGAATTATAATACGCGATCGTAAGGTCTACGAAATTGGCACTTATATACATTAATTTGAACTAACTGTCCATTTTTATGATTATAATTTTTATAATCATATATTTGACTACCAGTATATCATAAATTGTTTGTTTGTACAGTTCCTATTTTTTCTACAGTATATCAAATTTACAAATTAAAAATAAATATTACAAACAATTTATTTTTAAATATAATAAAATGTCTAATTAATAATTTCATAAACTGTTTCTTAAAAATTATTAAATAAAACTTGATTTTCTTAAACTAAAAAATCGTATTTAGTATTTAAAAAAAAAACATTAGAATTTTAAACTAAAAAAGATTTTATTTGTTAAAAACATCAATTTGCATAAAGATTATCATTTAAATTATTTAATAATAATGCAAAAAATAGTATTATATAATATTTATTATACAAATCATAGTTAATACAAAATTTAATTAAATAAAACAAAATTTTCTTTTTGATTCATATATAATATATTTAAGTAAATAACATACAAATAGTTATTTTTAAAAAATGTATTGATATTTTTGATAAATTTAATATTAAAAACCCTTTATATAGTATAACTTCATATACTGTACAGTATATACCTTTTTGAGCCCATACTATGTCTTACTTATGCCCGTGTATTGCGAGACAGACTTTACGCGGATTGAATTAGTCATCAGTTCTTTATAATAGTCTTCGCCAATGTCTTCGTCATTTGGATCGGCTTTTGATTGCGGCGATGGAGTTGACATTGATGTCGATAATGTATCTGATTTTTTATTATCACTCTTTACTAGAGATTGTTTTTGACTATTGATCGATGGTTTCTGTGCCAATGGTGGCGGCACTAACACTGTTGAAGCTGATGGTGATGAAGACGATGATGACGACGGTGATGATAGATATTCAGATATTGAGTTAAATCGGATGTTGTTTCTGTACATTTGTGTTTTATAATCAATTTCATCGCTCTTGTCATTGTCTTTATTGAATCTCAATGGTAACGACTCAGTGAAGAACCCGATTAGCTGTCCGATTACTGACAGCACTGGTATACATATAAAGAATAACATTGCCATTGCCATCGCCACACTCAACAACCAGTAGACCTGATGGACATACTTTTGATTATTGTGGTCAACGAACTTGTTTTCATCTGATGATAAGTAGGCAGCGGTGGCTCCCATTGCAACACCATTGCACACTAACAGTGCAATGAACATGTATTGAAGCCAACATGAGATCCAATGAATAATTGATAATTGTATTATAATAAATCTATAGATTAAACAAAGACATGCAAAAATAAATGCCGAACTGGCAGTGGCCACCAGTGCCGCATATAATGAAGGCAATAGTCCATAAGCAAAGTCATGACACAGACCATCGGAACAGGGGATTACAAATATTGTCTGCAATAATATTTGATTGATGGCTACGAAAAACAGTACCATAAAGTCCAGTCTTGACAATGTCACAGAACTGAGTTCGGGCTCAAGTTTTCGTTGTTCACGAGTGGCCGCTGGAAATATCTGAGTATACAATGCCGACTCTTTCTTGACCTGTTTGATGGCTTGACCCACATATGCAATGTTGGCTTCCGGGCTATTGATGTCTTGAATTTCAATAATATTGACATTAATAGTTGACTCGCCGTTATGGTTGACCACTACGTTCTTAATGTTCTTCAGCGGACACTTTCGGTATAGCAGTATATGAAAGACATTAAGCTTTGATGTCTCGTTATGACGTATGTTCTGTTCCAACTTCTTCGATGGTAACTCTATGACACATATCGACTGATTACTGTCTAATATATCAATAGTGATGGTTGTCGTTGACATAATAAACCCGCGTTTATGGCTACCGAATATAAAGCGAATGACATACAAGTAGTTGTATGTCGCGGCCGTACACTGTTGATACATACGTTCCCAGTTTTCCGGTAAAAACAAATAGTATAACAAAATCGATAGTAAAGCCATTGCCAGCCATATTATACCGATTATGACATACGGCACATACAATGTCGTCAAATTAGACATCAGTTGATAATAAATAATTTTTCAATATTTGAGACAATCTTATAACAGTTATTATTAGAGTAAATGATTTTAAAATTCAATTTACTTTTTTTTGAAAACAATGTTTGAATGGTTAAACATAATGTTATATAAATCTATTGTTGCTGTTTCACGTACATGAGATAAATAAGATATAATGATAATACTTGTTATGTAAAAACAAAAATATTAATTTTATTTACTGTATATTTCTATCATTATGTACAGTAAATTTTTTTTTACTAAATCCACTGATTATTTATTAACTGCTTAATGATGGTGTAGGCATCCAACTATTAAAGTAAATAATAATGGTTTATGTCATAAATTGATTTTTTTTAAAAGTAATGAATAAATTGACACTAATTTAATGATTGTTTGATGGAGTGGTCAAACTATCTTAGATTCAATTCATTTATTTTTGTTGTTGTTATTGTTAATGATTTTGTACTTGAAATTATAGTTAAAATTTAATAATTATTTACTTACTAGAAAATATTAGTCAATTAATTAATTAAAATTATTTAAAATAATATATTTTTTTTAAAAAAAAACATATAAAACAATTAATTTAAAGTTTTCATTTAAAAATCAAATAAAAAAATCAAAACGATATCATCGAAAGAAAAAGATAAGTTAAGAACTTCCATCCAAATCAAGTGAATCAAATTACAGACAATTATGGTCAGAAACTATGAAGAAGAAGAAGAAGGAGGACCAGAACAATGGTATATAGATTTAGTCGGTTATGAACAGGCATTAGAAGATTATCGAATGCAAAAACAAATCGATCAAAATTACTCCGGAGGAAGCTCTGACCCTCTGAAGAAGTATTTAGATATCGGGATGAGCCGTGAAGAAGCAGAAGAAGCTTTGATATCTCAAGAATTACATGATGCAACTTCTGGACAATCAGATTTACCGGCAAAACGAAGAACTAAAAGACGTGCTCCACAGCCTCCTATACCAGCACCAGCACCAGCACCAGCACCAGCACCAGCACCAGCACCAGCACCAGTACCAATACCAGGTGTGACCGGACCGACAGAGGCAATGATTGAAATGTATGGATCATTTGATACTGCAAACCGAATTTGGCAGATGGATGAGCGTCGGGGCGTAAACAAAAAGCATACACCGAATCAGTATGAACAGCATATCCCAGATTATATCTCAGAAGAAGATCGCAAAGCTATACAAAGATCATTTAACGAAGATGCTCAAGAGGATGAGGAACAAATGAAAGAAGAACAAGAGAAACAAAGGTTGCAGAGTAGAAGAGAACTACAAGAATCCACTGGATTTCATAATCGGCAAGTGATGCAAAACATTATAGAAACGGGTCAACCATATGGTCGCACTCAACCATCTGAAGCACCGGCTATTGTTAGGAGATATCAAATGCCAGTAAATGTTGGCCAACAAATCGGGTCAGAACCAAATTTTTACAAAATGAGAGAAGACATACAACTGGAAGAATCGTTGGGTGCTTTTCGCGAGTCGCCCGATATGAGCCGTTCAGATATATTGGCTCTAAGACACAAAAAAGGAGTTCGCGATGTCAAGACATCACTAAGTGGTCAACTCGATCGTAGCAACAAAATGTTCGAAGACAAGGGATTTATTAAAATCAAAGATAGAAAATCAGGATCAGACAGATTTCATAAAATGGCATCTCTTGTGCCTGAAGAAGGAGCTCAAACACAACGAAACCAATTGATACGAAGCCAAAGTACACCCAATATGTTCACTACGGATGAAGTGAGTCGACCAATCAAACATATGGGTAGTAGACCACAGTCTCAGATGATGCCTACGGGTCGTATGGGATACGGTATGCGATGGGATCCCCGACGCCGACACTCATACAGTGTCGATGATTTGAGTTTTCCCGGACTACAACACGAAGACATTGCGTCATACACTCCTCGGGAACAGGCGTTTGCAATGCGTTTGAAAGCACTGCCAGACGAAGATTTGAGCAATTATTCTAAAAACCGGAATTTAGTGGATCCATCACAGAGTCCTTCATTTGTCAGAGAGCGCATGCATCCAATGGGATCGCAATTCGGGTTATCGCGAGCCGACCGCAAGAGAATCAATCAGATCGAAGATCAACAAAGAACAATTCAAGCCATCGACAAAATACCGCCACATTTAGGTAGTGGACGACAGTTCAGAAAAAGACATTTCCAACAATACCATCGACTTTCGGAACTCCCGTTGAAGACAATCGGCGAACTACCTGAAGATGAAAGCGCACCCGTCGGCAAACAGTTAGCACAATCTGAACAACGGTTGCAAAGAGAAGCAAATTGGAGACAACAATTGCGTGGACCGCAATACCCACGGGATCCCAGTCCAGATCCCAGTGTTAGGCAAAAAAATATATACTTAAAGCCAATACCCAGAGCTCAACTCCCAGAAACAGACGAAGAAAGGGAACGGGAAGATCGTCGACAACAAGAACGGGATCGAAGAAAAAGGGACGGTAAGGACAAAGACTGTTCCATACAGTAAGTAGTAGACTAACAACCATTACATTGTCTATAATGTCATTAAAAACAATATATTGTCAGTAAAATTTATACTTAATTATTGAATGTTATTGAAAATACAGGCCTTACCCGGGTTTTACCCATTGATTTTTAAAATATCTATTTTAGATTTTAGAAAAAATGATTTCCAAATTATATACAAACCAAGGAATTAGCAAAAAATTGTTTTAATCTAAACATTTATAACAAATGTTTAGAATATCTGAATACAATATATCTATTTATAATAGAATAGAAGTATACTATTTATACTAATAAGAAATTTTAGTAACATTTTATTACATTATTTTTAATTACTTTTGATGATAACTAACTTGAGTTAATTGAAATACATTTTTAAATAATTAAAATCATTTCATTTTATAAAACAAACGAATGATTATTATTATCATTAGTTTTTAACATTAAAAAAATTA